ACTGAAGCTCACCTCCGCAACATGTCGAAACTCGTCGTTCCCGTGGCCATCATCAGCCACCCTGAAACAACCGTGCCCAACGGCGGCCACCAAATGACTGACGGTGCTTCGGAAGCAGTGCAAATCCCCCAAGCAACCCTGGCCGCTAATCGCCAGTTGATGAGAACGTGCCTGGATCTTGGCGCCGTCGATGTCCTGATAAGCCCTCTCAACTCCAAGTGCATCACTACTCTTGAAATCTGCGCCTACAAAGCACACAGGGACGCCACCAAGGAGCAGCAAGCGTTGATGGAGGTCGCCAAAGGCCGAAAGCGGTCCTGGGTCGGGGTGAATGAACAAAAGCCATTTGCGTACCTGCGTGAGGCGATGGTATCCGGACTCATGAACGGTATATGCCGCCTCGACAGCAACGACGGACAGCTTGCCGGCGCCCACATTGCGGTATCTTCGTCGCGTCAAGTCGAAATCGCAGACGCCGTGGGTCGGTGGCACTTCTGCGCCCACTCCTTCTCCGATGATGAATTATTGGTTGCCGCACTGGTCATGTTCAAGCATGCTCTGGCTGACCCTGAATTGGAGCCATGGCGGATACCAGCAGGTACGAAGCAGTCTTCCCTGGCACCCATCTCTATTTGGATGAGACATTGATGTGCTAATTTGCTTTGCATGACAGACCAACTGATTAGCTATCTTGTCGCCTGCCGTGCCGCCTACAACAGCTTTGTCCCATACCACAACTTCCGACACGTTGTGGATGTTCTTCAGGCCACTTTTAACTTTCTTGTGCATATCGGAGCCCTTGCACCATATCCAGCGGGCCGCCAACAAGGCACTGCTGCAGACAAGTCCCCGATTGCGGCACTTTTGAGTCCCTTCGAAGCCCTCACGCTCCTCATCACTGCCATTGGTCACGATGTAGGCCATCCTGGCGTCAACAATGGCTTTCTGGCCACGTTGAATGCGCCACTCGCACAACTGTACAACGACAGGTCAGTTTTGGAGTCATTCCATTGTGCCGCTTACTCCCAAATTCTTCGCCGATATTGGCCATCAGCCTTTGAAGACAGGAAGATGCGCAGTCTTATGATTAGCTCGATTCTTGCGACAGACATGGGCCTTCACTTCGACTATATGAAGAAGCTTGGTGATGTACAGGAAAGATTGCAGGATAACAATAGCACCGACGGCTGGAACGGCCGTCAGCTTGAGGATCACAAGGCTCTTGCATGCTCTCTGCTCATCAAATGCGCCGACATCAGCAATGTGGTAAGTGATGCTGGTCTTTTCCGTGTTTCTCAGCTTTCTGTCACTCGACTGCGCGCGCATTTTCATATCACCAAGGCTGACTCATTCCATCACAGGCTCGACGTCATGACACAGCCTTGAAGTGGATGCACATTCTCTCCGAAGAGTTCTCAAGGCAAGCATCTATGGAAGATGAGCTGGATATTAAGTCGTCGCTCATGGCGCAGCCCAAGAAGGACATACTATCATTGTCCAACGCCCAGCTTGGGTTTATGAACATGTTTGCTATCCCATTGTTCCAAGGGGTTGCAGACATCATGCCAGCCATGCGTTACACAGTAGATGAACTCGAAGTTAATAAGAGACTTTTCGAGCAAAAGGTGCAACAGGAAAAGGCAAGGCAGTCTCCTGATGAACAGAGGCTAAGACGAGGCGTTCGAGAGGGTACATTTTCGCCTAGAACTAGGAGTGTTGTGGGCGAACGGGACACCCCAGAGGGCCAAAGTGTCGTCAAGATCGAGCAGGTCAAAAATTTGACTGATGGGGCAGCAGAGGAGAAGGGGGAAGCTCCGCAGGTTGTAGCCGACGTCGTCGCTAGAGTCGAGCAGCAGGCGCCCATAGCACCCGAGGAGCCGGCCGATGTTGCTGCTCAAGTTCCTCCGCAGGGTACCGCCGCGCCGCGCCAGGATCTCAACGGAACTACATCTGCCTTCGACGCCGTCCGGGAACTGGCTGAAAGTGACCCGTTTAACTGCCGGTCACGTGGCGACAGTGGCACTACAGAAAGCAAAACTTCAGCACAGTTCGGAAGACAACGATGCAGTGAAACCACCGAAGGCAGTGCTTCCGGTGCCACTGCCGGAGACTGGCATTCGCAGGCCACAACTGCCACAACCGGGAAGATGGCACTCTCTCCAAGCACTCAGGGCACTAGTATCGTCAGTAACGAGTCTATAGAGCGCACACCGAGTGCTACCGGCTTGAACATATCACCTCCAAGTACCTCGAGTCATGGGTCTCCAGGCACGGTCCTCCGAGATACAGGAGCAGGCGATGACGAACCGAGCCACGGGGGCAGCATCGTCAAGGCTGAAGCGAAGTCTCTGAGGAAGAAATCGAGTCGGTTTAGGATGAAGGACTTTCCTTTTTTCAGGAGAAATAAGGCATCAAGCCCCCCCCTTCCCGCCTCGGACGCAACTAGTATGGGCCGAGACGGAAAATTTTGACAAGCGGCCCGCGTGGCCGAAGAGAGGACAACAGCATAGCCAATGCAATGATGAGACTACGCACAACTTACCACGACTAAGCTAGCAAAAGATGCTTGCACGGAAAAGGTCCGAAGATATTTTATAATTGTTGGCCCAGCGGTGCATTCACAGAGTCTACCGAATCGCTTGGCACGTCACGACATTTCTCTCAGCCTTGCACGGATTGTACATTATACCGATGGGGCATCTTCTAATCTGTTTTGCTTGGGGATAAAAATGGGTGCCGGGATTTGACGGCCAGGCGCGACTAATATGCCAGGATACCACGACCATGGCAGGGTCATGCATCCGGGGGTATCCTACGTTTGCTTCGATTTCTGCGTACATAAGATTTTGTCCATGTTGCTTTTTTTTGTCTTTGGGTCCTTTACTACTACCATGGACTCTTCGGAGGGTGCCACATTTTTTTTTCTCTTGGCCTTGTCTTGTTTGCATGTTGTACAATTACTCACGGTCTGTCTGGACGTGGACCGTTCCGAGTGAAGGAGGAGATGGAAGGTGTACATTTTTCCCTTTTTTTTTTTTTCCCTTATTAACAACAGGAGCCCGGAGGACAAAGACATTTGAACATGGCGTTAATTCCTCATCTCTTGTTATACGTTGGTTAGTCTTGGGCATAGGCATGGCACCCGGGGGGTGGCAGGGAGACATGGACCGTCTCCTCTTGACTGGATTTCTACCTGATGAGGCATGTGAGGCACAGGGAGGGTACGTCTGAATGGTCTGTGGGTAGGCGGTATTGATTGCCTTGGGGCTAGGTTACATAGAGGCGACGGAAGAATACCACATACGATCTTGGATGTTTATGCCGTGGAACAAGTTTTGGTCTCTTTGCAAGGTGGCCGAGCAGGCTGCGTGAATGCGTCGTTTGGACAGCGGCGGCTGATGACATGGCGCAACAAGAGTGTGCCAGGATCAGTTGGACGAATGGGCCGATGGCGAGCGGCCGGCCGGAGCAACACTGGCTCTGGGGTAGCAGAGCTTGAGAGCAACATGAAGGCGGGAATGTGTTTGCCATGGCTGGCAATGGGGAAAGTTGTGCGCCGATTCAGGGAAGCTGCCGAGGCAAATGTGGGGTCTGCGTTGTCTGGATGTTGCTTTCTGTCGTGACCATGGGCTTGGGGATAGTACCGGGGTCGTCGGCCAGGGCTCAGGCGCTTTGCCTCGAATGCGCATGTGTCTGGTAGTATTCAACATGACGGGGGCCGGAGAGGGCGCAGTCTGGGGTTTCTGCAATGGCTTCGCATTGGTTGGGGGTTTTGTGCGGAATACGGGCTAACAGTGCTGGGGTGGTGCCGATTTATTATTGTGCATCTGATAATACATATGCTAGTATGTAATGTATGTATGCATTCATGGCGGGAGGACCGGACCTGTTTCTTGCACAAATACCCCTCTCTCCCCATGGGTTGTTGGGTTGGCGGGTAGTACTATGTATTATAGTATAATGGCACGTGGCAATGGGGAATGTTTATGAAATGCCGGCATACCGAGACTTTGGCAGTACTACGGAGTATTGCTGGTACTACTAGTACATATATTGATCAAGTACATACTTTACGTTAGGTACGTAACGTAGAGGGAGAGACGGACGAACAGGGCATCGATGTGTAGTACGGAGTACATAAAGTACATATGCTTGGCTAATAAGTGGGCTGCTGTCGTGCAACGCGCCGGTGACATGTTGCTGGGTGCGTCGCCCATTCTTCTCGTCGATGCTTGGTTGAACCGGACGCTGACACGCAACAAATCAGGCCAGGCGGATTGCAGAGTTGCTCCGTAACCGTGCTCTCTCGAGATGGCGGATGGCAGATGGGGAGGGTGGCCACACGGATGGACCGGTGGATCCATGTCCCGTCAGATCGGGGCTCTTGGTGCAATTGAAACGTCGTGGATAGTACCATCTAGCTAGTACTAGCACGCAGTCTGTCGAGGCTTTCGCGGGGCAAGCTTCATGTCGACTACACCGTAGTCGGTGCTGGTTGACAAGCCAAAAGGGGCCAAAGAGGCAAAAGAGGCCATGGAGGCTGAGAGGGTGTGGAGGCCTGCCCGTAGCAAAACCCTCCGCATCTTGTGCCTGGCCTGTTTTCACATGCCCTTGTCGCTTGATCTCGACTGTCTGGCGCGTAGTTATTATCCCTCATCTTGTTGCACGCCCTCGTCTTTTTTTGTCTTGATGGCCTCAATGCTGTCACCACGTCCGAAACCCAGGCATAAGACGGTCGACGGTTCATCTTGGAAATCTTCAAGCTTGACGGCTGGCCCCACTATCTGCTCCCAGTGACCAGCTCCCTGAGGTCCAACTTCACCTGCTCCAGTCTCCAGTCTCCAGTCTCCGGACTCCGGACTCCATCGCTCCCGTACCTTGAGCTAGGTAATTTGTATCAGCCGCCTCCATCCCTTTTAAACTTCCGTCATGTCGCTGACCCTGTCTCCGATCCAACTCCCTCCAGCTTCCTCTTGTTCTTTGGCCTTCCAATCCACGCCATGGACGCAATTGACATTGGGGCTCCTACACCCACCCCGTTGCCCGATCCCCCGGTCAAGGACTTCATGACGGATGCTCAATGGGAAACGCTCTACGCTCTTCTAGACGGTGTATTGCCTTGCATCACCTCAACTACCTCTTCTGATGTCAAAGACAAAAACTCCGGCATTCTACTATCCGACACTGATTTCGAAGCTCTCATCGACGACTGCACTGCCGCCCTCTCGAATCCTCCTTCGAGACACAAGATTAAGGAGTATCTCGAATTTCGCCCCTCTCAAGATGAAAACTTCCGTGACGATTGCCTGCGATCCCTCGCCATTGTTCCCCAGAGGAACCAGCTGATCAAGATCTTGAATCTCCTCGGGTAAGTCGAAGTCGTAGTGGAAGTGGAAGTGGAAGTGGGTGCAACTTTCACAAGCACCGTAGTAGCCGCCCCTTCAAACCTGCTTTTCCTCTATGCGGCGAATGAGGTCGACTGGTCAATACAAGTTTTGCTGACCATCCGTTCTCGCAATAGTGGCCATGCAGGTAGCATGCTTCTGACCGGCTACTGGACTCCAATCACTCAGCAGCCAACAAAGGTTCGAGAAGCCATTCTCAAGTCATGGGCCACATCCCGCCTCACTCCCTTGCGCATGCTGGCAAAGGCTCTTGCGCAAATGGCTCAGAAAGCAAACGCCATCCACAGCCCTTACTTCAGGGAGATTTCCGGCTACTCGGACGCTCCCAAGGACTGGAAACCTGTTGAGGGATATGAATATAACTTTATTCGGGTGCCTGCCGGTACCGGCGTGCACGAAATCACTACTGACGTAGTCATTGTCGGATCTGGCTGTGGAGGAGCTGTCTCGGCCAAGAACATCGCCGAGGCTGGTCATAAAGTCCTTGTTGTTGACAAGGGCTACCACTTCCCACCGTCCCAGCTTCCCATGACACAAGCATCCGGTTCTCATCATCTGTTCGACGCCGGTGGTGTTTTCTTTTCGGACTCGTCGAGCATGGGAGTCGCGTGCGGTGGCTGCTGGGGCGGCGGTGGCACGGTGAACTGGAGCGTCTGCTTCCGACTACAGGACTTTGTGCGTGAGGAGTGGGCTGCTGCCGGACTGCCTCTATTCACATCCAGCGACTTTGACGACAGCATGGACCGCGTCTGGGACTTCATTGGGGCCAGCAAGGATGCCATCCGCCAGAATCCGCGAAACCAAGCTCTGCTAGATGGAACTCAGAAACTTGGCTGGAAGGGTGGAGTTGTGGAGCAAAATACAGGCGGCAAGGAACACTACTGTGGTCAGTGTCACCTTGGTTGCGGCTCAGCGGAGAAGAGAGGTCCTACGGTGGCCTGGCTGCCGGCTGCCGGTGACGCGGGTGCTGAGTTTATGGAAGGTTTTGCTGTGGACAGGGTTGTCTTTGCAGAGGACGGCGTCACCGCCGTTGGAGTGGAAGGCACATGGACTGCTAGAGATGAGAACGGCGGTGTACACACGCCACAGAACACTCGAACGCAGCGGCGTGTGGTCGTCAAGGCTAAGAAGGTCATAATCTCAGGCGGTTCCATGTGGAGTCCGCTTATTTTGACCAAGAGTGGTATCAAGGTGAGTGAGAATAGGAGAAGGCGTCAGGACATGTCTCAACCGCGGCCTATTCCTGCGATGTTGAATAGTTGCTGACACTCTTGTCATTAACACCAGAACCCCAATGTCGGAAAACACCTTCATCTGCATCCCGTCAACTTGGTGTCAGCTATCTTTGGCAAAAAGGACCTGGCGTCATGGGAAGGGGGTATCATTACATCTTACGTCGACGAGTTCGAGAATTTAGACGGAAAAGGTCATGGTGTGAAGCTAGAACCTGTTGTTAACGTTGTAAGTCAATATTTTCCACCAATTTTGAGAGAAGCTGTCAAAAGTTTTCGCAAACAATCAACCCTCTTATTAGCTATAACAGAAAAATAAAGAGAGAGAGAGAGAGAGAGAGAGAGAGAGAGAGAGAGAGAGAGAGAGAGAGAGAGAGAGAGATTCAAGGGAATCATACTGACAGTCTAACCCTATAGCCATACGCTACATACTCTTTACAGACATGGAGGGATGGCATTGACGCCAAATTACTAGCACTGAAGTATCGACACATCGGTACCTTCATCGTACTAACCCGGGATCGCGACACCGGCCGCGTCTACCCTGACCCTCGAAAGGGCACGCCACGCATCCAGTACGACACATCTGACTTTGACCGCGAACATACCATCGAGGGTATCATTGCCCTGGCCAAGATCTGCTACGTCACAGGGGCGACCGAGATCAGGCCTCACCTTCATCACCTGGAGCCGTTTGTGGCCAGCGACGGGGGCAAGCGACAGGCTGAGCACCAGGCCGGCAAGGACCCCGAGTTCACCGACCCGGAATTTGCCGCCTGGATCAAGAAGCTGCGCGTGGCCGACAACCAGGGCCCAACTGCGATGTGGATGTCAGCTCACCAGATGGGCTCGTGCCGCATGAGCGCCGATGAGGACACTGGCGTTGTTGACATGAAGGGCAAGGTATGGGGAGCGAACAACTTGTACGTCGCGGACGCGAGTGTCTTCCCTAGTGCCAGTGGTGTCAACCCCATGGTTACGGCCATGGCCTTGGCAGACTGGATCTCGCGGGGCGTCGCTAGTGAATTGGCTGGAGAGTAGGAAGATGGGGAATGATTTTACTCTGGTAAAGTGTTGTGAATGGGGATGTGGAAGAGGCTCAGGCCTTGAGCTGTTATCTGGCAAACGACCGGACGCACGTCAGGGAATCATGGTGGTAGCGAGTTGGGGGGCCGGTTTTGACGGGCAATAAGCTGTGCCGATGTTGACGAACTTGGGGTTGGATGGCTGAACCGTCGTCTAACGTGTGATGTTGTATATTTTGTTGTAGAAACATATATCATCTTGATTACTCATTTCTTCCGCTTGAATGCGATATATCAGGTGCCAGAACAGTCAATGTAAAGACTGCACATATGCTGGTTATGGTATGCGTTCATCTCGCGGATCATGGCTGAAAATTGCAAGAGGACCATGTACGTTCACGTCCATGGCTTGGAAGAAAACCCTTCGTGGCCAGTTGAGCCGTCAACACCTCAGTGAGGCGCCAGTTGAGAAACAAGGGCACGTGCTGCGCCTGTTCAGGGAACGAGGCCTTCCCGCGAGAAAGGCCTTTCCGGACCAGCGACGCGTCCGTCTCGCTTTGATCCAAAACCAGGCCTTTTGGTGCCATGGTAACACCCTATACATTACATTCTGCATGTTTCACTTGGCGCTCAGTCGTACCCCTTCAACCCCTGTGTAAACCGGGCAGGGCTACCCTAGATGAGAAGTTTTGCTGCATGTTGTTCGTTTTGGAGGTGAGACGGACGGTTGGAATGGGATCCCACATGCAATACTCAAAGGGCTGGCCGGCCCCATGGAAGACCAAAGTGGAAGAATCCTGCACTCCCCCCTTGGAAAACGGCATGGTACGAACTAGGTCACGAGAATTGTAGGAAAGATACCGCCGGACTTGCGGTCAGGTATCATCCTGGCCACGAGGACGTTTGTGTCTTGGCCGTTTGGCAGGCCGCGTGATCCGGTATGTAGGTACCAGTAGATGTAGTGAGGTGGCAAGTAGACGTGGTGGACTTGCATGGCACGCTCGAGTGGCCAGCAAGGCCAGGCGGCCTACGGAAGACCGGGCTTTTACGTCATTTCCCACTTGGCAGTGGTTTCCTCGATTTTTTTTGCCAGAATCCCCGAAACAAGAAGATGGGCTGCGTTCAGCCGCGGGGTGAACCGGTGCTTAGCAAGAAGAATATGTCGTCGGTCCCTTGCAAAAATGCGGGCTCCGTGTACATAGATACTAGTCCGAAATCGACTACAAATGTCACTAGTTGCAGTAAAGGAAAGGTTTCGCTAGAGTTACCGGCAGGCTGGGGCTCTGTCTCGATGGCTTCCCTTTGCCTCGGGATCGGTGTGTGGCCCTCCACATTGCAACGTTGTTGATTGTCGGCTGTCTGTACGGAGTATGTACGGATGGAGTAGGGAATGCTGGTCTGTGTTTCTATTCTCGGGAGGTAGTACTGCCCTTCTGCGACGCCACAGAGGCACAGCCACGCCGCTCTGTACCGGCTTGTCCGACCTGTCGGTGTAAAACTGCGAAAACGTCATCGTCTCTAATGCTTCGAAGAGCTGAAAATATCTCAGCGTTGGACTATCCGAGAGGACTTGATTCTGCAGAAGCGGGAATTTGATCAGCTGGCCAAGGATAACACGCCGCAGTTCCAGGATGTGTATTTGTGTCGTTGCAACTCGGAAATATTTTTGGATGTGCAGTAGTAGTTACTCCGTATAGCAAGGCCAAGCTCCGCAGACGTCGATGCGCATGTTCCCTTTGTCAACACTGGGTGGCGGCTTCTTCTACGCATACGTATTTTTGGCGCCCCAGCAACTTAAACAAGCATGCCAAGCACACTGAAAAAAATGCTGTTGAAACGATTTTTGAACTTCAGACTTGGCTTCGTTGGCTGCCTCTGCCTCCAAAGCCGACAGATCCCTGCCGAGGATCCAGAGAGTGTGTGGCTGGTGTCTCTACTTCGCATGCACATACTCCGTAACTATGGAGCACTTCGGTTTGGCCTTGTAAGTCATATCGTCGTACCTAAAGTGGGATCCCTCGACTTTCGCATCAATCTCTCTTCCTATCTTTTTGGGTTGCCTGTTGATGCGCGGAGTACTCGGCCGTGCTCGTGGCATATGGCATTGACCATGGCCTCGGCGTGGCAAGTGAAGCACCCGTGCCACCACGTTCCGCTCGCTGTACTAGTCGAGCCGAGGGCGAGGACTGCGTCATCAAAGACCCAGGATCTTAACAATTGCCACGTAGTAGACGTGTCAAGATATGGCTGGCTATTAACTTCCTCCATAGGGTAAGAAACGGGGTCCAAGAGCTGAATGGCCTGTATGAAGTCTTCAACCTGAAGCGAGGCAGCCATGCGACATGGGCTTGCCCTGTCCAAGTGACAGAGGCATTCGCGGCGATATCTGCCGTGCCCTAGAAATATTCAGAGGCACATGGCTCCGGAATCTCTTTCAGTCGGTCAATAGTCCTCAGTCAAGGACAGACAGCCCAAACTGCAGGAGGAGAGACACGCAGAAATATATTGATAATGGCTCGTGACCTTCACGACTGTTGACGGAAAGAAACAGCAATTATCGTACACGTGCAGGCTGGGTGCGGTTGTACCGAGATTGTGGCCTTGATTGACGCAACACGGACAAAGCACTTTATAAATTCAATTGGCCCAATCCAGTTTTGCGCCGTTCCGGGGATTGCCTTCCTTTGCGAGACGGTGCGCTCTTCATGCGTCTTTTCTCTCTCTGCTGGTAATGGCTGTGGCCGCGAGCAATAGCCTGAGGATGCCACACAGCACATGGCTCACTCGATGTGTTGAAAGAGGAGAATCTTTGTCCTATGAGGAATCAAGTGTTGGCGTGCCACCTCGGATTGTCGTGAGCCAGCTCGTGTCTAGTCCTGTGGTTCTCAAGCCCGTCAGACAGGCAACAGGGTCTTGAATGCTGCGTCACCATAGCGTGAACCTGCAACACAGTCGGCAAGGCACTTGCTTCAAACCCGTGCAGCAAAGTGGTGGAGTCGGACCAAAAATGATGGTGGCATCAAAGGACAGCAGTTGAGCACCAACGTGGATGCATTGTACGAGAACCTCCTGTTTGGTACGACTGGCTCCGTCGTGGTGGCGACACGCAACCTGGTATGTTATCAGCTAATCATTGCTGAGCGGGTTTCTCAGCCGGCATTATGCGCGTCGATTACTGACCTACCTAGTAGTAGAGAATGTACGTATTGCATTAGTGTGTACTCCGTATTTGATGATTGGTAAGTGCTCGATATGTTTTGCCAAAGACTGTACTCCGTACCTCAGGTGTTGCTTTCATATTATCTCTCCACGCGCTCTCTCTTCCTGCACTTGTTGGGTGGATTTTAGGGGTTTTCAGAAAAAAAAGAGGGTAAACACAGAGACAGTTGTTGGCCGACCAAATACCTAACTAGGTAGGTACGGTAGGTAGGAACTCAGCGATTTCCCCGTCGATCGACCTTTCCTGATGAAAACGGCAACTACTATCGATGAGTGCGCTGGAGCTGCATGCATGCTTGTGGAGCAGTCTGGTTTACTTGCCTCAGTTCCGGACCACCTCACCCTGTCGGTGCCTGTCGCTCCTTCCTCGAACGCCGGAATGGCAGAACCAACAAAACCGACTCCAGTCCTCTTCGTTCCTGGTACTACGTACAATGATCGCCTCTCACGCTTGCATTTGTACGCCACATGCGCTCAAGTCAGCCTGTGGGATGAATCCTGTCAAACTGCAAGCATGAACATGAGCATGATCAGATACCTTCGGGCTCTGCCATTGTTCTACCCACACCCTGCTCTGAAGCTCACTGCCCACCCGTGTTTGGTACCACACAGTGGTCTGTCCAATCTCGCCACTAGACTCGCGAGAATCTTCTGACGAGCCAAAACCCACCCGAATTTCATAGACTATCAACTACGCAACCGTGGACTCCCAAAGGGCAAAACGCCAAGGACACATCTCGATATGAAGCTCGAAGTTTCGGGCCATGAGCACGGTCACACCTCGCATGCGAGGTGCATGAATATCATCAACAGGTATTATCCCATCCTCAATCGAGTCACTCACGCCCGCAACCGAAAAAAACTCATATCACACTATAATAAGTCAACAATGACCCGAATGAGCAAACTCTGTGTTCACCGAGCAGGCGCCGAAGAAGGACAGAAGTTCCTAACCCAGCGATCATCCTAAAACTCAGATTTCCCAACTTGGAAGCCATAGGGCTGCGACTGGGCTGATAGGCGCCCATGTTAATAAATCCAAGACCCATCTGATTCGGTATTTGAACTCACCATCTGCGACATGTACGACGGATGTTTTGCCTATTCCTGCTCCTGCTCCCCCGTTGCCTTGCTTCAATTGACACTGGTTTTCCTGGCTCACACCCCCTTGTGGCTCCGTCTCCAAAGGAGTACACACTTGAATCGGTCCTTGCCAAAGCCTCAAAGCTATCGAGTTGAAGCCTGACACTATGATTGGCCTCTGCCGTCTGAACCTTGGCCAATCAACAATAACCTCGCCATAAGTGAGAGTTCAACTCCACCGGCACCTCCACTGACTTGTTCAGGCTTTTGAATATCCAGCCAATCAACGGTCAAAGCGCCGACTGGACGTTTTGCGCCTCACCTCTCACCCGCCGCTAACGAAAGGGAACATGGATGGCTATCATTCTAATCAGTCAACGTGCTTGCATCGGCCTATTCCCTCAACATCAGCAGCATGATTATTACTCGCCTTTTCCCAATTTCCCTTACCCGTACTAGCACACTCTCTCCTTATTGCAAACTCAATCAGCAGCCCATTCCCCTTGGTCTGTGCATTAGCTGTGTTCAAGTCTCGATTCCATTGTCCAACCACATCCCAGAACCTGACAATATCGACGGAACGGACTCACGGAAATCTGGGGTGCTCCTTTTAGTCTCCAAGGATGTGCCATACCCGCGCCTACCGAACGGCTTCTCCCTAGAGCGACCCGTCGAAGCCGTCGAGATTTTTGACTGTCGATCCAAGAACTGCTAGTCAAGGAAATGCCCAGGGGCTGGTCGCCAAGTGGCCATAGACTTTGCATTAAATTTCCATTCTCTCTACTTGTTGTATTGTATGATTGGACGCCCGGCGCATAGCAGACGACTAATTCTTCTCTGTTAACCCTGAGATAGGAGGGCTCGAAATGGCGCCCTCAAATTCGGCCTTCGTTTGATGCTAGTTAGTAGTAAGGAGTGGGATTGTATGCGCATTTCAAACCTGCATAACTCACATACTACTGCACATAACATGTAATATGTAGCCAATATGCACGTCATGCTCACGCCCCCAGGTCACAGTTATAAAGTAGCTAGGCAAGTATATGAGCACTACTTGGACGAGCCAAATGTTGACAAGGAACTGTCGGCTCTTATTACGGAACCGGAAACGATCTCGAGACAAGAAAGTTTGATAACAAAACGGCGCCACTTTCAAAGGTCTAGAACTATGGGAAGAAGCCGACGGCCTCTTACGGTCCGCTAGCCAAGGCTCATTTCCGCTGTAGGCATTCGGCGCATACCCCGACGCTCCCATGCGGGTGAGATGGCGGTAGTGACCAGGCACAAGCTAAGACGCATCAATGACCTAAAAGCTAGCAGGCAATGCTTTCTCATGATCTGATTAAACTCCAGGTGGTATCTAGACCAAATATTCAGCGTATGTGACACTAGCCCAACAGAAAATCAATCAAATTTGGCTTTGTGAAATCCGTCATCCCGTACAACTATGCCGTGGGTGCAGCAGAACAGGAGACGGATGTGCAGGATGTACACATGTACTTTCACACCCCCCCGAATCTCACCATGAATAGCCAAAATCCGTTAGTTTATCTGCATAATCCCCGAATGGGCCTACAAGTATTGGAAATGGGGCGGTATGAAGAGCGTGGATATGGCTGCCCTCCTTGTTGTTGGTCCAAGCAAGCCCAGACCGATGGCCGCGCAAGCTTCCTCTTCAGAAAGGAGGCAAGGAGTGCAACCCAAATACTCGTAAGGGGTCATTGGTATCACTTTTCACATTAGGAGGCAAGGTATAGCTACAAGAAGGGGCAAAGCTGGGAGGTGGACTGCTCTATCCTAGGAAGAGAAGCTGCTGCATATGTATAGATGGGAGAGTAGGGAATACAGTAGTTGTACGGAGTAAGATGCAAGGATGGGTCAATGAGAGAAGGATTCGAAGCCGTGGAAGATGTCAGATGTCTTTGTTACTCCATACGATGTGCCGCGTTGGATGAAGCGCCGAGCGAGGTGGTATTCGATTTTGGTGTGTCTGGGAGGCGCCACATCCAACGGCAACGGTCGTCTTTAGTAGCCGCTGGCTGGAGACGGGTGAATAAGCCACGTCTTTCACAGCTTCGTAGATGGATGGATGACCTTTGAAGAGAGAAAAACAAGCCATGGAGTGGTTGTTTTATGCGCCATCTGTGAAGGAACAAGTGGCTGACTGTGTTGGGACCAGTCCAACCTCCCAGGTTGGCGCTCAGGAGTCTCTTGTAAAAGTAAAGCAAACAACAGCATGTGCTCGTCCCTCACTTGGGCCATGAATCCTTTGGATGGGCCCAATCACCTCATGTCTAACACAAGGTCCAAGAGCAGAAGTGTCTTTGCTCGTAGACTCGAGAGCCTGTTCGCCTTGTCACGAGCCTCTGCTGGCCTAGTAAGTGTGTCACTTTGGCACTTTCAAGGTGCCTTTGGCTGGTCCCCAAGGTCATGCGCAAGGGCCGAAGCTGTGGACATAGCTAGGTTAGGTAGATAGGCCCAAGTGTGTGAAATACAACATACAGACTCCGTACACAGTCATCCCATGGCCAGTTGGAGGCATGGCGCATGTGTGGCGCTCCGATGCAGCTTTCAGCTAGACAAGACAGACCAGGGCAGGAGGAGACTGGACTTACACGCCTTGGCCGTGATGCGACGCACACGCCGCATGAGGGCGCCTGAAGAAAGACTGGAATTTCCTGGGTGAAGGGGGCAAAAGAAAGGGGGGGGGAGGGGGGTGTGCGGCCGATATTCGTGTCTGGAGGAGGCACGACATGCAGGTCGAAAGCACAGCCAGGATTGATTGAGCGCGGAGGTAGTACTGCTAGCACTACTACTACTACGGAGTACTGGGTGCTTGGTACTTGGTAGCTTGAAAAGGCGACTGCATAATGGTGGACCCGTACGTTGCAGTAGTACCAAATGCCGTGACCACCAAGAGGAAAAAGATCAATCATGGCATTTGCATGGCCTCGGGCCAGGTGGATTGTGGATGGGGATGGGGATGGCGGCGTTTTGAAGTTGGCGAGGATAAACCGGGCCGCGGAGGCGTTGCCGGCCTTGTCCATGCTGGAAAACACGAGGCGAACATGTCAGGCGCCAGCACAGGCGTCAAGTGTCAGGCGTCAGGCGTCAGGCGTCAGGCGTGAAGCCGTTGTCAAGGTTAATGCTATCCCAGAACCGCATCAATCTGTTAAAGCATCAAGACGTGGGAAGACGAAGATTGGTCTGGTGACCTGGAGTCAATGAATGGCTGAGCGGCGGGGCCCAGCTGTGGCTGCTGCTAAAACACCGTGCCGAGCCACAGCCACTCGGCCAGACGACGACATCTGGACTTTCAGCAATGGAGCCTGGCCTGGCTATTCTTGTCTGCGAGCTGGGGCACTCCCTGGGACACTCCGTACGTGGTAACTCGCTATCCACCGAGTACTACTCCGTATATACTCTCCCGTGCAGCAATGCCGCCGGTCGGCCGTGCTAGTCCCGATCGATGTGTGGCTGGCCGGACGTCTGAGCCCTTCCTGGCGCCCCAGTGCCCCCCAGTGCCCCCCCAGTACATGCCCTGGTGCCAAGTGTTGTCTGGTCGGTACTCCGTACTGCCGTCTGGTCTGGTCCAGCCTGGCCTGGTCTGGCGCCAGGCGCCGGCGCTCGAGGGTGCAGGTGCAGGTGCAGGTGCAGGTGCAGGTGCAGGTGCAGGTGCAGGTGCAGGCAACAGGCAACATTGACATGGAACTCAAGCTGTGCAGGCACTTGCAGAGCGCTGGTTGCAGACCTGCAGAGGTGCAGAGGCCCGCCTGGCCCTCAGGCCACTCGCTCATACTTACTTTATGTATTGACTGCGCGCGCACAACATCGAACTGGTTGAGCAAAGTATATCTCCCCGCCGCCGCCACCCTCCCATCGCCGGCTCTCTCCCCTTCTCTCCTCACGACACCCTCGTCCGCGCTTCTCTTCTTCCTGGCTGCGGCCGTCAGCAGGCGATCCTCCCATAAAGCCAACCGTCCTCGGCACTCCCTGCTCGGCTCCGTTGCCTCGATTTCCTTTTCTTATTACTGTCTTTTTCTATTTCCTCGCAGAGTGCTTTTGTCCATCCTCCCGTCCACAGGATTCAACCCCCCTCCTCCGTTCCCACCTGCCGCCGCCGGCCCGCCCCTCCGTGTACCGCCAGCCAACAAGCTGAACCCCGCCACGTTTCAGCGGTTTTGCGACGACTGACGACTGACGACGACGCCGCCGCCGCCGCCGCCCCTACGACCTGGTCACACGGCCTCGCCTTTCCGAATGCCTGTCCAGCTTCTCCCGGCTTCGGCCGCCGCCTTTGCCCCGAGGGCACCTTCAGTCAATGTCGTGTTGGCCTCCAAGGTCGAGCCTTGGCTCACGCAGACCCTGAAGCGTGTCAACAAAGTAAAGCGTCCGCTCAACAGCGTCCCTCAACACCAAAGATGCCTGACCGAGACCCTGTCATCACCCAACGCCATCTGGACTCTTGCCTCCCTCATGCTGTCTAAACTTCCCGAAGCCGAAATGCCCAGGGAGCCCCTCGAGGAGCTCTTCAGCTATCAACTGGTTCACGTCGAGGCCTACATTGTTCACGTCGACATGGTCCTGCGCAACGAAGTTGCCTACAAACTCACAACCGATACCATCGATGCCTTGGTCGAGTACCACGACAAGATCCACTGCGCTGATGCAAAGGCCAGCACCTACGACTGGTCGGAAAAGGAGCAACAGTGCAAAAAGCTCCACCAAGACTTTGTCCAGGCCATCAACAAGTTTGTCTACCGCACCCACGTAAGCGCTTTGGAAGGCCTTGAAGAGGAGGGAGCAGGCGAGCTGCTGTGTGGCAGGAGCGAAGAAGTGAGGAACAGCCTCATCGGATTGATGAAGCCTTTGTTGCCTCCACCCCCTCGCGTCGTCGACGTTGTGCGCCAGCCTACTCTCCTCCCAAGCTCTCCCGTCAACAACATGTGGTCATCGCAGCCGACAATGCCCAGCTCTCTGCCTGCGGTCGAACCCTGGCGAGTCCTACCGTCAAGTCCAAGTGTGCCCTCGACATCAGCTGAGCCCAACAACCCTCCAATGTGGGCTACTATGGGCATCAACGAACTCCAGATGCCCTCACCCGCCCCGGCCTTCACTCAACCGCACGCCACAGCTGCTCTTTACTTCACCTCGCCACCCATTACCGCCCCCATGCCTGCAGCTCTACCTTTACCCAGCATGCTTTCTTCATCGCAATGCGGCGTTAGCGTTGGCATGGGTGGCTTCGGTTGGGACCGGTACCAGGAGTATGCGACGATAATGTGACAACCACAACCGGTCACGGGGGACGATTATCCAGTAGTGACGACGTCTAAATAGGCCACTGCGCCGCTGCGCCCTTTTTAATGTTTCTCGGGACCAGGGAAATAAGTTTAGAAGCAATTACCCACACAAGGTTTTGATACACAGCGACATAGACAACCATTATCGACATGGCATTCGAGATCGGCGTTTTTTTTGTTTTTTTTTGCATCGGGAACGGAGTTCGAACAAGCTCGACAAATACCCACTCTTCGGGGAGACAAAGCGGTTTTGAAAGTTTCTCCTGCGTTACTCTTTTCTTGTTTGTCTGCATTTTTGGTCTTGGCGTGGCCACTGTCCTTTTACCAGCGACATAGCGACTGCACGCTTGAGGTTCGGAATATGTCCTTCGATTCCTACCATTTCCGATACTACAAAGCCTCCCCGCCGCCTTGCACCGACACTGTTAGCTCGGTCGTTTGTAAATAGGCAGGGCCTCCGATCAGCAGCAGTAAAGGCGGTTCGCGACTTCCCCTTCGTTTCTCGGACACTGTTCTCCACTTTATCCCTTCTTTTTTATTTTTACCTCTTCCTCTGTCCTTGTTACGGTTCCTTTTTTGGGTTAAAGATAAGAGGAATATGCAGCAATGCGCCATACTCGGCCTGGCTCCGAGACAGACTCCCTAGTTGGACTCTTGATTCCCCGATATTTCTATACTTCATCTTTCATTTTGGCTTTAGTCTTAGCCCAATATTTTGGTGTGGCCTGTACGAAGACTTTCTACGGATGATACCCCTGAACAAGCCTCGCGCTTGCAACTCACCCTCACCTTTTTTTTTCATCGCGTTTCCTTCTCGTTCTTGTCTTGACGAAATGAGTAATGATGACGACCTGCGACCACATGACGACCACAGACGAAATTTAATGGATTACGATCGAACTAAAGGATGCATCATGCGGCTTGATGCCGTTATGTCAACCTTTCCATCGGTGTGAAACGATTTGTCAACTCGTCAACATGGAGGCAATTGCGTGATTAGACTCTGGACTGGTTTCTAGATCTGACTTGCTTTGCTCAATCTAACCGGCCGTCGTACGACAATACTAATACTTCGTTATGAGGCTTGTCTTGGAAATTGATCCGGAATTGGTTTCTGAGCTGGTCTGACACTGGCTGTCGACGGGAATAATACAGACAAACATCCTCCGGCTAGTCCGGAATTGGACGTTTGGGCGTGAGAAGGTGATGGTCGAGTTTGGGTATTATCCAAAGAGCTGGGCCGTGCCAAGTGTACTCTGCTGCGCAGGAAGGCACTTGGTACGGCGTCTTTGTCTTGCCGTTCAGCCCCGAGCTTCTTGCACTTTGCCCGAGGGTATTCTGGCCGTATCAACCAGTCGTGTGGGCCGCCCGACTCTTGTAGCTACCACGGCTGGGAAATACGGCCGTTCTGAATTTGCTCGTTTGAATCAGGGCGAAACATCCGGCAAAGAGTTTGAAGCAATGAAGGGCACAACAAGTAGTTCATCTCACTACGATCAGACTCCCTCAACTACGAGCCCAGTCATGTTCACAATTTCAGCTTGGATCTGGTTGTGAATGTTTCTGGGACAAAGTGAACGAGGAGTTCTGCCGCCACAAATGGGTTGACGTTTCCCGGACGCTGTAGATCAGCACACCCGGCACCGTCATCCGCTGGACTGCAGCGCAGGTTTGTAGGCACTGAGATGCTGGATATCATTCCCCGCCTTCCACCCGCATTATATGTGTGAAGTTCGTGGGGGGGGGGAGGAGCGAGACATATCTCCTTTTCTCCCTGACAAAGTATGCTATACGTCTGTCATGCGTATCGGGTTTATATACACCGAGGACAAGCGGACCGCTGCTGCAAAGGGGACCCCCTGCTCGTTTGTTCTTCAGTCGTTGCAGAATTATAGTTAATCTAAATCCGAATAACTTCTTTTTAATTAATGCGTTTTGCTCTTTTTGTGATTACGTGATGCAATTCGTCATGTATGTTCTGACCCAAAAAGGGTGATGAATGTATTATGGAGACAGGCTTTCGCCGGCGCGTTAGGTCATGAATCACCTCTTGAGCTAGTGGATTTGACACATCGCGATGCGTGCAGTGTTTTTTGAATTGTGTGTTACTGTTGAGTTAGCAAGGTACGACTATTGATTGTGTTACTAGTGGGTCCTGGTGATTAACTAGCCTTTTTATTTTATTTTTTTCATTAATAATTTAATTAATGTATTATGGAGACTACCCTATCCGTTCTTCATACCAAGTCCCCGTACAGAACAGTCCTTCAACTGCCCAACGAAGTTACGGTAGTCAATTTGCCGAGTTCCTTTATGAAACGTAACGGGGAAGTGCTATATGGGACTTCCTTGAGGTCTCGTTCTTAAGACGTAGTAGGTAATATACAAGAGAAAGAAAACTAGGCTAATTTCTCAGTCTGCTCCTCAATAGCGTTCCCGAGTCCATTGTCCACCCTCTTAAACATTTCATAGGTTCTCTTGCGTGTATCAACATGGGCAGCAGACAAGTGGCCTGCCACGTTCGAAATGAAATTCTCCTGCTGGCCAGGCGTACGTCCCAACACCTCCCACAGCCCTGTGGCCTGGACAAAGTCCTCATCCGTCACATCGCCAAAGAGAGCGTGGACAGCTGCACCAGACCACTGCTCATGTGTGACGCTCGGCGTGACGGGCTTGTAGGTCAGTGACCGATAAGAGCTTGGATAATTGGGATTGGCGCCGTAGTTGCCGTTGACAACCATGCCACCATCTCTTTGGAAAGGGTTGAAAGCATTTAGGGGCTTGTTTACGGGAATCTGTTGGTAGTTTGTACCTAAGCGGTGGCGATGTGTGTCCGGGTATGAGAAGAGACGGGACTGCAGGACGGGGTCTACGGACGGCTCGATTCCGGGGACGAGGTGGGACGGCGAAAAGGCGACTTGCTCGATCTCGGCGAAGTAGTTATCGGCGTTTCTGTTGAGGGTGAGCTTCCCGACTGGTCGGAGTGGCACCTCCTTTTGCGGCCAGACCTTGGTCAGGTCGAAGATGTTCCAGCGGAACTTTTCAGCCTGCTGTGGCGTGAGGACTTGCACGTAGACAGTCCAGCTGGGGTGTTCACCCTTCTTGATGGCCTCAAAGAGATCCTGCGTGTGCCAATCCGGATTTTCGGCGGCCATTTTGCCGGCTTCCTCATTGGTGAAGGTCTTGCTGCCTTGGTCCGTCTTGAGGTGTACCTGGGTGTATACGAAACTGCCGTCTGGCTTGGTCCACTTGTGCGTATGGCCGGAATATCCGTTCATATGGCGGTACGAGTAAGGCGTTCCTCTGTCTGAGAAGAGGTGCATGACTTGATGGATGGCTTCCTGGTGAGTTGAGAGGTAATCCCAGAACATGGTGGCATCTTTGAGGTTGGTCTGCGGGTTGCGCTTCTGCGTGTGGATGAACAACGGGAACTTGGTGGGATCTCGAAGGAAGAAGATTGGCGTGTTATTGTAGACCCAGTCAAAGTTACCCTCTTCGGTGTAAAATTTCACGGAGAAGCCTCGCGGATCACGGGCAGAGTCTGCAGATCCCTTTTCGCCACCAACGGTGGAGAAGCGCGCGACACATGGCGTCTGCTTGCCGATTTGGTTGAACATGTTCACGCTGGTGATGTCAGTGACGTCGTGGGTGACTGTGAATTCGCCGTATGCACCGGCGCCTTTGGCATGGACGACTCGTTCCGGAATACGTTCGCCTGTTCACAGTATGTAAGTATGATGTGTTTATGACTCTGGGGGTAGTTGAAGGTGCTTTTTGTTTATAGTTTGATGAAGAACTTACGATCAAAATGAGCTAGGGAATCGATGAGATGAAAGTCCTGTAGTAACAAGGGCCCCATCGGTCCAGGACGCTGCCATCCCTCCGGATTATTGATGGGAGCACCATTGGATGTTGTGTAGATGGGCTTCTCATTGTAGCGGTATGTCGAGCTCGCCTCGTTGGCACCCATGGTGACAGTTGAATGGAGATTTGATACAGATCAAGAAAGGCCCTGCGAGATCCAGTAGAAGTGGTATTGAGGTAGGCTTAATGGATTATCGCGTCCGGAAACTTGAGATACAAGACAGGGAGGTGCAAGTCAGGTCGAGACAAGATGTATGCCGATATGAATGAACAACCGTAGGACTTCCACTTCTCGGACTACTCCGGACTTGCCAGCACTATATACTACTTAGACTGCTTCGCCTAAGAAAGGCGTATCGCCACCATATTGTTCACAATACAAACGGGCCGGCCAGCATCCCGTACGTATCTGCCGGTGGGATCCAGCATCATCGAAGTCGGCACATGAATGCTGTCTCGACTTTCCCGCGCCACCGTTGCCAGTCCCCGCGGTGACTGAGTTCGACCACCGATCTCACATACAGTTTGGTGATTGGAGGCGATGAATAGACGTTGGGAGATGTGAGATGATGGTGGGGCGACGGCCCCAATCATGGTCGAAGTATATCCAAAGGCCCGAGAAGTAAATCTCGAAGCCCTCGAAGCCACCTGTCCGTGGAATCCGGCCGAGACTAATTCTTGTCCAGATTTCCCACGGTCATTGGAAACGAGCAATGCCGTAGTTGTGTACCAGCCCTGGTATTACCAATCATTAAATGTGCACAACTGACCGGCTATAGGAGGCAAAAACAAGAGATTCTGGGAGCAGGATCGAAGGTTCGTTTGTTACGCCGAAATCTTGCAACAGGAAGTGTTGTAGCAGCTCCACCAAGTACGGGGCGAGCTCGGCAATTCCAGCGATGAGGAGTTCCTGGCATGAGCTGCCGAATGCTGACCAGATTGATTTGTGAATTGAACGATTGGATCGGAAACATTGTTTGTGATGATGGTTGATGTCATGGGTAGCGGGTAGCATTGGCAAAGATGCAAGCGTGCGTTGGGGCCCTGGGGTGGTGGTGAGTCGTGACGCTTACACTTCGGGATACATGGGAAGGCACGACAGAGGCGACACCGACACCCACAAGGGCAACCTCAACAATGCCAGGTACCTGTGCCTCCCATGTAGTCATGGTCAAACGCAGCAGGCGATATTTCGGGATCGCGTTCGGCGTTCTTGAACACGCCGCGAGCCATTCGGCCTCTTTTGAATATTGCAGCCGCCCCACCATGATATCAGACCGAATTCTGATTCCCGTGGGATATTGCTGCTTCCAAAGTCGGTGTTTGACTGTTGTTTTTGTCATCCCGAGTCATACCCATTGCCGCGGCAGCATCTTGAGGAAGGGCCATGCAAAACACTAGACCATACACAAGGGCAAGGCATAGATATACTAGTCCGTCGTGAATTTTGCATGGTTGCTGCAGTCATTCGTTCACGAGTTTAAGTATATCGCCTACATCAATCTGTGGTGAAGTCTTGCTCTCACGCCATAATGACAGACATTTCCCCCTCAGTAGCTGATTTTGGTTTTATCCGAATCTGCTTTTCACATTATTGCTCGCCTCGCAACTCCCTAATACAACCTGGGTATAGTGTTGATATTTTTCGCATTGAGCTGGGGCTCATGGGGGACACTCGACTTAACTCGAAACAATAGTGTTCTCCATCAGAATTTGTGAGATCTCTCTATGTAAAGAAAAAGAAAAGGACCTCGATAGATCCTGATTGTAGTATTAAAGGGTCGTACTATATTACGTCTTCATCGCACTTTGCGTCGCACTCGTTTTCATTGTAGGTCTTTCTCCTCTTTTTGCAACATGATGGCCAGGTTGGGAGGAAGAAACCCATGGCCAGCCATTGTTGCCAGCACCCTGCAACTCAATGACACTCAATTCCTCTGTTCCCCCTTCCCATGAAGTTATGATTGCTGTTTACTATGATGCGACGGAATCGTGAGGGAGCCTTTATCATCACGTCGTTTTTTTGTTGTACATATTAAGCGCCGGAAACCGTAATAACAAAAAAAGAACCCATTGCGTATGCCATGATTATTCCTGGTTAACCGTTTGCTACCAAGCACATCAAAGTCAGCAAATCATCGCCCGTACACGCGCAATACTCCTCGGTAGAGTGTACTTACGACCAGCCAGTCCATGCCTTCATTGATACCGCTTCCATCAACAGCAGAGCACGCCATGATACTCCAGTTCCGGTCGCGCAGCTCACCCAGGCGCAGCGCTTCCGAAATCTCGCCCGCGCCCTTTGCGCCGGGCTGATCCTGTTTGTTGGCAAAGACTAACAACGCCGCGTCTTTGAGCTCTTCCTCGTTGAGCATTGCGGCAAGTTCCTCGGCTGCGGTTTGTAATCGCTCGATATCAGTAGAGTCGACAACGAAGATGACGGCTGCTGTGTTGGCGTAGTAACATCGCCAGTACGGTCGAATGCTTGTCTGGCCACCGAGATCCTGCACGAGCGTGGCGTTAGTTGCAGCTCTTGTCCTGCTCATTTTGCATGGCCATTCTGATATGCGTGTCCAAACATACCCAGACGTTAAAGTTTAAGTTTCTGTATGTCACCGACTCGACGTTGAAGCCGATTGTGGGTATCGTAGTGACGACCTCGCCAATCTTTTCGGATATCTGTTAGTATTCGGCCGTTCTCCAATATCAGAACACACTGGACATGTCGTACCTTTAGCCTGTAAAGCAACGTCGTTTTGCCGGCATTATCCTAATTCAAAACGTGTTAGTTGCCGCCCATTTCACCTCTAGGGAGAATTGCTACAAACATACAAGCCCCAGGATCAATATTCTAATCTCCTTCTTCGCCCAAAGCAAGTTGGACAGCCATGACATGCCCGCACCCATGGTGACTAAAGTTAAGATGTTTGCGTACACGGCGAGTGCAGGGAACCAAACAAATCAGCGTTGGCTAGATGCGGTGCCGAGGATCAGGGAAAAGCTCAGGTTGTAGTTCTCGAGGCCCCCAACACGCGTGGTCACTTGATCGGACGAATCGGGGTGGATATCGTACACAGATAACAAGAAACGGAATAAAATGGAGAAGAGAAAGATGACCGCTGGCTTCGTTGGCTTCGTCCTCTATCTGCGTGCTTCCCTGATGGTTTTCAATGTTCCGTGGCAAGAATTCCGACAGGAGGCAAGCATTAATTAGAAATCAGTCTCCTATTCTGGAACCTCTGTCGGACACCACCAACATTCCCGATTTCTGGGGGCGGCGGGCCAGGGACATGATCTAGACCCTGCTCTCTTGGTTACGGTTGGCTGCAGACACTGGACATAATTAATGGGACACACTGCATACTAATTTGCATACCACGACTGTCCGTGTGATTTTGTTTGCCAGCCGGCCAGACCATACTTAGTCAGCACACTTGTTTGTGCGAGGCAGCCCATCGCAGTAAACAGCTGGCATTTATGCCTGAGGCAGGAACAGCCACACCAGTCATGCTCAGCCACACACTCTCTCGCACCAGCCGCACCACACATCCTCGCTAGGGTTTTACGCCCTCGAGTGCGGGCCAAAAATCCTCTCGGTCTCAACTCCACGAAATTCCTCATCACTTTAGCGACTCGACACGCAAAGCCAACCAAGATGCCGGTATGCCGCCCTGCGACGCTGTCCACGACGACGCTCATGTTCAGAGAATGCACATTGCATGTTTTGCTCGCTCTCACATTCTCTGATCATTCTGCGCGTCGTGTGACGCACCCCGATCGTCCCGTCACCGAAAACACCATGAAACGCTGACATTTCATCAATAGAGCCACAAGTCTTTCCGTACCAAGCAGAAGCTTGCCAAGGCACAGAAGCAGAACCGCCCTGTGCCTCAATGGATTAGACTCCGAACCAACAACTCCGTCCGGTATGCATTATCTCACTGTGTTTCCGCTTTGTCGATCGAGTCTTGATGGACAAGGCCACCTGGGAAGAAACAACAGAAACTTGCCTGCTAACATGTCCTTTTCATTTTCGCAGCTACAACGCCAAGAGACGGCACTGGAGAAAGACCCGCCTCGGCATCTAAACTGTTTCGCCTACGACAATTCTCGACTCCTCTACCCATCAAATGTCGCCGACTATTGCAATTTTTTTCTCGCCATGGCTTCACAGTGAGATGGATTGAATTATCTTCGAAGGAATTCTAGAGGACATACACTTTACTGCTGCTCAGAGCGTAAAGTTGAACAAGGAAGAAACGGGGAGATGTGTTAAAACGTACCGAATTATAAGGCAGGGTTTTATTTGCCAGGTTTATCGCGAATTTCGCCGCCATTACTGCATGAAACGGTCGGGTTCAAGGAAGGAATGCACAATTTTGATGTCTCTGAAATAAAACGGGAAATGTTACTAGGATGGATCTGCACATCGTGATGCTATTGTAGATGATTGCTCGCACATCAATGATCTCCGACCATCGGGAGGGAAGTAGTCAGTATTTGTCGGAGATGGTATTGTCTCCGCTCGCCTCCGCGGCTCATAGCCCGCATATATCCATCGCAATGTTCCCAGGGCCGTCCATAATCCTCGCAGCGCCAGCGACGCTTGTGTGACCCTTTGCAATGACATCAGGGCGTGACGATCTGATACTGTTTTCACTCGAACGACTACGTTTCCTTATACACGATATCACTTGCACATTGACACAAGAAGACATTGGAGTGATAGTTTTGGAATTCTCACCTACTCTAACTTTAAAGCTAGGATGTTTACGCGTAAACCAGAAGCAAGGTAGAATCCATCGTCAATACCATGTAATCAGCCCCACGAACGCCCGAGTTGCATGGCAGAGGTGGCCTTTTGCGAAGCAGAAAGTAAGAAATCAGAGATAAAATCTAATGAGTCGGGACCAGCTCATTTCGACTACGTGCTCCATTACCGGTCCTCGGCCCACTCGTTCTCTCTTCGGATCTGCTCCTCCTCCTCGGGGGTAAAGTCATTGGTGATGTTGAAAGTCTTGCGGATCTCTTCTGGTGACTTTCCCTTGATCATGTTGGCCACAGTCTTACAGCCGACATCAAGCAGCGGCTTGATGTCAAGGTAGTTGGCAGCCTGCCGACAGTCAGTCTGCGAAAAGATGGCATGGATGGTGATGAAATGGTAATCGAGCATGGACTTACCAGAATAATCTCAAACAGCATTTCCTGGTCAACCTGCATGAACTTTTGGTCCCACTCCTCGATGTCGGTGGTACGTCGTCGGCCGTCAGACTCATCGTCTTGAGCTTGAGGAGGATCGTTGCGGTGATGCTCGCACCACTCGATAACCTTGCGGAGGACGGCCTCGTTTACCTGCATCAGTTAGCGATGATGCTGGTAGATTAAGCGGGTTGATAGAAAGCCTAGCAAGGCTGGCTGGGTGATGCAACATACGTTGGGAATTGGGATAGGATTATCCTGGCTGATGGTGTCATAACCAATGTCCTCCATCATGTGCTTAATGAGAATGGAGCGCTGGGCAACAACACGGTCTAACTAAGGAGTCAGTGCGAACTCTTCGACCGGCGAAACTTGCAAGTAAGTCGGGCAGTCACCTACCGACTTGCAAAGTGGCATTATCGTTGGAGACCAAGTAGACCTTGGCACCCGACGTGTCTTCGGCGGACATTTTGACGAACGAGAATGGATAGTGTTTCGGAGTGAGGAAGATGGCGTATCAAAAAGGTTGAGGTAGCGAGTTATATAGAGGAAGTAAAGCGCAGTTGCTGTTGAGGCAGTAAAGCGCAGTTGTTCTTGAAGTGGGCTGGGCAGTGTTTTTTATACCCGGCTGGCTGCAGATGATGATGATGATGAATGAAGGTAGGTTTAGAGAGTTCGCAGGTTCGGTTCACAGCCAGAACAGCACAAAGTTTCAACTAGGGCCACTGCGGGGTTTCGAACGTTTGGCAGGAGAACAGGCTAGCCACTACAGTCAGTGGACGGCGCCAGAAAAGGACGGATGGAGCCGATGTGGGTTCAATGTTGACTCCAGTGCTCAGTGCTGCGCTTAGTGCTCTGCTCAGAGAGGTCCGGTGCTATTCACATCCAAGTTGCAACAAACGTGAAAGAGTCACGGGCAAATGGGGAAAAAGTGCACAGGTAGTTGTGTATTTTTTCAGATCAATCGCGAGGCGTGCCCTTGATTAGGAGCTGCGCTCTTTGAACTCTGCGCGGGAAGAGGAAGGCTCTTGCTATGAACTTTGGAGCAAAGACAAACAAACTTACTGAGCCTATGTTTAGACGTGGGAAAACGATCCTTTGCACTTGCAGAGCTTAACGGTGATGGCCGCAGGCTAAAGAATTCTGGTGTATCGATGAGAAATTTGAAAAGACAATCAAACATCAATACATTGAGTGCAATGAGTGAGCATGTGTACATGCATGTGTACCTACTAAGTCCCTACTTTGGGTATAAGTACCTAGGTAGTAGACAGGTGCGCACCAAGTAATTCAGCTACTTTATTCAGGCGCCATAGCACGAGTCGCTAAACTTAAGGTTGAGATGGACCAGTTAATAAATGCTCTAAGGTACAGATGTCAAGTGCAATGGCTTTTTAATGTTGGACGGGCCCCTTGAGCAGGGCATCGGAGGTACTGGCTTCAACTTAATGTTGGCATGGGTTGTTGCTCAACTGGTTGAGCCTTTCAATGTTATCGAATCAAGCACTGTTCAGTTAGCACGCAGTGGAGCGCTGCTGCCTTGCCTCGTTTGGCAACCACCGCTTGACCTCTCGATTTCAATGTTCAATGTTATGCAGCCAACTGGGGTCTGCCATGTCAACCCCAACACTAAGCCTCCATGAAGCCATTCAATATTGATGTGTGATACGAACCAAAATCCACCAAGATTCAAGCAGACTTGGGAAGGCCATGCACTAAACGGTTCATCGCTTGATTCTTCTGGCTTCATCGACGAGAAGTCACCTGGTCGTGGCCGAAGAATCACAACTACTCCGTACGCCGTAGGGCTCTCTTCTCGCAGCCTGTCGTGCAGACTGCCGACTTATACATTCCGCGAGCATGCATAAGTAGGCAGTATGGCACTACATAAGACGACGTCCATCACAACCTGTGCTTCTCTGCAAGCATCCTCGATGAACCACTCCAACCTCTCACTTACTCACTTGGCACGATTCGAAGCGCTTCTCCAGGCTCCCTGCCCTCTTGTGAAATTCAATTCACTCCCGTCTCAGATCGCAATACGACAACGTTCTAGCCCCGACATATTGGCGTATCGCGCCGTCCGCATTCGGGTCTGGAACGGCTGCCTCGGGTATGCCACTACTAGTAGGTAGCTGTCCCTGCGCATTCCCATGTACGAAGCCATCTAACATACTCCTAGATTCCTTGTTTCAACCGAAGTCGATGCGCATTCCTTGCAACGGCAGGCTTCTTGCGCAAAAAGTACGGAGCAGTGGTTACGACTACCTTCTGTGTATGGGCCATTCTTGACCTTGCCTGATGGCGCAAGGACTCCAATGACATACCTTTGTGGCCAGTGACGCAAAGATCAGAGCCCTCCGCCGCACAAGGGAGCATCAAGCTTGGCCGAGGAGGTTGCACCGTAGCGGCAAGCCTGTCTGGGGAGCTGGGGTTGTCCGCGACGTGCTGAAGCTTCCCCAGTGCTGTGGGTGATGTCCTCTGTCCTCGTCACGGGGCCTTATTATAGCGATGGAAGCCATCAACTTGAGGAAGTTGGGCGCTGTGTGCATACAGTAACAATGTCCACATATCAGACAGCTGAACAATGGACAGACCCAGAGCTCAGAGACCCTGGGCTCCCGTGACAAAGAGTCAGGTCCATTTCTATGTCTTGGTTAGCCCCGTTAGCTAGCCCATTTCTTTGGGTGGCATCGGGGATCGGGGATCCAGGACCATTGTCTGGTTGCGTCTTGTTAGATTGCCGACCCATGTTTTTTTTGTTGACCAGGGGGAGCGTGCCTGGCGTGACGCGATGCAATGTCCAAACCGTCAATGAGTCTCCATAGTCCTCTTTGTGAAGTTGATGCGGAATAACAAGCCCTAGTATCCGGGTCCCGAGGCTGCTGGGCTCCATGCCGCCTGCAGCTTAGCGGCGGTCCTGCCCTGTTATTGACCTGAGAGGGGAGGACATCAACCTTTAAGCATTCTTCGGGCCGTTGATCTGTGGACGCACTCGTCAAGCTGTCAGCCTCTCAGCCTCTCCGCCTCCCATCGAACTACTCAATATCGACTGGACCCGTCAACCGATTTAGCAACACCATACATACATACATACCACATGTCAGAGGTCAGCGATTGGCGATTGGCGGGTTTGGGAGACAGACCCCTGGTGCTGACACCCCCAACGCATGTTTGGCTCATTGTTGGCAGAGAGCCCCTATTCTTGGGGTCTGTTGATGCGAGACGTTCCCGTCTGTTTGCCTGCTAGCACTCTGTATTGCTATGCGCTCCGTACTCCGTACACGTGTAGGCAGCCGTCCAAGCTGTCAAGTCTCTCGAGTGCCGGCGACAGGGTCGACGGAGCCGGAGACGGCGAATACAAGGCACACCCAAGTGGTAAGGTGCAAAATGAAGAGATGAAAAGAAGAACAAAGGAGCATACTAGAACAAATTCATGATAAAACGGATGAGCGAAACAAAAACCAAGGGCGTGATGCGATCAGGCTATCCACCCCCTGATGACAATGACCCTCCGTCATTATCAGGTCTGGTCACAGGTGCTAGGTACGGAGTACTAGTACTACACCCACTGCAGTAGTACGTGGTTACTAGGTGCCAGGCTGCCCCGTCAGCCTTGCAAGCTCCAGTCTCAAGCTCGTGCCCCCTGTCCTCTGAGCATCAAGTGGACACCCCTTTTTTTTTCCAAGCTCAGCCAGCACTGATGAGCTCTTTAATAAACGTGTCTTATCGCTGGCCGTGTCCCAACTCCTGCTTGAGTGTGTCGTACTGTTAGTACTTGGACTCCTGCTCCCACTCCATACGCCTTGATAAAATTAATTAATCTGTCTTGTTTGCCCCCGTTGATATTTTTCCCGCTCTCCATATTCTACCTTCAGGCCGATGGCGCTGCGCAAATAGCCCTTCAGCTTCAGCTTCGTGTTACCTGGCTTGTATTGTCATCTACTCTGTAATCTCTTTCACAGCTTACTTCGTTCTGCCCGACACACCTTCGTCGCGCCTACGTCGTCGATTTGCTTCTGTACGCGCTGCCGCTCTGGAAGCGTCCACCATCGACTCGCCATCCTTTTCATCTCCCATGTCTTTGCCTGCTTTTCGCTACATCTTCGACCTCATGCCTGCCGTGTCATCGACTACCGCGAGGTACTGTTGCTGAACTATGTGGCGGCGCACTTATCTGCTTCTCGTTCTGATACGGCTGTGGTTCGCCCTGTCCCCCAGCTACCTACACCCGGACGAGAACTTCCAGGGCCCCGAGATTATAGCCGGTACGTCGATATTTTTTATTTTTTTTCGTCCTGATGCCGCGCATTTGAGTCTTGTCATTCTCGGGCTCATGCTCATGCGCCGGTCTCGTTTGTGTTGTCCCTACACCAGGTACAAGGTGGAGCTTGGAGCTGCGGCTGGTGCCCTGGTGTCTCGACAGACTCGTCCGGTCAAGTCACGCGCTCGCCATGCTCTTGTGCTCTGGTCCTGTGAGAGCAGCCTTGCTGACCAAAACATGTTTTCAAATCCACAGGCCAGATCTTTAGTTATCCCGTCCGAAGAACCTGGGAGTTTACGAGCGAGCACCCGATACGGAGCGTCTTCCCGCTATGGCCCGTCTATGGGCTGCCAATGCTACTCCTTCGATGGTTGTGGATTGGCAACGGCCATGATGGCGAAATTCCGCCCATCGCTGTATTTTGGACTTTGCGAGTTCTCATGTTCCTGATTAGCTTTGTCTTGGAGGACTGGGCCCTCCACGAACTGATACCCTCACCGCGACATCGACGTGTCGCTGTGCTCTTGGTGGCATCGTCGTATGTCACCTGGACATATCAGACACACACCTTTTCGAACTCGGTGGAAACTCTGGTCGTAGCTTGGAGTCTGGTTTTGATTCAGCGCATTGTGGATACTCGGGTATGATGATTCCCCTCCCCGCAGTTTTGCCTCGACCAAAATTTCATTTTACGGCGTCTCACTGACTCTTCCGTTTCAGCAACAATCGTCGCTTTTATCTTCGACAGTGCTCGGCATTGTCGCCGTCTTTGGAGTGTTTAACCGAATCACCTTCCCAGCGTTCTTGTTAATTCCTGGCCTTCGTTTGATACCCCATTTTTTGAATAAGTCAGTGGTCTCTTCCTCCACTCACGAGGCATCCTCGTGGAGTATCGTGCTGACTATCAAAGCAGACCTTTTTCTTTTGTGGCCCTGGCTTCGGCTGCTTTAATAACCACTGTAATAGCTATCGCGCTGGATACCGCTTTCTACTCATCTGAGCCCGTTACTTGGGCCAACCTAATCTCCAGACCTACAATCACCCCGCTCAACTTCTTCCTCTATAACTCGGACACGGCAAACCTTGCCCAGCATGGTATACATCCGTGGTACCAACATGTTGCGGCAAACCTTCCGCAGCTCCTTGGACCTGCAGCTGCTTTAGTCTTCGCCAAACCTCATTTGTCGCTGAGACTTTACTCCGCTATTTCTGGACTTTTTGTCCTATCTATATTCCCGCATCAAGAAGCTCGTTTTCTATTGCCCACCGTGCCCCTAATTCTATCATCAGTCGAGCTACCCAAGAATAAGATCTTGCTGCGAACTTGGGCAGGGGCATGGATCATCTTCAACCTATTTTTGGGGGTGTTAATGGGCATTTACCACCAAGGTGGTGTCGTTCCCGGCCAGGTCTTTATGAGCAAGCAACCAGACGCGACCCAGGCCATTTGGTGGAAGACCTACACCCCGCCAATATGGCTCCTCAACGGCAAGAACGAGGTTCTGCAAACAAGGGATGTCATGGGTCTAAAGGGCGATGCATTGCTCACACAACTGACGGAGCTCGCCACTTGTGACACACCCGCTGATCGACGTAATCAAGAGTACTTGAAGGAGAAGAATGGGACATACCTTATTGCGCCAGCTTCAGCAACTTGGCTGGACCCGTATCTCTCAAACAAGGGATTGCACGGGTTGCGATTCCGAGAAGTATGGCGTTACAGAAAACATTTGAACCTGGACGACCTCGATTTTGGGGATGATGGTATTTGGAATACGCTGTCGCGGGTGATTGGCCGACGGGGCTTGATAGCATGGAGGGTAACCAAAAGCTGTCAAAAATTAAGTAATTCAAGCTAGAATATTGAACATATATCGTAACAATATGTACCCATTTACCTCATGTGTCATGTGTTCAAGCGTGCCGTACTGCAGATATAGCGTCGGTTTCAAAGCTCGTGGTATGTCAGCGCCACCAGAGATCCGGTCGCTGGCCTGTTGTACCTACAACTACAGCTTGGCAGATATCACAGCAAGAGGGAGGAACCTATAATGCAACAACTTGACTCCTGTATTGAGATTCTAGTCTAAGCAAGTCCTGGCCAGTTCACTCAGATCAAAGAACCCCCCAAAACAAGCACAACTGAACCGTCATTTTTGAGGCCACTTAGTACAGGCGCTTGGGGGGCGACATGGAGGCCTTGATGGTCAAGCTGCCAACGTTCTGCCAGCCCTTCTTCAGAAGAGAGACGAGGTAGTTGATGGCGAGCATGATGTTGCCAATGAGCTGCTCCTGCTCCATGGCGACGTTTCCGACGGCGACACCCATGCAGAGGACCTTCTTGAGCTGGAACTTGATGGTGGACTTGACCTCGGTGATCTTGCCGCTGAGGTCATCGGAGTGGGAGACAGGGGTAGGGAACTTGCCGGCTGTTGCATCAAGTATTAGCACCGAGGAGCGAGACAATCTCCGCTTTGCGTAGGAAGAAGCGGTGAGGATCTTTGGTGGCGGGGAGAGGGAGATGTTGCTTACCCTTGGACAGGCCGGGACCCAAGAGACGAGGGATCTGCTTGATAAGAGCGTCGGAAGCGAGGAAAGCATCGTACTTGCGGGCGAGCTTCTTGATGAGCTTCTTGTTCTTGTTCAGCTTCTTCAAGTCGTCGGCGGACATGGCGTCGACACCGCCGTGCTTGGCACGGTCGATATCGTGCTGGTCACCCAAGATGCAGATGGCCATGTTGGGGCGAGGAACGCTGGGCAGCTTGATGGTGCCGGAGAAACGCTTGTCACGCTGGGGGTCATAGTTCTTCAGGCCGATCTGGAGCTCGACCGTCTCCAAGAAGTTGCGCTTCTTGGTCTCGTTGGAGTACTCCAAGAGCTCGGCGACTTGCGTCCGGACATTGGCTGTAGTGCGTGGTTAGCGACGACTGTGTGGGTGGTGTTGCGATTGCGCATCGATAAGGCGCATCGAGAACCAGATGTATTCTGCAACGTACCGACTGTGATCTTGGACATTTTGGCAGTCTCCCAATAGATTCAATATTATCTAATGGTAAATCAGGACAGGTCTTGTTGTGGAAGGGTTTTGGAAGACCGAAGGTGGGTTTGGGGATTTTGGTGATTTTGGGGTGTGGGGACCCTGCACACTTCACGGCAATTGGTGGTGGGATGTGTGCGGCAGGGCAAATTTTTCTCACGTGGGGGTACGCGTGACCACTTCCGAGCCGCATGCCTTGAGGTACGTACCTACGACATTTTTCATGGTATTGTACTTAGTAGACGGTGGCCACGGTTATAGATTGTGTAGATGGCATTTCTTATGGCCTTTTGCTGGTGATGACACACTGGTCCCAGACTTGGTTATGTATTCAATCGTGGTCGCAATCTAATCAGTACAATTTGAAATGGTGAAGCCTGAGCTTCCTGCAGAGGTTACTGATTTATTGGCCAGCCCGGTTGAGTTGGTAAAGTGGCTAGAACATGAAGATGCGGAACTGGGGAGAAGGTCAGTGCTCTGTAATTTCTCAAAGTCAAAAGAAACTTGACTAATTATACGCCGTAGCCATGCAAATCTCCTCTTTGAAAAGCTGCTCAAGGATGCGGCTCAGCCCAAATCAATGTCCGGACAGGCCTGTCTGAGACTTTGCGGACTTGTCGAGCAGTCTTCTGTGTCCAAATCTGATGACTTACGGCTATGGGCCTTCTCACAAGAGGTGATGTTGAAATTGTTCAACTTTTACATTGAGTGGAATGAGTCGGACAAACATAGGTCCATGAAACTGGTGCTCGACCTCGTTGCTCGGTGCATTCTCAAGAACCCAGATCGAGATGCCGCATTGCAGGCCAAGAAATATGTTTCGGATAGTCTCATTTCAATTGTTATTGGACGTTCTACCAAGCCCGTTGTCAAATCTGCGATTAAGACGCTAGATCACTTCCTATCGAAAGGAGTATTCAACCTGTGCGACATTCGTTTGACGTATGTGTCTTTTCGAACGGATATACGAACACAGGATGAAGTTGAAATATGGCGAAACTTTACTGTGGAATTGTTTCACTGGATGCATCTGCAACTTGTACGTCCCACGGTGGGCAAGTTGATTGTGTCCGTCTACCGTCTCTGGAGACGGGGGCAGGATGTAGGAGCAGTTCCTAGCATCGAGATATGGCATCAATGGCTACTTGACTCTTTGACTGAGGAACCCACACTTCTGGAGTCTATCAAGAATTATATCTTTTTGCCGTTATTCAAAGCTGATAGGTCGGAAGCTTTGGCGTTCTTAGGACGTATGAATGAGGACCAGGCAGTTTCTGCAGCGAGTGGGATGAGCTTGGATGTTCCCGCTCTTCTTCAATTGGCGGCACTGGAGACTGGAAAGAAAGTTGGTCTTATTGAGGAACCTGGTAAGTCGTTCAACAGGGTCCATCATTTGGCACCGACAGAGGAGTGTTAATAACTTGTTGATTAGCCCTCGGAAGCGCCAACAGCCAGGCAGAGCACAACTCATCTATAACGCTACACGAAAAGGTCCTGGAGAGTGTATTGGCCCATCCTTCTCATGAAGTTCGATCTCTAGCACTGTCTTTACTTGTTACATCACCCTCCACCACACGACCTTACTCCCCCGTCGCACTTGATCTCCTGAGAAAGTACATGGGCACATTCTTTGCCGATCCAGATGCCAAGTTTAGAGTGGAAGTTGCGTCCAAGGCGCGCGACATGTTCAGGAGAGTTCGTGGTGCTATTCACGTGCTAAAGCGTAGCATTCCGCGAGCTCGAGCCAAGGCGCAGAAAGCGAACGCTCCTCCTTCGGTTGACAAGGATGCCGTTTCACAGCCTATTCTCTACCAATCGAATCTGATCTCCTTACCCGAAGCCCAGCTGGCTAACTGTTTGGACTATCATGTCGAGTTTCTCCGTTGGTATCTAGGCTTCTTGTGCGAGGAGCTAAGTCCAACTGCCTCGTACCAGAGGCATATTGCAGCTCTAAAGGCATTTATGTACATAATACGCTTGGAAGGAGATTCGAATAAAACCTGGGAGACATCTGACGACCAGGAACTCTTCTTCAATTGTTTGGATGCCAAGTGGGCACGAGCATTGTTTGATTTGGTCATGAATCCCTTTGAGGACGTCAGAGATTTGTCGGCAACGGCTCTAGCAAAATGCTACGCCGACGGTCGATATCGCCGGCTTACACTCACAGGGGTAGAAATTACGAAAGTGCCCGTCGAGGAAATTACCCAATTGTCACAACGGGCTCATGAGCTTGTTCGCCGAACAGCCAGGGCTGATCACTCTGACGGCGCCTCGAAATCGTCCCAATTGCTTTATAGATTTCTCGAATCAGGCGATGAAAGAATCAAATTGCTGGCAGCTATGGTCAATGAGTTGAACCGCAAGGTGTCCATGGCAGAGAAGGATCTTGGTCAAGCCGTCGTCAACGCACCTCTTCATGGAGATTTTGCTTCACTATGCCATACGTGGCAGGTTGTTTCTGAGATCAAACTCTCTGAAGTCGAATTGCTTGAGGCGAATAAACTCCAGCGGGACATTGTATCATGCTGCGAGCGAGCATGGAGAGCCGTCCGAGATGTTCTGTGCGATGATTCTCCTGAAGGACACTTGCCTCAGGAACTCGAGGAAGTAGACGGACTTGATACCAAAGATCTATTAAGTTATAGTTTCCGTTCCGTTCACGAGTCAAGGTATGCTATACACTGCTGCTGCATCATAGGTTTTCTGGGAACTGCTGTTGATCTATTTTGTAGCAATCTTATGCGCACGATTATCCTCACAATTCAAAATAGGTCCCGAAATGGCCTGATCATTCCTTCAAAGGAGGTATTCGAGAGGATCGGAAACCTGACTTTTACGCAGCTAGCAACCTTGCGTCACAGAGGCGCGTTCACCACAGTTTCGTCTACTTTTGCGACTTGCTGCCAGCAGACGAAATATCTGCAATTGGAACAAAACGAGAGAACTCTATTGGACATTTGGTACGAGGTAAGCAAACGAAAGTCGAAACTATTACACATGATATGGCGTGGTATTTTCGCTGATTGACTCAGGGTACACTGAATGCAATCGACTCTCAAGCATCAACGACGCGCCGGTCCGCGGGAATTCCATCGATGATCACCGGAATCCTCGCAGCAAACGCCTCCCACCCCAGCTTTGCGCAAGTCATGGACACCCTCATGGCCATAGCAGCCAGAGAGGCCAAGGTCTCGGAAACCGACGGATCCAGGCTCCCTCAAGTCCACGCATACAACTGCCTCAAAGATATCTTCAAAAACTCCCTCCTCACAGCGCTGGGGAACAAGTCCGAATCCTACTTGCCCCAATGTCTAGAACTTGCGGCCAGCGGCCTACGATCCGAGGTATGGGCCATCCGGAACTGTGGCCTCATTTTTCTGCGAAGCCTCATTGACAGCTTGTTTGGGACTCACGAAAGCAAAGCCGTGATTGAAGCCGGGTGGGATGGCAAAGCAAACCGCATTCATTACCACAGATACCCCAATTTGCCTGGCGTGCTCAAAAACCTCCTTCAATCTGGGCACAGTATTCTCTCTGAATCGTCTACTTCAGCCACGGCTGCTGCAGAGTCTGTGTTTCCTGCTCTGGACATCATCCGTCGAGCGGGGCCTCCAGATTTGCTCCGGGACGAAATTCAAGTCGATGTGACGGCATATCTGTCCAGTCCTGTGTGGCATGTCCGCGACATGGCAGCGCGTACGCTTTGCTCCTGTCTCCTGCATGAAAAGTGGTTGGCGGATACCAGAGGTATTTTCGATGCTGCAATGACTAGCAAATCGAGGAATAAGCCGAACCATGTCCATGGAATACTTTTGACTCTGAAGTTTGTCATTGATAGACTAAGCGAGGTTGCTCGTGAACGACTGCTGGGTATGTATCCCCTTGTAGTCCATTTGGAATCATAATAAGCTGACTCCATTCTCCAGTTGATCTCCCAGAACTCCACTCCTTCCTTGTCCAAACCAAAGTAGACACTTGCTTCCCTGACTGCCCCGACATCATCGCTTCATATCTGGAAGTCATAAACATGATCTGGTTCTTTCAAACGACAAACAAGCACCCACTATCTCCATTTAGCATCACCATGCCCAGAAATAGAGGGTCTGCTCTTCTGAAAATCCAGAGGGCCATTCACGATGTGTACGTCCTATCCACACTCGACGAACCCGTGTCACAGCTTCAGTCTCTTCTTCAAAGCCAGCAAGTCGGCCTCGACGGGCTGGTAGCCGCGCTTGAAATCATTCCCAAAGTATGGGACCCGTCGTTGTGTTCACAGGATACTCTGGCTTCATTATCTAATCTATACGTCAACGTCTGTCTGCAAACCGACTACTCAAAAGCCCAAGTCCTCGCCGTAGAAAATCTAGCCGACACCATAGACAAGCTCCTCCAGCAAAAGGCCATTGACAAGATCCCTAGAGATGCATTGGTTAAACTCTGGCTGGGTCTACCGGCTCGTCCCATGAACCCAGCTCTCTCTAACGCAGTCATCAGAGCAAGCGGCTCTGTCATAGCAGCCCTAATCCGTCCCGAGCAATCTACACCCGTCAATATCCATTCATGGGGCCAAATCATGGCCGAGGCCGCTCTGGACAACAAGGTAAGGCAAAATCATGCCTGGTAACGACGAGTTGCTGACCACCACAGACATTCGACACTCGCTTCGCAGCCGCCTTATCCCTCGCTTCCTTCTTCACCGCCTCACCCCCGACCTCCCCAGAATTCCTTCCTGCTCTCCTCTCCCTCTACGACCTCCTGAATGACGACGACGACGAGGTCCGTGATGTAGCTGCCTTGGCCGCGAATTCCGTCATCGGCGCCGCCCTGGTGCCCATCGAGGCAACAAACCGCCTCCTCCAATTCCTCGGCACACAATTCGGCACCGCGCCAGAATTCAAGGCAATTATAGCAGACCGTTTAGTCGGGCACTTTGGCGTACAGGCTACGAAGCTGGAGAGCTGGGAATCAGCAGAGGTTGAGCTTGCGCGGGCACTTGAATTTGATGATTCGCTCTTTGTGGTCGAGGAGAATAACCTGTTTATTGACGAGGTGCGTGAGACAAAGCGGTGGGTAGAGGTCTTCGAGAGCCTTGAATGGGATGAAAAGGATGAGCATTTGGGCAAATTGGGAAGTTGGGTTCAGGGTGGGATTGCGCAAGTTGCCAGACTTGCTGAATTGGAAGACGGGCCCTTGGGGTGGGCTTCCAATCCGACAGCATTTGCTATTTGCACACGGATAATCCGCTGCTCTGTGGCATTGGGTAGGAAATTCAAACACTCGGAGCTGGAACAAGGTGTTGCTTTGGCAAAAGAGGCGCTACGATCGAGGAGCACGACGGTATCGAAGTTACTGGCAGAAGCATGGATAGATTTTTAGACACGTTTGCATACAATTGGATAAATGAAGAAAAAAATAAGCCTATTTGCTAAAGAATTGATTATCCTCAAATCCATTGTGCCGTATCGTTCAGCGTGTGCTGCGAATATTGTCATAAATGCATGTCTCTTTTCCAATACGTCCCCCTCTGGAACATCAACCAAACTCCGGAAATCAACACGCTTCGTATCTGAAATGCTCCAGTTTGTACGTCAAGATTTCAATGACTTGATAGAATTCGTCTTTGAAGATGACGAGTCCTCCCTATTTAATGCCCCCATACGCCCCAGCTTTGCCACAAGCATAGTGTTCTGCGCCTGGAGCTCCCCGACTTGACCACGCAGCAACTCGATCTGCTTCATTGCAACATCGTTGTCCGCCCTGGCCTTCTCCAACGCCAGCGTCAGGCTAGATTTTTCCTCTCTCTCAGCGGCCTTTTTCCTCCGCGCTTCTGCCTTTCGTTCCTCCTGCTCACGCTTCTCCTCGAGCTTTCGCATGTCGCGGTTATGCTTAGCTTCTCGCTTGGCCATTTCCTTGTCGATTCTCTCGCGGTGTTTAGCTTGTGATGCAGCGTCTTTTTCTTTCTCGCCAAGACGTTTTGTTTCCATCCGCTCCATGAACTGAGTGTAATTCCTTTGTAGCTTTTGGCGCCGGTCCACGAGCCTCTGGAGATCTTTTTCTGTTGGCTGTAGGCGCTGCGACTTTGATTCGTCAGAAACGCTGCCAGTCATGCTATCAGATGCCTTTTCGCGGGTCAGAGTTTTCTCCGGTGCGGATGTGAAGCTGCGCGTGGAAGATGTGTCGCTTTGTGATGCGTTGTCGTCTTCGTTTTCATCTTCTTCGGGTATAGGCTGGCTATCCGCTAAGCTGTCCTGACTGCTGTTGAAGCTCAGCGGATTGCTGAATTGTGATCGAAGGCCAGAAGCAATAGAGCCTGCAACACCAAATGCACCACTAATTATTCCATACAGACCAGTGCTGCTCGGTATCCATTCGCCATAGCCTTGTTCATGATCTCTGCTATCTTGGTCGTCATTGAAAGACATCTCTGGTGGTGTTCGGGCATTATCATTAATGGTCACGGCCGGAACATTTCCATTAACACTGCCATTGCCAGGGTTCTCGTTGTTTTTATTGCGCTGATCGGTCTCCTGGGCAGAACGAGGGGTACCATCCTTATGGGTTGTCGACGAGACCCAATCCAGGAACTTGGCTGCGTCACCAATGATACCCGGGGGGGTTCCTCTCTCGATTAGAAACCGTGGCACGCTACCACCAGGATCACTTCTCGTCACCATGAGCCACTCAATTGCTCGAGGCGTCTGAAGGTCATCGCTAGATCGACTAGGGGACATTGATTTACGACTGTCGTCAGCCAGCAAATCGGCCGAAGAGAAGGATCTCTTGTTTGCGGCGGCATCACCATGAATGGGGACTTCCCGTATGATTTCGACTGACTCGTACTGTCCTCGAATTATGCCCTGGCGAGGGGGACAATCAGGGTGAACACATGGCTTCGACACCACAATATACTGCCGTAAAGGTGGTTGTTGCTGTTGGTCAGACTTTATGTGTGAAAAGTCGGATGTGAGGAGTAGTGTGATGAAGTCCCGCGGGGCTGTTGGGCCTGGGAACTGAGCAGAAAGTTGAAACACTGCGTAATGAACATTCGTCAGCGAACTCGGGTTATATGCTATTGGGGAGGGGGTAAACTACCATCAACATGACCGGCATCCACGACGTGATGCTCAACATTTCTATCAGCGCCAATTCCGCGAATATTGCCGCTTCCCGGTGATCCCTGCACCTTCATGGTCTCAGCAAACTCTCTCTCGAGTCCCGATTTCCACTGCTCAAAGGACAAGCCCTCATGGACACTGCGCCTAGCAAACCATGCACCTTTGCCATCTTTCGCAGCTAGCCTGTGCACGGTGATGCCCAGGGGGTTATCTTTGGGGTTTGTCTTGATCTCCTTCCACTCCTTCCGCAATTGTGCAGATAAAGCAGCAGCAGCGGGCGATTGGTGCAACGATAATGATCGTTGGATGTCTGTATATACTAGAGCGGAATCGGTCTTTGCTCGAGCTCGTCCTGTGGGAGGTGGTTTTGCAGCGGGTGTCACAGTGGAGGGAACTGAGTCGATGATGACGTGGGCGTCTTTAAAGGTGCTGTCTAGAAAGGACTGGAAGTCTTGACGTGGTACGTCGTTCCAATTGATGGGCGCCAGGGCCTGAAACGACAGATGATGGCTCGCCATGGCACCGCGAATTTTGTTCACGCCGACGACGACGACGACGATGACGACATGCCTTTTCGCGGCTCGGAGGCTACTTCGTGGGTCAGCCGTGTCCAGAGGGAGTAGAGACCAAGATGAAAGGCAGAGAGCAGGCAAAAAAAAGGTGAAGATGTGAAGAGGAAGAAGGGGGGAAGGACCAGTTGCCAGCTTACATAGCTTAATGAGTGGTGTGCGGAGAATTCGGGGGGAGGGGTGGTCGGATTGGAAAATGGAGAATGGAGAATGGAAGATTCCAGGAAATCACAGGATAACCAGGGCAGCCTTGTCGTGGTGTCTCGGTTGATCAAGTCTGGATCTAAGCTTGCTCAAGGACGGAGGGGCGGAAGAGGCGGCTGGTGTGTGCGCTTTCCAACTTGACTTGTTTCCATTTCCATTGAGAGTGGTTCAACTGGCCTCTTTGACGTCACATCCATGTTCCAACCGTCACCGTTAGTCAGCGTTTGTGCTTGATTACCGAGTGCGAGGTGCGAAGTGCGGACACCGGTGGAGGTGGAGTACGTACACTGTACATGAGCCCGTTTCGGAGCCACGACTTTCCACTTGCTTCGGCACATCCGGCCCCCCATCATCAGTCTTTGCGCCAGCAAAAAGAGCCATGTGCCGCTACATGTGAGCCAAGACTATGCTCGGCGTCTTGGGCTGAAGATCCACCGGAGAAGGGAAACCAACATCAAATTGAATCTCGTTGGGGGCCAATACATGGCGCCGGTATCGTCTATAGTACGGAGTACACCCACCTTATAATGATAATATTCTACAATCATTGCTGCCTCATGTCCAGCGGGAAAAGAAGAAAAAAGGAATGAATAAAGACAAGCCAATCTCATGCTGAAGGCTTTCAACCCTCATCATGCATACAGTTACACCCCCGTTACTATTCTCTCTTTGATGACAGATTCGAAATCCCGTCGACAGCTGCCACAATAATCATCTCTCCATTCCTGCAATGCCTTCTTCCGACTTCCCGTCAATGACCCCATCATCTTTTGATTCTGTGAGCTGCCCTTGGCTAATTCGTCCTTGCCATCTTCCACCAGCACCAGGTCGAGGTCGTCGCACAGCGATTTCTCATTGATTAACCAATTCTCCCATTCAGACTGCAACATCTCCCTCTCTATGCTGTTGACTACGCGCATCGCCACCACCAAGTCGTGTCGGTATGATCCTAAACGCTGCCTCGTTCGTCGCAGTCTTCGTGCAGTCGCTCGACTCGACGGCGATGACAGCGTGGCGCCGGCTTCATCCCAGGGAATGTCAATCTCAGTTGTGTCCAAGAGGCTCTTATACGTGCCGAAACATGAACTGTTCTTGGGAAACTTCAATTCATGCCCGTGAGTACCGGTAGCCTCATCCAGATCCGCAAAGTAAATTGCTTTGCTCATCATTGGGTTAGGTGCTACACCGATTCGTCGCATAAATCTTGCCGCGCTGCGCTCTTTCCACCAGGTTGAAGACTCTGCCGAAGTCAACAATAGGTTCATCAGGGCACTCAAGCCCAAAAGGATAACAATGACCCGGTGCGCCGTAATGATGCCAAAGAGTGTCTTCAATCCCGCAAATGCCCACATAATGAGTGAAGAGACTGCACTCTCTCCGAACGACCGGACGGTTTCGAATAGCATGGCCGTTAATGTACGTGGCTTGATCGCTTGCTTCTTGCTCGACTCCGCAGCCGCCGGCGAAAACACAACCACCTGCGTCTGCTGGCCGACATGGCCGTATACCTGGATGGCTCTATTCGTTCGGCTTCGAGGTCCCAGCTTACGAACTTGATCTGTCGCCAATTCTGCCATTTCTTCTGCGTCATTGATAGCGTCACGCAGAGCCTGCCGCTCAACCAAATTCTTCGAGAGTGCTGGCGTTTTGGACCAGTCAATCTTGACGTACGCAGCGAGCTTGCATTTAGATTTTGCCACGTGTGTAATGACAATTTTCGTCACCAGCTTGAAGCTACCCGAATGAGGCAGATGCCATGCCGTTTTGATATGGGTCACAACGTACGTGACATGGTCACTGTATACGTCAATACTCTGGTAGTCGATAACATTCTCCGATTTCTTCCGGCCAAGCATATCAACACAATCCACCTTGAAGTGAAATTCTCGCCGCATTTGTCCTTGATCAACAAGCACCCAAGGTCCCTGCGCAATCTGCTGGGCTCGGTGCTCGAAGTAGAGCTTGGGAAAGACGAAACTCTTATCGCCGAAAAGCACATGGAAGCATGCTTTGGCACTAATTTCGAAGTGCCGTTCGGCAGCCATTTGTGTCATGCTCTCGGGCTCATAGACGACGGGTCGTGACGGGAGATGTAGCTTTCCTGGGAGTCGTAGCGGCGACCTGGACGGATGAAGATGGGACCCGTATTCACGCTGGCTTCTTGCTAATGGCAAGCCAGAAGAGGTGCCATCATCAATGGGTGAGATCGGCGACAAGCCTTCCCAGCTTTCAGCGCCAGGGCTAGGCCGCTCAAATTCTTCCTTCTCAACGTTGATCAACGCTGAAATAATATCTTGTGTATCCATGGGCTCCTCGGCTTGCAAGTTATCCACCAGTAGGTTCAGGCGAGTATGGAGGAGGTGGAGGTCGTCCAAGAACACCTTGATAGTAATGCGGGTATAGCCAGTCTCGTTTGTGTCTTGGCCAAGATGTATGAAGATAAAGTCACAGTCCTTCCCGGCAGCACTTGTCACCTCTGTAATTATGTCGAGACTGATGCCGTATGCTGTGACGAGGCCCATCTGTTGGCTGTAAAAATACATGTTATCAGGTGTGACATAAATTCTACCGTCTCCAGCAAGGGTGTCACTTGGGGAGTCTCGTGCTTTGGAACTCGACCACGCCGCACGAAAGACCAAGACAAGGTTTTCTCCTAGCGGCGCATTCGGGAAAAGCAGGCGAAACTGGGCATTTTGAGCTCTCAGCTCCGTTGGATAATTGCGTGGAAGTGGACGGCTAGTATGGCCTTGGCTACCAGCTCCAGGGAGACTGGTCTCCGAGTTTTGTGCCAGAACCACACCGATCGGATCATCATCGTCGCGTCTTGGCAAGACTGGCTGCTCAGGCGTATTAATCGTAGCCCATACATTGCTGCCCCAGTAATTTGCAACGACTGAAGTTGGCAATTTCCTGCTGTTGGACACAGAACGTTTCTCAGCGGTCAAGAGCACAGCTGCCCGACTTAGGCTTGTTGTAGCCGGTGGTTTGGCCAAAGTCAAGGGAGCAAGAGATCCCGGAGGGGTATCCAGCGATGGCAGAAATCCCGAAGGTTGCTTAGGAGTACTGGCAGATACCTGCGTCCCCGGATGAGCGGGTAGCAGGTTATGGCTGGCAGATATGAGACTCGCAATACCGTTGTTTGGCATACCTGGGCTCAGTGGCACGGGCTCGACCCCAGGTCCAAACGTCGATTTTCTATGAAGGTCCAGTTTCTGAATGATTCTTGCAGCATGTTCTCGCCTGCTTTCGTCATCTTCTCGAGCCAAATCTCTTCCCAGTGCACTAAAGGAGCGCCGGCCCAAACTTGCATTGTTAACGTCAACACTGTGACGAGCTCCAACATGTACATCTTGCCCGGGTATGTAAAGAGTAGCGCTTCGGTCAAACCCGGGGCCAGCGTCATCAACGGCGGCCGTCGGGTTATCAAAGGCCTTGGCTGAAAACTCCGGAGCGCTGGGTGGGTGTATCGAGAAGGCCGGGTCAGTGCCACCGGCAACAGAGTTATCATTATTGCTCATACTTGTTTCGAACGCCTTCTTCTTGGTAGCCTCGAAAACTTCAAGCCATTCCATGAGCTCCCTTTGGTTCTCAGCTTGTACCATCATGGTCTGGTTCTTCGTTTTGACTTCGAAACAGAAGCGACGCTCTTCGCCGACTGCAGGCTTGGCATTGCAAAGCAAAACGCCTATTTCATCGCCTTGGAGTACTCCTTGAGGCCCAGGCACTAACCATCCAAAGACGCCGTCACGGCAGTAGTACCACCTCCGAGTCCAGGTGTACCGAATCGGTTTACCTGACATCGTCCTCAAAAACAACCAGCCCTGTTTCTCTGATATGACCGCAGTGCCATCCTTGGGTCGTAAATTGAGCGGTCCCCGGGAGCCCAAAAACGGCACCGTGGATGCGCTGTAATCTTCGAGCTCCCTCGAAGGTTTGAAGCCCTCAAGAGTCGTCTCTCCCAACTTCCTTCTCATAGCTTGTAGCTCCGTTCGAAAGACGCCCTCTGAAGCCTCCATCTCCTTGGCCCATCCACGTACACGATCCATTTCCCAGGTCCATCTGGTAGCATTCACTACGGCGTCTCTCGATCGTGTCAGATCTTTCCATATCTCATTGCACACCTTGACCAAAAGTTTATCCGTGGCTAATCGGAGCTGAGGGGCAAGCTGGCAATAGTCTAGCGACGCCTGGATATACGCTTTTCGATTCTCGTATACGGAGAAAGCATCTTCCCGAAGGGCCGAGGGTTCCTTTGTCTTTGACTGCCCTATATATCTCGCGAGAGTTGAATCGTAAGCCCTTTGCGATTGCTCTAATATCCTCCGTATTTCCTTGAAATTTCGCATGTCGCCACTGAGAAAGTTCCGAATGGGATCTATAACGGCAGTGTCCATTCTCTTAACGCTGCTTAATAGCTGTTGCCAACATTCTCTTTGGCCATCGCCAACTCGTTTCAAGGCCAGAAAAGCGTAATCATTCTCAATGATTCCGTCGGCGGCCGACGGCATCGTCTTCGTCAAATATGTGTTGATGGTACCTTCGAGCCCCTGGATCTCGTGGGCGAACTTGGATGTCGAGGTCACGTAGCCATTGAGCCATTTCTCAACAGCCTCGATTTGCTCGGTAAAGTGGCTGGCGGTTGCGCGGAACGTCGGTGAGTCGAGAGCAGCTTCATTTAGTCCGACTGGCACACCACGATCAGTCGGCCGGGGCGGGCCAGTCGTCACGACTGGTGCAGCTAGAGGCATGATGATAAGGCGAATGCGGCGTGAGGTTCTCCAGTAGCACTGCTACCTGTGCTCCGGGGCACCGTCGCACCCGTAGAATATAACTATGCAGGATCGTGGTTGAGAAGAAAGAATGACGAGACAAAGGAGATGCAGCTTGGCATAGGTAGCAGCTGCAACCAGCAACTGCTACTAGGTACCTAGGTACCTAGGAAGTGTTCGACCTCAAGCTGTGGTGAGACTCCGACCCACTGAGTTCAAGGTGACGTGCACCTTTAAGCCGCGCCCCACGCGGCGCGGATAGCCTTACCTGCGTACGGAGTACACCAATCAACAACCAGCTGTAAGAGGCAACGGACTAAAGTACCCTTGGGATTGATTTCGTACAAGAATATATTTAAAAAATAATAATAAAAAGAGAGCGACTGTGATAATGAAGGCTATCTAATTCTATCGGCAGCTTTTCGCCAGGTTGCTGAATGCAATTTCGAAACAAGTAATAAAGCTAGGCACATGCGTAGAAAAGGTAAAAGTACCGCCAGCCATTTCTGACATATTAGGAGCAGTTCACGAGATCAATAACAATTTCGAACTCTTCTTTGCAGGCTCTCTCCTTTTCGACGCGCCATCCAATCAACCTTGCCTCGGATATTCCAGGTAGCACCTGCAATGTTGCGTGTGAGACTGGAGTGACCAAGAAAGTAAAACCCTAGAGACAGCAGTATCTTACCTCGATTTCTGCCGAATCAATCAGCTCAAGTAGCCGTCATCATTGAACGAAGTGGACTTGGTCGCGACGCCTTGTGGCCTTGCATTGAAGTGCCAGCTTCGGCATTTCGCATCAAGCGCTTCTGAGCAAATGACAGCGGCGCGGCATTGGTCGGTTTCGGCGCGGCGTCGTCGTCGTCGTCCTGGCGTACATCATCCTCGTTTTGTGCCGACGGTTCAACTTGAGCAGGTCCCTCGCTCACCACGAGGGGATCCGCAGGTCAGTCGTCATAGTATTCATCATCGTCGCTGAGATCAGCCAACTGTTCAAAGTTGACCTTGTAGCGGAGAATGCCGCCAATGCCACCAAAACCCTTGACAAATTGGTTACCCTCAGTTGAACGGTCCGACACAAATTCCAGATTAGCACCAAATTCTTTATAGTGTTCAGCAATCCACTCAAGGAAGGACTCCTGGGCGATAATTTCCTTTTCCTGACCAGTGGCAGAATCCAGAAATTTGTCGCGATTGGCCTGTTCCTGTTGTTTTGACAGGTGCAGGATCACCTCTTCGCCATTGCTATCTTTCAGAACCCAGCGAGTAATCTCGAGGTTCTCGAAAATGATGAGGGTCTCGACGGCACCAAGCTCCAAAGCCTTCAGGGTATCGTCGATACCGTAGCACACCTTGCCAGTATCCTGGCTGATTTCCTCGAAGTATTTGCCGATGAGCCTCTTCTCCTGAATAAACTTGACATTTCCAAGAGTCTCGGAAGAGAGTTCAATGGCCTGGTTGAATCCGTTTTCACCACCGTATGAAACATCAACGACCTTGATGACCTTGGTCTGAAGACGGTTGTCGAACATGTCAGAGGCATTCAGGTCATTCTTGAAGTCGGCAGAACCAGCAAGAACAATACCAGCGACATTGACCTTGTCGTTGGTGATGAAGTTTTGCACAGCGAGTTCGGCGACCTTGCGGACGTAGTTGTGACGCTTTTCCTCACGAAGACGAGCAAAACGCAGGGCAGATTGACCACCACGTCCGTGCTTCTTGGGCAAATCGACGGAGAACTTGTGAACGATGTCGCGGGTATTTCCACTAAGAGTACCAAAGAGAGCACCATTACCATCCATGATGATGAAACCAAACTTCTGGTCAGACTCGAGCAGCTCAGCCAAGGCTTCGGTGTGAAATTTATTATCGCAAAGATACAGCGAGGTGTTGATGGGCTTGAAGGGCTCGAAGTCAATGTTGACCTTTCGCTCCTTTCCTTCCTGGGTCAGGATTTCGCCACAGTAGATGACCAGACCATTGGGGGGAACTTTGTTGTACAGCTTCAAACGGTTCTGGGTCGAGGTAATAGCGGACAAAACGGACTGTCGGTTAACGCGCGATTTGATGTTCGACGCAGTACCCTAAAGAGATGTCTATGTCAACGCCGGTCTATAATATGAGGGCCATTCTTTACAGCAGGCGTTTCGACTTACGTATTCTTCAGCCAACATCTTGGCTGCACGCGACACCTGATCCTTTGGAGCTGAAGTTTCAAGCTACATCAGTATGGAAATGTGGTGGGGCGGCTGTTGACACCGTAGAGGGGAGACGTACGAATGATGAGGGAGATCATGGAGGTTCCATTGCCTCTGGCAGCCTCAAGACTCTTGATGAGCTTCTTGATCTTCCAGATCTCAATCTATAGGCAGCGATTGTTAGCTTCGATATTCTGCACCAAGTTTGTTATTTCGTTGGTTTCAGTTGGCCCTTGGTCACGGTTGGTGTTCTGCCATCGCGGGGCAGCACCGACTGGGCCTACAGGCAGACAGAAAGAGAGGGGCAGAGCCAACGGGGAGCCCAAAAGAGGAGGGGCTGGCCGTCGCTGACACCGACCACATAGCGTAGAGCACAATTTTTTTACTCCCTCGGGTGATAAGACTTACGTTCCTCTCGGCCTCGCTCGCTTGCGCGTCGGACATTGTAATAGCGTTTGTTCAAGGCCTTGCAGACAAAATATTTGGATTGGTCCCGCGGGACAGGGCTTTCCCTTGGGCGATGAATAAGAAAAGCAGGGAGTTCGGAGGGAGATGGGCGCTGTGCTGCACGCGAAGAAACTGGTGAAGTAGGATGCCGGAGCCAGATTTCAAGTTTTAAGGCCAAGGGATTTTTACCAAGTGCGGTTGTGAGTTAACCAGACTGTACTGGTACTATAAGTACCTAGGTACGGAGCAACCAACAAACGCCGGGTGGACGCTTGGTGGGCTCACAGCGTCCGCGTCGGCTAGTACTTGGCAAGCAGGTACCTAAAATCCCGAACCAGGCACTGGGGCCAGACACCACTTGACCACTTGGCGTCTTAAGCGCTGAGTGTAACACTAGACACAGAGCACTTAATACGTACAAGTACCCAGTGCCCTGTACAAATCGCAGAGTGTCCATGTCAAGTTCGCCTAAGTGCCAGCTTTGGTGTTATGCCCAGCATCGTTGCATCTAAGTACTTCTTAAGTAATAGTATGCCGCAGCCCAATTGTGGACCTGACACAACATTGAATGCTCAAGTCAAGTATGGACTAGGCAGGCAGCCAGCCAGCCTATTGCCTGCTGCGACATTTTCAAGCATGGGAAAGTCTGCTTATCACCATTAAACCCCAGCCTCGTAGGCACAATGACTCTATGCATCCTTTATTAACATGCCTCGAGTTCGTAATTCGTGGTGATTAACTACTACCCTAGGGGACTTCCCGCGCTTCGGCCCACAGACCCACATAACAATCCTGCCTCACTGCGTCCAGACTCACCGCCCGGCATTACCGACGTGCAACGCCGCAATGGACCTCCCCAGTGCCGTAACTGTTCCCAGCACGTTGCACGTCTAATCCAGCTTTACCTTTTGGCCCATGTTGCTCCATCACTGATAGAATCCATCTCCTCAAGCGGGCCATTCTTCTACGATAGGCCCTCTGCAGTGCTGTTGAGTCCAGACAGCATATCCCAACCGCTCTCGATGGACTCCCTCCCAACAGAGGTCGCCGAGACCATTCAAGCCGGCCACATCAGATCCCATCCCGACATCAACTTCGATATCGCACCCTCCACAGCTGCAGATAAGCGCGAACCAGTCACCCTCCACAGTCCCCGTCTCAGCGATGACGATCTTCTAAACGACATCGAAGACGACGAGGAAGACATACCCTACAGTGTTCTACACCCAACCCGCAAGTCACATAGTCTTCCTCCTTTACCGGACTTGCGGTTCGAGCAGAGTTACTTGAGGAGCATCGCCAATGCCGATACCTGGTGGAAGGTGTTGCTTATCACAGCCAGAGATCAGGTAAGCTGGCCTATCAGGAATTACTGTTCTAGAGGCGACGTTGTCTCTTGCGGGGAGTGAGTTGACAATGTAATGCGCTGTGTAGGTCATGATGCCCTTGGCCCAAGGTCTTATTTATAACCTGCTGCTCTGTGGCTGGCAACATTGGAATAGAACTGCCAAATTACATGGCAACACAGCTGGCTCACGAGTGCGAAGGTGGTGGTATGGTGTTAATAATTGGACGATACAGAAGCGAAAGTTATAGTCTTGGCATAATTAATTCAACTGAATCCTGTTGACTGATGTTGAAAGTTTTCTTTTACGTATCCTCGTATCATTAGCCTTGGAAGATTAGGCGCCCTCTCGTCAAGGCAAGCCTGGCGTCATTATGTTGGACGCAGGGAAAATATATAAAGCCCAGAACTATCTCCTGGTCGTGTATTGTCTTCAGCGCGTCATGGCAGTCAACGCCCACCGCCCATGCGCATACTGAGACCTTTTAGCTGGCCGCACATATGGTCAGATCTCTCCCCGTCCCACTCATCTCTCCGACGGAAAGCACGTAATCATCAAATAGTACATGTATACTCTAATCACAGACATAACTTCCTGACTCCTCAAACTCCATAAAAACAGTTTTCCCAACGCCATGAAACTCCCTTCAAGTAGTGTCGTTGAAATTGCCAAATGGTGATTCCAGTTGAGCATGTGGCTTCTCAGGGCTCCCTCGAAAAGCCAAGGGTGTGGAAGGAATGGCAGATAGGGTCGGGGCTCGAATGGCATCTAGCTTTTCTGTCACATCGCCTGAATCTGTTTGAGTCGGCTCTTTCTTGACCTGCTCTGATGGAATAGAATGTGCCTCTGGTGCCGGCACATCCTGCATTTCAACGGTTCGGGTCTCCGGGATAGTGGCATCGACCTTCCAATCCTGTGTGTCTGGGGTTGGAAGCATGTTGGAACCTTCATCCATTGGAGATAGAACTGTTCTCAGCTTAGGGGGAGTGACGGAGAGTTTCACAACCAAACTTTGGCGCTGATCATCGAGGTCATCCTCGACCATGGCTTCTTCTTCATCAAAGTCATCCTCATCGTCGGACTCTTCGGGCACGTGGGCGTCTTCCTCATCGTCTCCGAATTCAGCCTCGCTTTCCTCGTCGGTACCATCACCCCGAGAGTTACGCTCAGACCAGCCATTTGTGTCCTGATTTGCTGCGGGGCGTCTGGGTCGTCCAGATGCACCAACTGAATGATCATGTTCCAATTCGGAATTTTCGCCTTGGATACTTCCAGGAGCGCTATCACCCACCACCATGTTGAGCCGTGGTGGTGCCCGAATTTGTCTGCCACTTGATGTCGTTACTGGCCCGGTCTCCGCAGGGGTATTGGCCCCAGTATTGCGAGCTGATCGCCTGTAGCCGGTAGAATCGGAAAAGAAAGCATCTTCGTCATCCGAGTATGTGTACTTGATTCGCTTGCCTCGTGTACGGCCTTCGTACATGGAGAATCCTGGTTCTGGCCGTTTGAACTGCTCCTTTCGCATTTGGCGATATTCACGGCGTTTTCGTTTCTGTGACGACCGTTAGCCCAGACTATTTCAAAATTTTACAGAGCTACACCGTAACGCGTGTGGTAGTAATGGCGGTAGTCGGGGTGTTGTTTTGGTAGAACTCTTACCTCCTCACCAGCCTCAAACCGAGGAATGACTTGCAGCATCTTTTGACTCAACTTCTTCGCCTTTGGGCCACCGTCTTTCGTTTCAAGTTTTTCAGCGAGAGCCTTGAATTCTTCAATGGAACCAGCAACACTGAACCAAGTTCTATTTGTGCCTGCCGGATTGCTCTCGCGATATACCCGAAAATTCGTGTCGTCCTGTCCTTCGACCAAGAAGTACCGTCGCTTGTCTCCATCAGATCCCCAAGGTTGTACTGATCTCGGCTGATTCAAATCGTCTTCTTGACGGTTTTGTTTGTATGCCTGGTTAATCAGACCTTTGACAGTGTCGGAGGAAGCCATTGCCCATAGGATAAGGGTGCGCAACAGCGTTAGCTGCGCCATGTTAGCAACTTAAACCACTCTGGACACAATGACACACATACTCGTTTAGTGGGTGTCATTGAGTTGAATGTCGCACCGCCTGACAACGGGTTCTTTTCTTCCCAGGAAGCAGGCCACTGGTTCTTGTGCGACGTGATCGCATCTTCCAGTGCTCTGCCATAATGCCCCAGCCTACAAGCGGGACAAATTAACTTCAATCAGTAACCTTCCAACATGAAGTTCTCAATTCTTTGGCTTACTTGACGTCTTGCTTTCGGTTCAGGAGCAAGCCCAGGATTGCACATAAAAGGTGTTCTACTCGGTCGCCGGGAATGGACTCGACGACATCGCGTTCTAGCTCCTGCGGCCCGAAATGAGCTAGGGACTTCGGAAATGCGTCGCTAAACCGGCTTCGGAACATGACGATGAACTACTGGTGAGTTAGCCGGTTGATCATATTCAGACCATTTGAACACGCGAAGAATTCGCGTCATGGGTAGCCATCTACGCGACTTTCGCGTTCCCGACTGACAACGAGCAGATACGGCTTCAACGCGTCAGAGAAGAATTCCCCCCCTTATTCTCTACTTACCGCGATATCAGGGTTGTCGGCAAGAACATATTCATGTGGCGGTGACGCTGACCGTTTACGTGGTGGCGGCGATGGCTCCTTGGGCGGCTGCTCTGATAGCTTCGGGAAGAACTTCAGGATGCCCGACTTGGACTTGGTCGTCGCGTCATCGCTATTGTCGTCCAGCTCAACGTCCGACGGCACTGGCGACAGCGACGACAAAGATGAAAGGTCAGACGAGTCGTCATCGGCAGTCATGTTGAGTTTGTCCGCAGTACAGGAAGTGAGTCGCGGTGTGTGGAGAAGTGAAGAAGGCCAGAAAGTCTTGGTTGCTCGTTGTTGAGCGTGCACTAGCAAAACCCACGGCCGCAAGCCGCAATCAGAGTTAACCCAATTGGATAAGCAAAGGGGTCTATCAAACGTCTTTGTTCTATGCACGCCTTACAAACGAATCTACCTCCTTCTAAAATGTCCAGACCTGAGACAATGAGACAGCTGGTATTACCGCTCCCTTACCTGCCTTGCCTTGCCTTGCCTTGCCTTGCCATAATGAGCCAACTGGCGTGGTCCCTTGGATCCTTCGTACAAACCATTCGGTGTAATGTTCCAGCACGATGCCATGGTAAGCATCCGCACAACAACAGGTGCAATCTTTAGTCCGTCATCAACCGTGCACCACCAAGCAGTTCCTCATAGAATCCCTACCGACTTTTATATGACATATAAACGATGGGGGAGGTCCTCTGTCCATTTGTTCGTGGGTGTAGCAGTGAATTCAAAAACCAACCGAAGAATGCCCAGGATATGAAGCAAAAGACCCAGAGTCAACATCGAATCTACATGCAACTTCCGGAAATGACTCCGTTGTTGCACAAGAAATAGGCTTTCCCAGTGCTGCCAAAGAATGGTGGACCAACGACACCATCGCGACGTAACGGAGGCCCAGACGCAGTGAATCCCGTAACGGCTCATGACTCCCAGGAAAGAGAGCCTCATCTTTCGAGTGCGACTAATAAACCAATTGCTTGGTTATCGTCAACTGCTCAAACAGGGATCGACTGTTCAGGCAGTCCAACCTATACAGACAGTGGTCATTCTTAAACATGGGACCAAGCAGTATCCTCACTCACACTGATTTCCATGGCAATGTCTATCGAACGCATGGGGATCATGCTTCGCATGTCTCCCTAGCATCGAGCCTCTTTCCAGTCCCCTCACCCCTGCACTTGGGGTCTTGACAATGCCACAACGGCGGGTCAGCGATATGAATCGTTATCCGCCCGCCGAGTACTCCAAGGGTCGATGGAGTGTGAGGTTGGTGCTTCATCTCATTTTTGAGGCACGTTTCCGGCGATAATCCATCTTGATCGCCACTAGGCAGGCTCAAGCTGACCTGCCCAACCCGTGAGCCTTTGTCCACGGTATCGTCACATATGGGAGCCCCAATTCTTCGGCCGGTACCACAGCCTCGGCAAATCGCCAGCCCACCTTGTGAACGAGACTTCTTGTCATCTCAGTACCCAAACGCGGCAGCGATTCGAGACAATATAATGAACTGAGTTTTGGTTAGCAGCAACGAAATATAGCATCATAAACGTGTGAAAAGAAGAAGCAAATGTGTCAAATGCATCACATGGACCATCTTGAGAGAATTCCGCGTCTTTACAAACGAGAACCGATGTTCCTCTGCAACTGCGATGAGCAAGGCTTGAGATTCAGATGACACGACGTAGTGGCGCGGGGGCGATTTCGCGTCAAGCGCCGCACGGCAGAATTTGGCTCCTCGGTGCACAGTATATCGCATAGTGTGACTTTGGGACACTGTGCTATGATGGAATTGCTATCGTGCTTCGCAACAGACATATTATTGAGAAATTAGGAGAGCATAAAGTAATCCGTCGTCTACTTAAATATTATAAAATCACGACAGAGGCCTTTTCTTCCAGTACTAGGAATTTGTTAATAGCGTATGCTTGGCCATAGCCATTTCGGCAGACCTTAATACCACATCAACTCACGAACCCAGATTGTTGAGTGGGGCCAAACTTCACTCGAAACTCACCGGAGCTACTCCGTATGATTGGACCGACTACTCGCTTGCGCGGTCCACTCTGAGATCACGTGGTCAGGGCTCCTCCAGCGCTCGAAATGGTCCCGCACACAAAAAATTGTCGCCGAATGTGCATGTAACGCCTCTTTGCTAAAACACCAAGCGGCGGGAGCCAGGTATATTCAACCCAACAACGCACCCCCGGCTCGACAATTTACTGACAGCTTCTGCTCAAAGCAGTATACTCGAACGATTGCATCGAGTCCACACGAGCCGCCATGGGTAGAGTTATTCGCAACCAGCGCAAGGGTCGCGGATCCATTTTCAGTCAGTGCCGCCCGCGAAATTTCTCGAGCTCGATTTTCGACAACGCCTGGAGACAAAAATTACTAACGTTTGGAAATAGCGGCCAACACGCGCTTGAACAAGGCCCCGGCCAAGTTCCGTACCCTCGATTATGCCGAGCGTCATGGCTACGTCCGTGGTGTAGTCAAGGACATCATTCACGATCCTGGTTAGTTTTCCTTCTATGGCAAAACATTTGGATATCGGTTTGGGATATGGGAATAGAAGGCTGATACTGGAGTCTTTTTTCCTTCAGGTCGTGGTGCTCCGCTTGCCAAGGTGTCGTTCCGTCACCCTTACAAGTACAAGCAGGTTTCCGAGACTTTCATTGCCAACGAAGGCATGTATACCGGCCAATTCATCTACGCAGGAAAGAAGGCTGCTTTGACCGTCGGCAACGTCCTCCCTCTCGGTGAGATGCCTGAGGGTACTGTCGTGTCGAACGTCGAAGAGAAGATTGGAGACCGTGGCTCTCTGGGCCGTACATCTGGTGCCTATGTCACCATCATTGGCCACAACCCTGACGAGGGCAAGACCCGTATCAAGCTACCCTCTGGTGCTAAGAAGGTCGTTCATTCTACCACTCGTGGTATGATCGGCATTGTTGCCGGCGGTGGCCGTACCGACAAGCCTCTCCTCAAGGCTTCTCGCGCTAAGCACAAGTTCGCCGTCAAGCGCAACAGCTGGCCCAAGACTCGTGGTGTTGCCATGAATCCTGTGGACCATCCTCACGGTGGTGTACGTGTTCCCGACAAGTGGGGTGTGAAACCTGAGATTGATGCTGACAACTTTTATAGGGTAACCACCAGCACATTGGTAAGGCGTCTACCATTTCCCGATACGCCGCTCAGGGTCAGAAGGCCGGTCTTATCGCTGCCAGAAGGACAGGTCTGTTGCGTGGTACTCAGAAGACGAAGGAGTAAGGGGCTGGATTTCTTGGTCTCATTGGGATGGTGTTACAGTGGCTTGCTTGCATCTTTGGATGGTACTGCTGCGAGCAGGAGTCTGGTAGCTCAGAAAGCAAGTACTATGGCATTTGGCGTACACAAAATATTGGTTCCCTCTGCTACACCAGTGACGAAAATGGACGATGTGAATATCCGGGTTGGGCGTGATGTATTTGGAACAAAAAAGAACATTTCCTCATATATCCATCTGCAAACTGTGAATCACCTTGGACCAGTTATGCTACATCGGTCTGACTCGTCCAGGGTATGTGTGCGAGACGTGGTATAGAAAACGCTCAAGCATTAAATTACGATCAAGGCGCCCTATCACCTTGCCACTGTGTTTGACCGGCCAATATTCATTCTGTTGAAATACGGTGAATCACGCCCCCACCTACACCGGGACTGGAGTTGAACCGCAGATTCTACCATGACGTTGTGCGGCCGCTATTGACAGCCGGCTTTCTAATGGAAAGAAAATATGTATGCGCTGTATCCTAAATGGTTTGGTCTGGCCTTTCGACAACTCGAGTGCGGGCCAGAACTTGAGCCGATACTCTGAAAAGCGCAGCAGGCCTCGATTTGAAGCGAGAGGCAAGAATTTCTAGCTCAATCTAACGAAACATTGGCAAGCATGCACAACGGCTTGGGAATTGGCAAGCCTCTGCCCAGATATTGCATCATGCTTCCATAACCGCCCTTTTAGGGTGGTCAATGGGGAAGTCTTCGCTCAAGAGCTTGTCCAGCAAAATCAGCGGCGCCAAGGTGAAAAATACGGCTGCCCAATGTCTTATTGGCAATTTGAGTCAGTGGAAAGACAATACTAGCATGGTTGAGGGCAGACATAATGAAAGAATCGGGGGCCTGTACGAAGAAGAATTCGTCCGACGAGGTCCTATGCTAGCTTCGCAACTGGTGTGAGGCCCACGTTAGGACAAAGTACGGTCGGTGAAATATACTCGATACCTCTACGAGCTTAAAAGTGCACAGTCTGAGTTCTTACAGAGCAGCGTAGCGCAGTGCAGCAGCTTGAGTGATATCCCTTTGGCTGTGTTAAGGTGCAGCGGATGTAGCGGTCTCCATTTTTCTGCGATACTTAGCGGATACTTTTATTTATAGATATTTTAATAGAGTACATGATGTAGCTCTTTGTAGCTAAGAGAATCATAGTGACTTCTATTATTATACTATTTTTTGGTGTAGAGATGTACCTTTGAATATTAGGTTTTTAATTGGCTAGAACGCCCATTCGTGACATCCGCTGCACCTTAACACAGCCAAAGGGATTTGCCCGCCAATATTCTTTGCGAGATACGCAAACCGCTGTCGATGGTTTCAAGTCCAAGAAACCCGCAGCATCTGCCCCACCCGTGACGAGCTGAGCTGGCCTAGATACTCCGGTCGACCCCTCCATCTCACAACTTGGCTGGGAGTACCTGAGCAAGCCGCTTCGGCGTGCCCCGCCATCACCGATGGCTCGACAACCACTCAAAAAATCTCCCACCTTGTAGACCCTTCCACTCCGACTACTTAAGTACATCGTCTCTTCCAGTTGATATATTCGCATTTGTCCTGTTTTGCATTCCATTTCGTAACAATCGATCATCATGGCTTCTGCAAAGGAATACGGCCTTCTCTGCCTCGAGAACCCTCTTCTCGGTACGTTTGTTGCAGCCTCTCTACCCGACACTCTACTACCAGACGTTTTCCCCTCATAGTCAGACCCCACCATGATGATGATGATTATCAGAGCCATCCATTGTAAATGCGCTCGTGGCTTCCAGCTGACCACCACAACTTCTCATCATGAACAGATATTCAAGCCGTTGGTGACCAGGCCCTTCTCGACAAGTATGGTCTCAAGGCCAATGACGCTATCCTCGCCGAGGAGAAGCACCTCCCTCTGTACGAAGACCTGCTCAACAACTACGACGCCAAGTTGATTGCTGGTGGTGCTGCCCAGAACTCCGCCCGTGGTGCCCAGTACATCCTGCCCCCCAACAGCGTCGTCTACCTCGGTGGTGCTGGTGATGACAAGTACTCTGCCATCATGCACGACGCCGTCACGGCCGCTGGCCTCCGCGTCGAGTACCGTGTCGACCCTGAGAAGAAGACCGGCCGCTGCGGCGTTGTCATTACCGGCCACAACCGAAGTCTGTGTACTGATCTCGGTGCTGCGAACCACTACGACCTCGACCACTTGAAGAAGCCTGAGATCTGGAGCCTCGTTCAGAATGCCGAGGTGTACTACATTGGTGGCTACCACTTCACGGGTAAGTCCCCCTCGCACATGGATTCATGTGAATTGCATTCGTAGCACGGCCACCCTAACCGACAATGTTATGTATCATGCAGTCTGCCCTCCAGCCATCATGGAGCTCGCCAAACAGGCCGCCGAAAAGAACAAGATCTTTGTTCTGTCGCTCTCTGCCCCCTTCATCCCCCAGTTCTTCAAGGATCCCGTCGATGCCTCCGCCCCTTACTGGGACTATGTCATCGGTAATGAGACCGAGGCCGCTGCTTATGCCGAGTCGCACAACCTGCCCTCCAAGGAGCCCAAGGATGTTGTCAAGCACCTGGCCAACCTGCCCAAGGAGAACGGGAAGAGAAAGCGAGTTGCTATTATCACTCAGGGCACCGAGCCTACCCTCGTTGCTGTCCAGGGTGAGGATCAGATCAAGGAATTCCCAGTCCATGCCATCGGCAAGGAGCAGATCAACGATACCAATGGTGCTGGTGATGCCTTTGCCGGTGGACTTTTGGCCGGTATCATGCAGGGCAAGGACCTCGCTACTTCCATTGACATGGGCCAGTGGCTTGCCAGGCTGAGTATTCAGGAGTTGGGACCTTCGTAAGTCACAGAATTTGATTTTATTCCCCTCTTGCCCTCCCTTGAGGCAATAATCATCATTGTTCATTCCGATCATTATATATCTGATCCTATGTCTGATTTATACGGATTGGATAATGATCGCCCACGAATATAACATCAAAAACGCTTAGCCTCGTCACAATCCTTCCACCCGCCTCATAGCCATATCTTTCCAACTAAAAAAAAAAGCCTTGGCTAACCCGCTCTGATCATCCAGGTACCCCTTTCCCAAGAAGACCTACCAGGCCTCCTCTTAAAGCCTTACAAAGGCACAATGATTCCATTAGGTAAAATGAGTGTAGTTCGGCGTTGAGGGCTAAATGGGAAACGGTTTCAACAACGGCGTTTTTGCATCTGTGGCAAAAGGAGCCCCCAGAAGTTGTGGCTCTCTTCGCATAGCGATTCGGTATCCTCCACGATCCGATCAATTTTTGTTCAAATTTGATTAAAGCACGTAAAAGATGCAAAATAGACATGTTTAAAGCGGCGTTCATATCGAACCGCCCGTCAGATTCATTGGCTTTCTTTCCTTTCCTTCTTTCTTTCTTTTTTTTTTTTAAAAAAAAGAAGGGCTTTAAAAGAGGCACTTGTGACTTTCAGGTATCGCTTGTGCAATTGCTATGTCATCCCGGTATCTTGCAAATGTACAACTCGTGAGTCCACTTTGCAAAGTTTGGCTAAGCTGTTCAAGGCCGGACTGAAAGCTCATCAGGGGGCATGAATAACTCTCAAACGTCCTTTGATAACAAAAGGGAAAGAGTTCGAAAGGCGAAGTGGAAAATCACTTGTTACCATGATAGGCTGTCTGCATAATAGCCTCGTTATAGTTCAACGCAGTCTGGTCCATTTGCAAGTATCTCGCTGCGGTTTCGGCGCGAGCAGGACTCGAGAACTGAGGCTCTGGTCGTCCAGAAATAGGGCTCATCCCATGACCAACTACGTTTGCCGGTGTGCCCTGATACAGGCTGCTTGGGTGAGAGAAAGCAGAAAGCCCCGTCGATTGGGGGAGGCTATCCAAGGCTCGAGACCCCCAAGGCGAGACGGCAGGACCGCTGTTCTGCAACGTAGACTGCTGATTGTCACCCCATCTGATAAAAGGCGAGCTTCGCGGCACGCTAGTTCCAGAGAATGCCTGGAGCAAGTTGCTCCTATGGGCAGTTTCCGGGCCCGAAACGACAGGCCCTACGACAGGCCCAGTAAAGCTCCGTCTGTTCTGTTGCTGGGCAGTATGACTATTGACAAGGACACCATGGAGATTTCGTCCGGGAGTCGCAAAGGGGTCATCTAAATGATTTCCACTGCTCGTAGGGCGTCTTGGAGAATTGTACGGGCTCGCGCTCTCGCCAAAGCCAGTTGATCCATTCGGCGTCATACTGTCGGCAGGCTTTTCAGGCTCAGGTGTATTGAACCAAGCCCACGGCAACGGAGCAAACTTTCCTGAAAGGACGGAGCCGGGCGGACTGCGCTCTGTTTGAAACGAGCCAAGGACATTGTTCGCTGTCATCGTGTGCATTCCATAAGAAGATTCATCCGTCGAATGACGCTGCCGTTGAGGTTGTGGTGTGGGTGGCTTCAAGAAGGGAGACAGCATTTCAAACAATGCATCGTCTCGGTCCTCTAAATTTGCTTCGTCTTGAACCCTTTCCTGCTGGGTCGACTGTGGCTGCTGGCTATTCGCGTCAGTATTTAAGTTCTCGCGCAATTGTCGAGGCTCTTCAGCCAATATAACACGGCTTGGCAGGCTACTATCATCCGCATCTTCATTGCCAAGAGGGTTCTTGGATGCCGTGTTTGGTGACGAGGTCGAAGTCTTGGCTGCAGCCTCAGGCGAATCAGACGTAGGTTTGACGCAGTATTCAAAAACGAGGGAGTTGTCGACAACCTTGTAAGACATTGGGAAGTTCGAGTCCTCGGCGAGGAAGTACGCACAGCGAAGAATGTCCAAAATTCTGGCCAAGTTTTCTTGGGATGGCTCCAGGCGAGAGCTGTGGTCCTGCAGATAGGTCTTTGGGGAGCCATCTTCGGTGCAAAAGCAACGGCATTGTTGGGGGATGGTCTCCTCAGACAGGGGGCGAAAGCCACGTATTTCCAAATCCTCCGCAAGGAGATATGGGCAGTTGCTCAACGCCTGGCTGTATGTGAAAATGCAGAGCAAAGTTAACACCTTGGCAAGATTCTGAACCAGCCGTGGTATGACTCCGCCAAATGCTTGAGCAGCAGCACTGACTTCACCCCGACAGGCAGTAAGCCACATACTGTACAAGCGCAGGACAGGAAGAAGCGCTTCCAGAATGGGCGTAATCTTGGTAGGCACATTATTGGATCCATCACTCCCCATATCTTCGGATGCAGCTTCTTTCAGTTCTGATTCGAAGGCTACACAGAAGTGTGAAATAAACAAAGCATTAAATCGTAAAGTAAACTGGTAGAAAGCAGCGAGAGACATTGATTCTGGAGTGGACTTAGCAATGAACCAGGAGCAAGAACCCAAAGTAAAATCAGACGAACCTCTGTATATAGTCGACGCGACGTGATGAGCAGAAAGATTGACCAATGTCATCTTGAGTAGCGTAGCCGCAGATTTCTCACTATGACATGCTATCTCTAATTTGTGTAGAACCTCGCCTTCAAGCTCTGCTTGTTGCGGGAAGGTCTCACCCTTGTAAAAGAGCGCGTGGAGCCTGACGAACCACATGGGAAACGGATCTTGTGCTGTTGGTGAGGCGTTATGTCGGGATCTCGATGAATTCGGCAGGTGAAGAGACTTGAACTCGGCTTCAAGATTGGCCTTTGCGTTCGGATGAGGCGCATCGACTGCCCAGGAGCGGTAAAAACTATAGACAATGTCCAGGTGATTGCCCTGGTCCAAATGAACAATGCCCATTTGGTGCTGTGCATATCCGGACTGGGGTTTCAAATGATGCGCAAGGCTATAAAAAGTCAAAGCAGTCTCATAGCCCGAATTCTTATGTCTGGCTTGAGTCCTATACCGAGACAAATCACCTAGACGCAAAAGAGTTGAGTGGCACGATGTCAAAACCATGGCACTCAACCCTGATGGCACAGGGCTAATTCTATCTCCGTTACTCATCGGCTCAACATCAATGCCTCGGGCAACTCTCCTGAGTTCCGGGACATCGTACCGGGCCGACAGACGTTGGATGTATCCCTTGTAGAATTTCTGTGCCACACGAAGAAAGTTATTGTATGACTTTTCCATCTTGCGTCTCTCAACGGCATGCGAAGACTGCTTGAGTCGGCCCTGGATGCGTCGGTATTCGGAGTTGATCATGGTATGCAAAGCCCACAGAGCATCCTCCGTATTCTCCTTGACGGCAAATGCGAAGTCCAAAAAGATGGTGTGGACGAATGCAAAGCGAAACCTCGAGGGACAGTCAGTTTCAGGTCTATAAGGGCAACGGATGTGAAGGGTTGAGGAACATACCTCTCCAAAGTGCCCTCAATAGCCTCGAAATGAGCAACGTCCACTCCAGAGGCACTTTCAGCTTTGAGTCTCTCCAGCTGCTTCATCAAATGCTTCTTCAATTTCAGGGCTTGGCTACAGGCGCCCCTAAGTCAGCCCAGATTTCTTGAGACAAACATGGTGATTTGCTCTGCTTGGAGACGAGTGTCCAAGCCGCGATGAACAGAGATAACACCCAACGGGAGAACGGAATAACACCTACTGCCAGTATTGGCGAGCCTGAGGAGAAGGCGGAGGAGGAGAGTCCATATCGACTGGTCCTGGGCTTGTATGGATTTGGCCAGCCGGATTTGGGGGTTCCGAGACCCGTCGTGAATGGGTGATTGGCACGATAAATGTAGTGAAAGAAAATATTGTCGAGGACTTTTTGTCACCTCATACTCCCGGAAACAATGAAACTCGCGGAACAATGAAAATGAGCCACCAGCAAGGACGAAGGGTCAAACCACCCGTATGCCGAGTTGACGGCAAAGAGGAATGGCTAGTACCAGGCTCGGCTCGCGGAAGTCTACTTGCTGCGCCGGGGAGGAACTCATTGGAGATGACGGGCGGTTCTGACGAACAGCGCAAGGGTCGAGGATCGAGGATCGAGGAACAGCGACGGCGACGGCGAAGGAATCAAATTCGGGCAAGCAAACTAGGGTCGAGAAGAGGTTCCTGCGCAGCCCGGCAAGATAATTGCGACAGCAGAAGGGAATAACAAAAGTGAGTCTGTGGCGAAGGAAAGGTGAGCCGCTTCTGAGCCCCTCAAGCCGACGAACGACTACTACGTAAAGTACTTACTTAAGTAAGTAGATTACCAGGTTGCCAGGGACTAGAAGAACTGGGTGCTGGGATCAGCCACTGGGGCCCATGGCCATGGCAATTCTTCGGCCGTGGATCCACCAGCGACGTCTTGTTGCGCGGGAACAACCTGGCCGGCCCAAGCCACGCAGCTTCATGGCCGAAAAAAAAAGTCCAGAATCTATTAGTTAGCGGCCAAAGCAAACCTAAAAATGTTTGAAATGTTTAAATCCCTGCCTGATATGAAGTACATACGTGCTTTGAATTGAATATCTGTGGCATCACAAGGCTCACTACCTCTAAGGCTAGTACATCTAAGTACCTAAGTAGGTACCTACCAAGTACCTCGCTGCCTTATGTACTTGCGAGTGGTCAAGGACCTGAGGTGAGACGTGGACTTGACAAGACCAGTTGACCTCATAGAGACTGAGAAGCCAGAGCCTAACCCCACCTAAATACTTGTACCTTACTTACTTAAACTTAGGTACTTTACTTAGGTACGTACTTCACCCGTCAACTCGTCCGTCCCAACACCGCCGCCAATCCGTCTAACCTACGTCGAAACCTCGTTGATTAACCACCATCGGCATATTAAACTTGCCCATTTGCTTGCTGCACTCTGCCTCTCAGCTGGCATAGTGTCTCGCTGGTCTTTGCAACACTCTTCCTCCCGCTTCATCTGAATTGACACTCACAACGACGTGCAACACCCACCACATTTGTTATTAATTAGCTTTCGAGAGTCCGCCTCGACCCCTCCGCCGATTATCCGCCACCGCCTCGACATCCAACATTGAAACTCCAAAGTCATATTACTCGGGACAGCGCCGACAAAAAGTAATATTTTTTACCCCACCAAGCTAAACTCTCTTATTAAAGATGAAGCGCTCACGAGAGCCCGAAGAATTTCTAGACTCCAATTTCCAAGACGGGGATGCAGAGCGGTTTGAATTTCGAGACTCGAGCATACCCACCGCCAAGATATCACAACTTGACATTGCAGTCCAAGACGAAGACGACGACACACCCACAATGAAATGCTCGCTGCCTCCTCACAAAGAACCAATTCCTTTCAGGTCATACCAGGAATACGAATCACACTATAGTATGTTTCACACAAATCGATGTCTCGAATGCCGCAAGAACTTCCCGTCAGAACACTTGCTTGGAGTACACCTTGAGGAATATCACGACCCTCTTATTAGAGTTCGAAGAGACAAGGGTGAACACACTGTAAGTCCTCATCTATATCGCCGTGTCGATTTTATTTCAAAAGACGTCGTCGACAAGGAATTCCCGCTGACATGTGCGCGCAGTTCTCCTGCTTCGTAGAGGGATGTGAACGCAAGTGTCTCACTCATCAAAAACGCAGGCTGCACATGATCGACAAGCACATGTATCCGAAGAACTTCTTCTTCGGCGTCACCAAGGAAGGTATTGACGGAAGACGTTCACTCCTGGTCGAGGGTGATCACCATCGACGGAGATCATCAACAGCCTCGATATCACAGGAATCACCGCGCAGGGCAGGCATAATCGAAGAGCAAGAGGCCGGATCAAAGCGTGACGGCAAAAACAACAAACCACTATTCTCAGATACTGTCAAGGAAACGCCATCCAAAGGGCAAAATGTGGATGCAGACATGGCAGATCTCACAGGGGCCATGTCCGCGCTACAGTTTGTCCCTCCCAGCATTCGATTCGGCCGTGGTGGCCGAGCAGGGTTCTCAAAATCATGAAAGAAAGTCACGAAAGAGTGACTGCATAATGATAATGATCAGTAACCAATACTTATGGTTTAATGATAATCGGTCAAACGAAGGATTGTCTACCTCTTGTGTCCCCTCATTTTGAACTTGTGTGTATCCATCAACCAGTTCGCATTCGTCCGCAAAATCCCCCCAGTTGTATGTAGTTCATAAACGCCAAACGCCGTGATACATCATTTGTACGTGAGCCCGTTATATTGCATATTCCATCTCAGTCACTCGATGCGCACCCTCTGCATCCACAGTTGACGCATTGAACGTCTCGACTCTCCTTGATTTCGACTCGAGGGACTCTACAGATGCACGTGCTGTTAAAATTGGTCTCTTTCGTCTGGACACACCGAAGACAGCAAAGCTAGCAGCATATTAGCAAAATATGTCCATGCAATTCTCTCGAAACGAATCAAGGCTTACCTTCTCGTAACCCTGCTTCTTCCATTTTGCGATCAACATAGCATCCGCGTACCCATTCTTCAACAGCCAGTCGTACAGCTGTTTGCTGATGGCTTCCTTCTCATAGTACAAATCATACACGTATCGACTCCGCTGATGTGATATCTGGAAAATCTCCCACTGTGCTTGATGTTTTGGTCCAGGAGGAGGAGGTTTATTCTGGGCATCCTTCATTTTGTTCGCGAAGATGAGCAGGTCATCTTCGATGTCGCTAAAGCCTTCTGGCGGCGGCTTTCGTTTTGAAGAGTGTCGTATCGCAGGCATGATACTTTGTGTATATGGCCAGTAATCTTGCTGATTTTGTGAACCACAATGGGATGCGAAGGATACCCTGAAGCTGAGCGAAGAGAAAAAGAATGCTACAAGTCCGTCTAGTCGCTGCCCAGGGTCGCTATCAGACTGTGGCGTCAACTCCAGGTGTGGCGGGTACATCACGTGACTGGAGATTGGAGACGGCGTGTGCGGTGCACCTCGTTTGACAGTTCAACGTCACAGGACAGTCGTCTCCAAGTTGAGAAGCATTGACTGCCCGCCATGGCTATCACGCCGACCCAATTCGCCAAAAAGACGGCACAATGTACGCTCCCCGCCTTCGCGTTTATTGCGGGTGTGCTAACAAGTTGCGTAGCGGCCAACTGGTCGGATGCGAAACGTCGAGTTCTCTCCTCCTACCGCGAATGGATCCGAGCTGTACGTCCTCCCATCGCCAATTGACAACCTGTCACGCGAATATAGTATACTATGGGGGTTTATTTCCAAACGGGGTCGATATCAGTGGACAGAAAATTTTGTCATGTATGGCACGGCACACAAACCGCTAACGAGGCATCTCAGGCTCCCGAGATCCAAACCATGTATAACATGCCCTTGCCCATCTCCGCGATCCGAACGCGGGTCCGTCAGGAGTTTGAGCGAAACCGATACGCGGCCAAGCTTCCTGTTGTTGATGTGCTCTTGTTCAAGTCCCACGCCGAATATCAGGTACGCTCCTTACGGGACGAGTCTCGAGACGGTGGAGAGTTTCATAGGCTAACGGGTCGGGAAAATAGGAGATGATGAACTTCTGGAAGCAGACCACTCACGTCATGGCCTACTTCAAGGAGGAGAACTTTAGAGGAGACAAGAGGCTGCCATCGAGCTTCATGGATGGATTTTTGGAGGTGCGGCAACCTACATACATATGACCAGAAAACCCAATAATACGCACCAATTACAGATGCTGACCTTCTTCACAGGGGCGAAATTAGACAATAGCAGAAACTGCTGTGTATATAATTTTCCTTTATAAAGAGACTTTTATGCAAAGAACGCCACAAGCTCCTTCTATCCCAGCCACCAGACGATTTGATCCAGGTGAACTTTGGTGACAAGTGAAAAACATGTTGAAAAGAGAAGAGGAATCAAAATCCCCACAAATGTGCCACAATGTTACACCCAGAAAATAAATCAATGCTCAATGCCATTCTCCGCATTGAATGCTTGTCTCTTGGTCCAGAATTCGTCGGAAACCACATCACACACATCCTGCAGGTCCGCCAATCCTTTCTTCAAAGCATCCACCGCCGTGCCCGCTATCAGATTCAATCAGCAAACAATCATCCCACTGTTGGAATCTCGACTACAGGCAAAGGGGGGGGGGAATACATACAGTAGGTCTGAATTCGAATGTTCATCTTCGGCTCAGACGGGTGAGGAATGGCATAAGCGCAAAACTCAACATCGGGGCTGCAGAAAATAGTCAGTACATGACGGCGTGTATTGGCGCACGCACAACAACACTCACTTTTTCATGATGATGTACCGCAGCGCGTTACCGAGGGTATGTCCCTCGTCCGTAAACTCAAACGAGGCAGCCGTGTCTGTAGAGCCGGGCAGCTGTCAAGTATTAGCAAGGCCATGCTCATGCTGCTGCAGCCTGTCGCGGCGGAAATCGTACAATCTTGACCCGTTGCGGCTCAGTCTCCTCCTCCTCCTCCTCCTCCTCCTCCTCTCCCTCTACGCCGTCTCCCATTTCGGCATCCTCGACGGTGGCTGATTGTGCGGAGGGCGGGACATCGTCCATGTCTGCGTCTTGCGACAAGTCTTGTGTCTTCCTTGTTGTACGGCCAGGCATTTTGGCATATATCGGGGCACCAAAATTCTCGGCTCACCCCACCCAGAAAAACAGAGCACTTTTGAAAAAAAAAAAATTGGTAGGCCTTCAAGGAGTAGAGTGTGGGTGCTCTATGAGATGAGTTCACAGTGCCTGTGAGCCTCGTGGTTTGCGCCTTGTCCGGATTTTTTGGCTCTTTGATGATGAGATTCAATTATCCAGAATTTTTGACGTCGATACGGCGGGACCAGAGTGTGGCGCTGGGTGCCAAGACGGGGAACTGCAAAGGGACACAAATATATGACAAAATAGTAGCTCGGTTTTTCAATCATCCGAGCTTGGCCCGGGTAGCTCAATGGCTAGAGCGTGGGACTTTTAATCCCAAGGTTGGGGGTTCGAGACCCCCCTCGGGCGTCAACTTTACTTTTTGTCTTTGTAACCGATTCTGTGGTCGTCCGTGGGCTTGTCTCTATTTTTTTTATTTTTTTTCTATGTCTTGACAGGAATGAGATGTGGTGCGTTGTCGTTCGCCTGTTTCTCCTGCTACCTCATCCACGACACGGCAGATGACTGTCGAATTCGCACGTGTTACATGGCACCGAGGCCAATTACCGAATACTTGACGTATTAGATAGAAATATATGCGCTAGGTATCAAACTCAAACTAATATACTCGGTATGAAATATAGTGACAGTGTTGGCGGTTGCTATTCGGGGATATAGGGTAGCATCTATCCGTTTATCCGTTTATCCGTTTATCCGTTTTCCCGGCGAGCACTCCATCCCAGCACCCAATGCCGCGAACCGAGACTCTTTGACTGCGTGGTGAGGGTGAAGTCACTCGCTACCGCTACCTCGGGTTGGTTGTGCATTAGTTACGTACGCACATACATATTGACAATGGAAGTGCGTCATGATCGGGTTGCTTGCTGGCCCCCTGCGCAGACAGGATGATCCGAACTCTTTGCTCTGTGCACACACACTTGACGTAGGCGAAACAAGCCCCACGGAAGAAAAAAGAAACCAAACTCGAAAGCCAAAAAACAGGTTGCATGCTTACAACATGGCTCGGTGGCAAACAATGTACTCCATACATACAGTATGACAGGACACTCGTGATCAACAGACATGGCAAGTGACTGCCTTTGCATGAAACGTCGCAGTCGCCAATCGGAACCGTGTCTGCAAGAGTGGAGGGGGGATCCGGGTGCGCGGGTGTCCTAGTGCTGTCACTCTGCCTCTCAGCCTTCCAGTGGCACCTTTGGCGCCCGCCGCAGTATTGACACCAACAGACGATCCGCATTTCACAAATGCCCATCAACTCGTCCCGCAACGCCATCAGCATTCACGGATGAACGACATCGACCCAAGGCAGCTTTGAGGCGCTCGAGGGCTCGGAACAGGCTGACAAGGGGGACTGGAAGTGCGCCAAGGGCCGTAAGGCAGTGCCGCATTTGACCCCACTGTTGCAACGTCGACCTGAGACGTCGTCGTCTCAGGTCCAGCCCACCGACGGGACAGGGGATGCGGGCCCCTGAAGGGAAAGTCAAGTCTGGTCTGGTAATGCTGAGCTGGAAGTTACCGAGGGCCAGGCTTCCTGATTGACGACAGCATTTTCAAAGACAGAGCCACTTCATGTCAATGTCATGAAATGTGTTAGCGAGGGCCACAGTGAAAAACAGAGACCTCAGTGGATAGTTATTATTACCCGAGTCGTCGTCCCAAAAAAAAAAAAAAAGACACCAGACCCGTCTGCCATTGACGCCTCCCTGTCACCTGGAACAGCAACTCATCACCAACAGGCCCAACCTTTATGCATCACCAGAAACAAACGCAGACCGCCTGTTCCGTATGGAGCACGGAGTGTCAAATGCACGTCTGGCTGCGACTCGCGCGGCACTCGTCGCTTCACTTACCCATGAGCATCTTTGTCAAGTCTTGGGTCTTGACAGGCGGGGTCTTTTTAGTCTGAAGATTGGTGTGGTGTCCATGTCTGGACTCTGGTGCCATATTCGAGGGACCTGGTCTCGCTTGGAACCCAGACTCTCGACCCCCACGGACAGAAAACGGCCATGGGTGGTGGATGGGTCTAGCAGGAGGGGAACAAGGAGAAAGGAAAGCTTCAGGAATCAGGACCCAAGAAACCAAAAAAGAAGCTTTTCGCCATCATGACTTAATACTACGGCACTACCCTTGGCCCAGGGTACGGTGTGCTATCATCGGTGTGTACGGAGTAACCACTCCGTATTGCAAATGGGCACCTAGCCTTGGATCTTTATGCTATTAATCTTGCTTGCTATATTTTCGCCTGCACCGAAGCTAACTCGCCGTATTCTCCATGTCATTGCTCGATAATCGGGGCAATGAGAAACATTGTACAATGCGTTGGGCTGTGCTCCATACCCGACGGCAATCTCCGAGCTCTGGCTACAATTACCGAGTGTCCTCTTTTTCGACAGACAAAGCATCCGCTGTTTTGTGAATTGGTCTTCTCTCGCCGTGGCTAGGGTATGAGTACTACTAAGAGTATGTATGTACTCCGTAGCCACGAGGTAGTGGTCCTAGACACACTAGAAATGTGGCTTCGCTTTTCCGTCTGGCAGAACGGAGTAGGAGACAAAGAAAAAGCAAGCTGGGGATTAATATATCTGGCCTTCACTATCAGTCAAAATTGGCAGCGAGGTGCCGGAATACACAATACACAATCACCCTGGAGGCCACGCAAGGAGTGTCTAGGATATTTGCACCGGCAAATAGTAAGCGCTGAGGTGAACAAGATTTAGCGAGAATCTCACGTCACCGGCAATCATCTCTTTAGGCCCCTGTACGTTCTTTTTGTTTGTAACACAAGCGTGGGATCTGGATAACGGATAGGGCCGCGGACGTCTTTCTTGGCCGGCCACTCGCACGTCCTTCCCCAAGGTCTTGCCCTGCGGTCAATCCATCTTGATGAAATTACCACCATCATCCATGGAATGACCGTCGCTCGTTGGGGACGGGAGGGCCAAGAAATCATGTTGTACATACGTACCTCCTGCGCCATGTGCGACCCATGCTGGATATATCTGTGGCCCCAAGTCCGGATCGTCACGTCAGTGTCATAAAACCACAACTGTCACTGTAAAGAATGATGAGAATTAGCATGAATATGATTCTTTGCGTGTTCCAGCATGATGAGAGTTTTGGTGGAACAGACACCTCGATGCTCGCAATCACGTCCAAGTCAGCATCTCAAGGAACTGAGCCTCGAAAATCGTGGGCCTATACGCTCCACGACAGACAATTAAAGAATACGACTCGATAATGTATTCAGTCGAGGAGCCAGGGCCATTCGTTGGGCCATGATTAGATTGGCACTTGGTAGTCCAGTCGAATACATGAATCGTGAATACCATTGATAAGCACTGTCAATGTCAGTGGCAGCCAATATCATGTAGTATATTCCATCTGTGATATCGTGTCTTCACGAAGCCAAGCCATGGCGACCCGACATGCCGCACATATCATCAACTGATGATTTCTCCTCATACGCCGTTGCCTGTCATGCCGCGATCGACTCTAGTGCAGTTCGTTAGACTGACCCACGTGGATCATGGTCCCATGGATGAACCTTAACCAAGTTGGCACCTTGACTGCTTCCGTCGTTGTCCTACTAGATGGGGAATACTGACAGCTTCGGACCTGCATGTAGCATGGCGACAACCAAAAAAAGTCTCGCAAATGTATGAATCATCTTTTCGTGCGTCCTATGCTCTGTGAAATTGTTTCCGAATCGGCGCTTCATGTTTAGTCTCTCGCTTCTTCTTCTTCTTCAACTTATCGCCAGACTGGTGCTTTTGGTCTTCCAACGCTTCTACTTGGGGATTTGATGCAATAAGAGGAAATTAGTGCCAACTCGTTACAAACATATTTCGCCAGAAACTTGCTATTCAACTACGTACTATCGACCCCATGTTGAAGTTCCCTGGAAGATTCATACACTAAGTAGCCTATTGAGGAGAGGGCCGCCAACACTCTGTGGCAAAATACATATGTAGATAGTGCGAACATGCACCGGTCTATCATAGCGCAGTGGTGATAATGCCAGGATGTCATATCAAACACTTTTTGTCTCAGGCCGGGCTGTGCTGGAATTCCTGAATAAACATATTTGTGTCCGTTCTACTGATATTTGCCGCAGCTATTCCGTTTGATGATAGGTCTAATTATTCCCAGGAGCGAATTGATAATTGGACGCTGCGTTGCGCAAGCGGCGAAATCACCTGACAGTAATTCTTCGGTCTCGCTATGCGAATGGTGCTGAATATCGACTTATGGGAAGCCTTCCTAGAGCAAACTTCAGTGCAGGTGGCTTGTCCGGGTTCGAGTGGGTGGATTCCCAACTGGGACTCGTTTACCTTGGTCTGGACATGTTTGGGGTATGGTGCGCCGTGGTCAAACGATAAACCAACTAGGCTCCTGGCTTGTTTGTTGTTTGTCTCATGGACCATCGTGACCAATAAGGTGATCCAATCAAAGAATAGAGCGCCGATTCTTTCCAGGGGCTTGAGGTGCGGCTGCAGGAGATGATGGAGGGTGGCGGCGTCTGTGAGGATGATGCTAAGTTGAAGGTAAAACAGACTAGACCGCGGCAGTGGGACGGAAGACCAACGCCCCGTCTAGTGAAGTCAACTCTTTCGGCGACCTTGAACAAGGGATGCCGCGAGGCAATCCGACGCTGTGACTTCTTGGCGGCGATTCGTGTACATATTCAAAAGGAAGCCGACTCGTGCTCAACATGCGGCGGAATGCCCAGAGGATGTCGTGTTATTTGCCTGGACGCAGCAGGGTTAGGAGGGGAAAACGGGAGAACAAACATCTGTTTGGAGTTGGATTTCCTTGCAAGAAAATACCAGACGGTTATCCTGGATATTGAATCTTCGCCCAGAAGCTAAACCATGCTGAACAATAACTGAAAGAACAAAAAGAAGTTGAGGCCTGGGCGAAGACGCAGTAGCCACGACAACAACAGCCGAGCATACTCCGTACCCCGTACGGAGTAGTTATATGCTGCCCAAATATCGATTTGGGCCATGAACTCTTGGTCCCTCCCATCTCTACTAATTCGTGTCGATGTCTGGAACCGGGCCAGCTGACAGAGCATGAGTAAAGCATTTTTGTCGTCATACGACGTGCGGAACTTGGCGTCTGGGTACTCTGTACTGCTGTGTCACAGACAGGTACGTTGGTGGGCTGCGAGTTCGTTCACAGATGGCATATTTGATGCTGGAGTTGAATATCTGTCAAATTCTAGTCATGGTTGCTTCGTGTCGATCTGCGTCTTTGTCTCTGGTGGTGCCCATGGAGCCATAGAGCAAGTGCCGTATTGCAGCTTAGCAGGGAAACGAGAAAGTCGACTAGTAGCAGTATTCGTGTTCATGGTGGGGGAGGGGGTCCGTTCTGGACTATTCCTGGCGATGGTCGAGTTGGGATGTTTGGTAGAGTCCCTGGCGTCCCGTCTGATGTCGCACTTTGGTGGAGCTGCTCAGCCTGGATTGAAAGCTGGGGCGCCGCCTCTTCATGGCGATGGCGCGGGTTTCAGACAAGGCCATGGCGTCTGCTCCCAGTAAGATCTGCTTCTATTAGTGCTCAAAAGGGACGTAAGCATTCAGTCTGAAAGCTGGGCGAGAAGGGAAGACATCTGTGACGAGTTGTGATGAGCCAAAAACACCTCGCTCTAAAACACATAACCAACCATTGTGCGTGTTTGTTGCTTGATATGTCCAGTAGTACTTCCGTATTGTCTTGTACGATCGAATGAGCATGTCGAGTACATAAGTGTCTTTGGTAGTATCTTGTTCCAGTTGACGGCAGCCGCGCTTATTCCAGCCACTGGCACTAGCAACGGAAAACTTGGGGACCTGACCGCTCGCACAGTCAGTTGGAGTCGATCTATGCCATCTTGTACTCCCTAGCCCATGTTCCGTACTTGTGTATAATATAATAGGTTGATATGTGGTTCTTGCTGAGATCCGCATTGGACTCCTAGTTGAGATTAGCTTCGGCTAATAGGGGCGATTTGTTGACTGAATACACTCCGTGCCGTGATAACCAATAGTACTTTCTTTGTCAATGCGACTGCCGGCCATACTATTGGTGCAGGCGACGGACCAGGCATAGAATAATCTCAGTATTTTTGCATTTGGGTGACTTGGGACAAAGAGCCACCCCCTTGACCAGCAGAGACCCCCCCAGAACCCCTCGGCTTTGGCCAGGCGGCATCTCTTGATATGTGTACCAACTTGACAAGAGATGTTCCAATTGTAATATTATCGTGTACTTGGCAACTTTGTTGTAGTATGTACTTTACTTTATTGAAGTGCTGTGTGACCCATGGCGAGCCCAGACGACGCTTGTGCTGGCTGGCTGACTGGCTTGCGGTGCCTTGGGGTAATCCCTGCGCTTTGTGCTGCAAACTGCCCCCTCCTGGTATCCTGGTGTGCATGCGATCTCATCATCCCATGCTCACTCCCCCCTTGGTCTGTTTGGCTGCAGTCCATTGCTTCAGGATCCTCCAGGACCAGCACCAGTCGCAGCTTGTGCGAGCCCACTCTGTCCGTCTCAGTGTTTTGATACTCTCGTTGGTGGTTGGAAGGACTGCCGTGGTTTTCGGAGGAGCATTGCTGGATTGGATTGGATTGTACCGTCGACAAAGCCCTTTCTTTGCTCTAGTCTCAAGCACGGAGTACTCCTGGATGCTCCTGACTCTGCGCTGCTCGACGCCTCAGAGCTGCTCGGCTCCTTGCTCCTTCTTTATCTTTAACACTTCATCCTCAAGATCCCTCCTTCCTCCCCTCCTCTCCTCTCCCCTCTCCCCTCCCCTCACCTCCTCCCCTCGCTCTTTCCCTCGTACTCCGGTGCCGTCTCGAGATTAATCTTCACCACCAAACCCACCGGCGTCATCGCGAATGGTAATTTGTCTGTTATCTTGTCCGCCTCGCTCGCCAGTTTCGCCGCAAAGACGCTGCTTGTCGCCTCTGCCGCACCTGCAGTCCACGCTTTAACCCTGTGCTGTGTGCCTCGCTAGTCCGTTTTCACTGACGACGGGCCCTTGGCTCCTCCAACGTCGACCACTCGCTGAACTCGCTCCCTCTCGCGCCGACAATCTCGAACCCACCAAGGCCAACCACCACATCCACCACAACCACCACAACCACCGTTGTGGCTCACCACTGGAACGCTGCCATCTCATTGATTCGCCCATAAAAGTCCGCAACCGCCACCCCTGCGTGTTTGAGCCCGTCCACCAGGTGCCATTTTGCGGGCATCTGCATCGTGTTGCATTCTGGGCCTTCGCCCGGCGCTTCTCATTGTCATTGTCGCTCTCTTCTCTCTGCTTTTTTATCAGCCAACTTGTCGACTCTCCCTTTCTGGCCTGCACGCACGTAGCGGGTGTATTGTGCTTTCCGTCACATCCCTCGCCTCAGAAAGTCTACGTTGCGCCAGGTCTCATACCTGCATCGTCTCGATATTACACAAAGGTGACCGCTGACCCGGCACTTTGATGTTGTGGGATTTTCAAAACACGGTCTCGGTAACAATTCTTCCAAAAGGGGGAGGAACTTTTTTTTTTTCGATTCGCATTGTGATATTGATTGCGTTCGTGTCACCATTTCCGAAGAACAGATCTCTTACCGAGGCTAGGATCCCGACCACACAGACCGCAAAGCAAGAGTTTGAGTTCTGCTAGCTGCTGAGCCGGTAGTCACCACTGGCCCGCAATAGCACAAGGAGACGACTGGTGATAACACCGCGACTGGGCTTTGACCCGCGCCTCGCTCATACTCCCTGGAAACGATAGTGAAGCACACTGGCTCTTCAATTTACCGACAGCTAGAAGATAGTGTACCCAGTCACCCCGGCTTAACTTCCATCGCGTGGCTAGTTCATTCAACATATCCCATATCAGCTCCTCCAACTTCGGGGAAATTCAATCAATATGAGTGCCGCGATCGCGATGGCGCCATCTCCAGCTCCCCACGAGAGGCCGCCTTTTTCTGCCACCGATGTAGTTGCTTCTGAAGCATCCGGCAGCACCAAGGTTACTGGTCCGACATCTCCCACCCATAGAACACCCACAACCGCATCAGGGCCTAATGGCAAGAGCACGAGCGCTGGTCCCCAGAAAAATGGCGATAGAGGCAGCCCCAAGGGATCTGGAGCATCCTCAGGTGCAAAATCCTCGCCGAATGGCCCGTAAGTTGCGCAGCCAACACGAATTTATGTGCCAAATCGAGTTCGATTTTTGACTAATCAATTTTCTCACAGTAACCGTAATGAAATAGGCCGAGCCAAGGTGATTGTGAAAAAGGAACCCGGATCTCCAACACTACCAAATATGAAACCTCGACCGCGGCGGTTGGACCTGTCCAAAAACACCCTTTCAACACCCAACAACCCAGCCTCAGCAGTGCCTATGTCAGCCCGTGACAGCCTGGGGATTCAAGAAGTAGGCATCGCCTGCCTATCACCTGGATTTGTGACGCAGGACCCAGTTATGAAGGAGCAGTTGCAAAGAAGCATGTCTGTAAGAGAGCAGCAGCGCAGCATCATCGAACAAAGGTTACAACAGCAATCTGCGAAGGGAGAAGGTCCCAGCGATAGGGACAAAGATGCGCTCTCAAACTTTGCCGCCAAGACACCTGGCATGTCTCGCAGAGGAAAAGCGCCCCCTGGGCTCTCCATTGTAGCACCATCTCACGAGCACTTTGCCAATGAGCGAGTGATTCAGTCGGCACCGCTTGGTCGCAGCTTCACTGGCCCTCAACATCACGCGTCAATGTCACGTCAAGTTGTCAATCACCCTTCACATCTGTCCAGCAACTCACATATTCACCATGTTCCTGCTAATCAGACAAATAACCGCCTGCCCCCGATCAGCGACGTCTTCGGGCACAGTGCTACTGCCCATCCAGACAACGCACCGCCGCCTTTTCAACGAGGAGCTCCTCTGGCATCCCCAAGTCTGCATTCAGCACACCAACAGCCTCCCTCATCTGGCCGACCAAGGGAATACAAGTCTGCCGAAGAAGCACAACACGAACTGGCTGGAGGAAGACCTGAGTTACTCCCAAAGATCGTCCATTATGGTGGCCACCAACCTCCCACTCCTCCATCTCCTGCCGCGGGAAGTCGACAACTTGATGGCAGCCGAACTTCTACCAAACGCCGCACTAGAGCTGAGTACGAGGAAGGTGCAAGCCCTCCACTGGGTTACGGGCCATCTGCAACGAAGCGAGGACCGTTTGGTGAGGGTAGAGACAGCCCCGAGACACAGCGCGCAAAGAAGGACGAATTTCTTCGCCTTTGCTCAAGGGCATGGGACCTATTTCACTCATAATAACGGCTGCCGCGTTGCAACATGGTGAAACTGCTTATGTGTTTGCTTATATACAGCTCAGTCGCCTAGCCATTATGGCCATTCAGTCGCCACACGTGCATTGCCGTTGATGGCACCATAAAGCTGGCAGCAGGGGCAGTGTCCTGGTCTCGTGCAAAGATGTCATGTGTTTTAGATATTATGGCTGCACGATACATATTTTTATACATTAATCGACTCTGCACCTCCGGCTACTGTTAATATTCAGGAGAATCATAGCGGAGGATAGAAAATTCCGTGCTGGGCATACTATGTTCTCGACCTGACGCCACCCAGCGTCCTGACAACGGTGGATTTTGAGACTCTTTGTTTCGCAGGGTCGTTGTCTTTATCTATTTTTTACTCTTTGTTCCTGACACCCTTTGGGTGTTTCTCATTTCTTTTTCACACTTCTCACCTTTCGCCTGCTTGAATAGGAAGCAGGAGGCTGGATCATTGTCGAATATCTGCTACTAGTTTTCGAGTTCGGGATTATATATATACCTTTATGGTGGGCTGATGGTCTGTGCGCAGAACTAAGATTCGTATTTTTGGGGAGCAACTTACATGCTACTTGACATGAGCAAACGGTAAGGGGCGGATGAACTGTGTAAGGCGACAATGGGGCAAGGGGTGGGATATTTTGGAAATGGCGGGTAGCCTCGGTCTACATAATATCTTACCGGAGTTGGATAGGTCAATTGACAGAGGAAATTCCACACCCGCCAGCAATTTGTTTCCTTTGAGGATGTCAACCAGCACTACACGATTATCTAAGTGAAGACAAGGTGGCCATGCCACCGGCCAAGGCGTGGATGTATTCAATACCGTGACGCTACATACATACACTGGCCTCTGCCTGAACAGTTCGGTACATCACCGACCAGACCGGCAAGAAATTAGAAGGTTTCAGGAGACTCGAGGGGTCTGGGGTTGAGTAGTTAGTTCCTGGGTGAATAAAAGTTTCATTATCGGTGATCAAACTCTGGGAAAACGTTAAGTGGACTACACCACGGTGTTTTTAGCTGACTGGAATTGAAACTGGACTTATTTTGGGGCAGCTTAACTGGTCAAGTATATTGAACATATCTGCGCGGCTGTGCCTGACGATTACTTACGCACATGCAACCACCTGACCTTTGAGAATGCGCCATTGCAAAGCTGGCATGTAAGGGTACAGATGAAGTGATACTGAACGCATTGGGGCAATCATCGTGGATATGTGCGAACAAGAAAGCAGCGTAGTGGTAAGACTCCAAGGCATCGAATTTCCAAGGGCTATGTACAGACAGCGATACTCGAACGTGTGATCAAACTGCCCAGGCATTCTTCTCATCCAACCATTGACAAGAGTTCATACACCATTACCCTGTTGTTGGTGGCATATCGATGATTCAATCCGAAAAAGTCCCAAGTCTTCCGGTAATAACAAATAAGCCAGTCAGCCATCCATGCCCTATTAGCAGAGGATTAAACCCCGGTTTACCAATCCTGCATGTCCTGAAACAGAATGAAGCCTCCCTCCCAAGCCTCGTAGCTCCCTCTAAGCCAATTCTTCAACCTGAAGAATATAAATATAACCCAGGACATTAAAGAGTACGCCAAAGGTATCGCTTGCGGAGAATTGTGCCACCGAAATTAAAGAAACAAAGGGGGGCAAGAAAAGGGGGGGGCTGGTAAAATAACGCCAAAACGCCGTTGCTCGGTGGTGTATCGACAATGAAACGACCTTTTTAAAACCGAGGAGAGAGCCAATAGCCCCAAGAGCAAAAAAAAGGGACACGAAATATAGGATTGTAATATCGGGACAAAAGTATGTCGTGGTAAAAATATAAATCAAATTTGAAATAAGTGCATGTATGGCCGTAGATGAAGAAAAGTCATCAAGTCGTTATATCGGTCATTCAGTTCGAATAAGAGAGAATACCCACAGGGATGGCTATGTCTTGGTGCAGTTGATCCCAGCGGCGCCGATCAAAGGGTTAGGGTAGGAGAGCCTGCAAGATGACTTGGCCAATGTTACTGTTGTAAATTGTGCCGGCCATCAGATTGCAGTCCGCCATGCCAAGGCAGCATGACGGACGGGGTGTTATAGACCCTCCTCTCCAGCCTTGCATAGTTTGATTTCGCGAACCCACTCCGATTTGAGAACCTGAGCAGCTGTTAAGCGGCGGGTGGGATGGGGATCCAGAACTGAGTATATAACGTTGCGGCATCTTGCTCGATGTAGCGACTCAATGGGGCCATAGCCCTCTTCGTCACGCCGGCCCTCGAGATATCGAGCGTAGAATTCATCCTCGTCCTTCTTGGCTACTCGCCAGAGATGACGGCCGGTCCGCATGGCCATGTAAATCACACCACAAGCCCACACGTCGACGGCGCGAGCATCGAATTCTTTGTCCGTGTACTCCTCTGGGGAGATGTATGGGGCCGAGCCACATAGTCCAGATACCATGTGAGCATCTGTTTCCCAAGCCATCCGGAAGCATTCGCCGTTGCCGAAATCCGTGATTTTGAGGGCACCCCTTGTGGTCAGGAGAAGGTTCTCTGGCTTGAGGTCTCTGTGGGCGACGCCCATTTCGTGGAGATACTCTACACCTCTCATCATCTGCTTGAAGAAGCAATCGGCCTCTTGAACCTCGAGCTTGCCACTTGATAGAATAAGAGTATAGAGATCGCCGCCAGAACAGAACTCCATAACTTCGCAGTAGTCGCCCTTGGCATCCTTCAGCAGGTCCAGTGTGTGAATTACGTTGGGGTGGCGCAGAGACGAAGATATACAGAACTCGGCGGTCAGGCGCTTGCTGTACTTTTTTTCGGTTTCTTCGGGTCGTCGGCGGAACTCCTTGACGGCAAAGAGCTTTTCGCTGCCTCCAAGCTTCTTGTGGGAGATTCGAACGATACCAAAGGCTCCTCGTCCAACTACTTCCTGGCATTTGCCGTACTTCTCGACAAGGGTCGAAGACACATTGGGTCCTCCTTTGCGGTCTCCCGCCTCTTCCTTTTCTTGGCGCAGCGAGTCCACCCAGTTGGATACCAGTGAGAGGTCGCTGTCAGGAGTAGCCTCTGGCTTCTTTCCTAGTAGAGATCTCCACATGTCGGAGAGCTTTTCTTGACGTCGGCTTGACTTCAAGTGATGTTCGTGGCCACCCTGGACTTCTGAATTGCAAGCGAAGCGACTGCCAAGGTCCTTGCCGGGGATAACCTTGGATGCATTTGACGGCGGCTTCTCAGAGAGACGCTCAGAAGAATCTTTGCGAGACGAAGCAGGGGATGAGGCGCCGTTCAAGGACGGGCCACGAGGCCTCCCAGCATGTTCGCCATTGCCGTTGTTCAGTTTGGGAAGGTCTTTACTTGCAAACATGCGGGTGAAGCGTTCCTTGACAGAGGACCTTTCGGAATGGGGCCTCAGGTGTGAAGATTCGCTCGCGGAATCGAAATCTTGAGCAATAAGACCGGGAGAATGTCTGGAACCGTCGTGGGATTTGATAGACGACGGTTTTGAGCTCTGCGCGGAACTAGGCTTTGACGAATCACCGGATGCGGCGGGCATTTTCGAAGTAGCAGCGCAGCAGCACTGACGTAGCGCCGTAGGTTGAGTGGCGAGTTTCGCTGTCACTGTCGCAGGCGCAAGGAACTGCGTGCGGCAGCGGCGGGCACTTGCGGGTTGAAGAGAGAGGTCAACAGTGGCGATATAAAAAGTGGTTGCGACAGGTCCCAAGGAAAAACAAGATCGAGGCCGGGGTGTAAAGGAGCAGAGTAAGAGCAAGAAGAAGAATTGAGATGCAACGATGAACTGGAATGCTCCAAGATTATGGCAGCGGCCAAGGCGAACAAAGACAAAGCGAATTAAACACAAACGGCCTCTCCCAAATGACGAGTAGGTTGGTGGCGGTGGCAGGCGGAGGCAGGCGGTGGCAGGTACTAGCAGCAAGTCGTGGCCGCGGCCGGGTTGGCTTGTGACTTGAAGGCGGGTGGGTGTCGGCGATGACAAAGCCGGGTCGGGGTGAAGGACGTGGTTCGAGGTCCAGGGCGAGGCGCGAGTCAGCAAGGCAGAGGCGACGGCGAGGTGACGGACGGCGACGCCAAGAGCCGGAGAGTGAGACGCTGGAACGGAAGACGAGAGGGCCAGAGGCAGATCAAACTCGCGCGCGGCGGGGGTTGAGTGAATAGGACGTGATTGGGACTGCAGTCAATGGTTTGGCGTCGGGTCAGGGTGTCGAGGCGGCTTGGAGGCGTCGAGGCTGTAGAGGGTGCAGAGGGGTGCCAGAGGGTGCCCAGAGGGTGCCCAGAGGGTGCAGACAGGGTGCAGTCAGTGTGCAGTCAGTGTGCGTACAGCGTGCAGCGTGCAGCGTGCAAAACGAGGCGACAGGGATGCGCCAAATGTTGCAGACTCGCAGGCTCACAGGTTCGGTGGCGTCTGGGACGGCGCTGCGAGAAGGACGACAACAATATATGTACAATTGCCAAAGCGGTGGCCGGCGTTCATCAGAGAGACTGTTCAATGCCGGGGCGTGCGAGACAAAAGACGCTGCGGACCAGAGAGGGAGTGAGGCCGACTTGTACGCCCAGGCTGGTGCAGGCGATTGGTGTGCGACGTGCCCAAGTACCCAGGTACCTCTGTACCCGTGCCGACGGTAGTCGATGGCTCGATGGCCTTGGCACGACGCAAAATATAGCAGTATGAAATGATGTCTTTGTGTGTAATTTGTGCGTGTGAGGAAAAGAAAAGGGGAGAGGGGATGGAGCACCTGAGGTCAAAGGCGAAAAAGGGCGTCGAGGCTCCGTATACCACGGGGATCAGCAGCTCAGCACTGAGCCGAGGAGGGAGGAGGGCGGCCAACAGAGGCGAGTCAACCTGGAGACGGGGGTCAAGGACGAAGGGCTGTGAGGGCGGGCGAGGGAATAAATGAGCCAGCACCAGAAAAAAAAAAGGAAAAAAAAGAAGAAAAAAAAAAAAAAGATATAATAATAGTGGGCAGAGAGGATGGCGATGGCTTGGGGAGGCTAGACTCTGGTACTGGGGAACATGGAACAAGAGCCAGTAGTGCTGGTCTTCCGAGGCGGGACGCTGGGCTGTTTTGGTCCACAGGGACACCAGAGGAACGGAATCCTCAAGCGGGCTAGTAACTTTGATTGAATGCGAGCCTCTTCAACAAGGCCAAGTCAGTCCAGATGTACGGAGTAGCTGGTCCTTCTCCGTCAGAAGCCAACCTGTCCACTTATTGACTGGTCCGTTCGCCATGCACTCGAGTAGAAAGGGAGGCTCCCACTCAAGTACTTAAATAGTTGTGCAGAGTCAAATTGAAGCCCTAAACAAGTCCAATTGTCTGGCTGCAAAGGCTCGACACCCGCGGCAGTACCCAGTACCCAGTGGCTGGAGGAAGGCCAGGGACCCTCCAAGGGCCTCTAGCGGGTCACGCCCCTCCTAAAGTCGCCAGCAGCCCTGGTACCTGGGTACCTACCTGCTGAGTACAGGCCACGGAGTACTCCGCAAGGAGCTCGGCAATGCTGCTGGGCAGCTTTTTGGCAGTCTGGTGCCAAGTGAGCCAAGGGCCCGGCTGGTCCAGTCTCAAGTAAGCTTCAATGTTCAATGTTCCAATGTCGAAGAGTCGAGCGCTTATCCAGAGCAAGGGTCGCCGTGGCCCTGTTGGCTGGCGGTGGCTTGCACACCAAGTGGAGGATGATTTACTGGAGAGGCCCAAACGGTGAACAGCTTTGTTACGGAGCCGAGTATAAGTATATTCGACAAGTACAGAGTGGTTTGCTGCTGCTGCTGCTGCTGCGGCCATGCGCAAATCCAGGCCTAGTGATGCGGATATGATGCGGAAGGACCCAGACTGAGTTATCCGTGGCATGTAAGAGGTCGCAATGATGCTCTCTTAGCTGCGGCGATGCGGTATATTCTTGTACAGTACCGAGTACGTATTGTGAATGAAAATGTTGGAATTGTAAACGTGAGCCCACTTCAACCCTCCCGCGTGGCCCATGGCGTCTTTATGTATATTTGCATTGTGCAAATACCGTCCTGGACGATACGACATGATTTCCTGCATGCCTGCATGTTTGTATGTTTGCAGACCGCATCCCATGTATTATTTGTTCCCTGTACTGCACCTACTACGTAGTTTCCTTTTTACCCTCTCTTCGCTGCGCAACCTAGTACCTGCAAGTCGCATCATTGAAGTAACCCAACCAGGCACTCCGTACTACTTGCTCCGGTCTGCAGGAAGGCAGATCCTCTTACCCTCTAGACATTCGAATTGCTCCTCTTTGCTCTGGGCCTCTTTCCGTGTCTCGGCTGACCAACCCAGGAAGGAGCGCCTGCCGTGTGTACGGAGTACATCGGCAGATATTGTACTACTTCATACTTAGGTACTTAAGTAAGTAAGTGTCAACTTTATCTATTCCATAATAGCGTGCGCAAGACATAAACCCTGAGAAATCTTTCTGGTTCATACTAGTATTCCTCCATACCATACCAGCCCTTGGTTCAAGACAGGGGCAAGGCGCACCGCAACAAAAAAACAGACCACCAGAGCTAACATCAACTAAAAAAAGTATGACAGCGGCCAGACACCACCAAGTTCGACTTCGAATTGTCCTACATACTAGGTACTACTTGGTAGGCGGCAGAATACCCAGCAATTCGGCCATGCACCGTGACGTGACTACTCAGGACTAAAGATGCACATCTTCGCGGAGCCTCGAGGCCATTTTCACCAGAGACACCGTGCATGGATGGGTATGTATTTTGTTGTACATAGTATCATGTACAATACTCGGTCCAATCCTCCGTACACCAGGGGAATGGCTGCCAGTCACACCTCAAATGGCCTGTCTTCATCCGCCAAGCGCCAAGAGCACCCTTGCACCCTCACGTCGACTGGGCTCAGTGAATCTTCCTTGCTATTCGCCTGCCGCCACCGACATGGTCTTGAACGATTGATGTGAATCACCATGCCACGGGTTCAATACACTAAGACATGTTGAGGGTCTAAGGGCATGTGCCACATCCGGCTTCCGCATCTGAGACCAACATTCTATTATTACCCATTCTGACTCTGTCACCTGCGTTCCTATCGTTTCCGCGTGGAGTCGATATGGAGTAGTAACTGCCTACCTGGAGGTAGTACTCTGTGTTCTGGCGACTAACGACCGACGGTACAGCGCGCAGCAGGGAGAAATACTCGAATCGAAATCACAAATCCAAAGTTGCCAAGCGCTCACGCTGCATCGGGCCAACCTTCCCCCCAAAAAGCCGACAAGGCACGCGCGGCTAGGATGTACTGTCCCCGGCACATCGAGCGGCCGCCAACCACGATTGTGACCCAGAGGAACAAAAATTGGCACAGGCACAGGTGATTATTCCTGGCCGATATCTTGACCCGAGGGCCAAGAAACCTCTGGCGCTCTGCCAAGCCGGCTCAGCCTAGGATGGGCATTGCGGAGCACAGAAGCCACAGGGAGCCATGGGCGCCAAGACGACAGGTTTCGGCTTCGTGAAGAATATGTAGTATCAATTAATCAATTAATGGTCGAGCGGGAAAGGAAAGCATTCCTTGGACAGCACTTGAGAACCCACCACTGGTGTTCCATCAGCAGCTTTCATGTTATTATACAGGAGACGAGACGATGAGTGTCGGGCTGACCCAGCGACCAATAGGCCCACGTCTGCCCAGATGTCTTATATGTAATTCTGCAGTAAGTCAAGCCCCGTTATTTTCATACATGTACCTGTTGCGTAAACCTCATTGCTAGGACTTTGTTGGACTTTGGCCTGTGCTTGGGCAGCTTGCCGATACAAGTCTGTTGGTGTTACATTGCTCCGCGTCTTGCCAGAATACAGAATCGGAATGCCAGCTTGGCACGGCGCAGTTGCCTTTGCTTACTTGGCGGTGCGAGAAGATTCATGCTACAACTTCCGCATGTTATGTTGAGAACAGCGCATAAGAAAACTGGGGTAGTGGCCGCGTTTAGAGCGAGCTTGTTGATCCACCAGTCAGACGTGTACGCGATGTGGCGTTTTATATGCCATTACCACCGAGTCGTCTAAGCCCATCTCCGTCTCCCCCAGCAAAGGGGGACAAATCACTGGTGAGAGCGCGGGGAGCATAACAGGAACCAGACAAATGTGTTTTCAACTAGTATGTGTCTCGTCTCCTTCGTGGCCTGCAGCTGATGGGGCGTCAAATCCAGTCCACTGCCCGTAGGGCTCAGGATTCTGTAAGGCCTCATTTTTTATCTGCGCCTGCTGTACAGATAAAGTATGGGAGTCCAGCATGGTCCATGGTCTGCGCCATGACCTCGGCCTGCCCGTCATGACGGCCTGCATATTGTTCCCTAGGTGCATTGCATCTGCGCTGCGTTTGGGCTCTATCCCAACGTTTTCAGTTCTCGTGTAGTAGTTGGCCTCACCGAGGTACAACCTGCAAGGTATCTCATACTGCGCACCCACGATAGCCATCGGGGAGCCACGTGCTAGCCTGACAAGCTTATTTCTCATTTACTGCTTCATTCGGCCCCCTGGGTGCGTGCCACCTATTAAGCAGCACCTTGTGCAACATGTGTTATCGAGCTCAGCTGGCCTGGTGCAAGTTACCAATGCCAGATGCAACCCTGTCGGCATCGGACCGCTGACACATGGAGCTACAATACTCCAATGTGTTGGCGTACGGCCTTGGTGGATATACCAGGGTGATGGGCGGCGACCAAAATTGGCTGTGCTTAGGGGCGGTGACTGCAGTGATTAACCAGATAAAGGCAAATCTTTTCAGTTCGGGATGCGAGGAGGCCGTGGGACCCGTCGACGGACGGCGAGAGGTTGTCATTACAAATCAGCAGAATGGGTTTTCCCTCCCTTTCCCGTTTATTGTGGACAGATGTGCGGAGGTTGAGAGAGGCTCATTACATCGGTTCATGAGGCTTAGGCTTAGGGTAAGAAGGTGATGGGTGGCCGAAAGTAGGGTCCAAAACGCGCAGCCCACGTCTTGAATCTCGGCCCTTGACATGGGCCTAGCAATCGAGCAGGCGTCTGGCGGCGAGGAACATGGGCGTGGCGCATGGCGCCTTGCTGAATTCGTTCATTGTTGGCCTTGCCGGTTCCGTTGGTCCTTCACGGCCTGTGAACTTGTGCGCTTTGGACGTCTTTCGTGATCTGCAGCATTGACTGCTCACAGGGCAAGGTTTGTTTACGCCGTATGACTTGCCAGAACCTGCTAGGCCGGGCCAACCTGGGCGTTTATGCGGCGACGACGTCATGGAGTCTTGTTGCTCAGTGTTCGGTACCAGGTGCCAGGTGCCAGGTGCCAGGTGCCACCTGTCGGCCACTTGCTAATACATCCCAACTTCGGAGTACCTTCGAGGTAGGTACCTGCCGTTATATGCCCGCTGCCTCTTGCCCAGCCGCTTCATCTAGATCTGAAATCTGAACTGCTCAGCAACCCGGCCACCCAGCTCTATTCAGCCCGGCCCGGTTAATGAATGTGCGAGCCAGGTCGACTGGTCCATGAGATTCAAACGCACCAAGGACGCGGTCAAATTGGGCTGTCGTGGACGTCGTGGACATCGTGGGGGCCGTTTGAAGAAGGACTACTGGGGTATACGTGCCCGTCGAGCATAAGCTCACGGGTTCGTTTACGCGGAGTACTCCGTGCATGACAGAGACTTAGGTGAGCCATTTTGGTTATCCCCAACTACTTCACAGATATAGCAAAGTTGACGCACAAAGGCCCAATAGACTTGGCAGTCTCAGCAGCCAGCTCCTATTAGCATTACCGTTCTTCGAAAATGTCGCAGCCAATTGCGGTCCAAACCTCCACCCTCACCTTTTCCACGTTGCTGGCACATGACGCTTCTCCATGCTGTACCACACCCAAGTCGCATGTTGTTGACGACAAAACCCGTCAGGTCAAACATCATTGACAGAATGGCAGCTTGGAAAATCAAGCCGGCCAATCTTGCGAGGCTTCTAACCTACCAAGATCATCTGATCTGACATGATGAGAAGCTGCCATGCATAGACTACTATGCACCATATACGATGTATCAAGTACCGAGTCCCGACCTATTGAGTACGTGCCAGGATATTCGGCGATGGCTGAGTGTGCTGGCACAAACATGATCTTCAAACAGGAAGGAATCTGCATGTGAGCAAGCCAGGCATGGGCAGTTTGCTTCAGACCAAGAGTGATATAGGATGGACAGAATCGTGGCAATGGTAAATTTGTATCATTCCAAAGACAACGGTCCCGTCAACGGAGAAGGCCGACAAGGAAAAAGCATTATCCCAGATGCCCGCTTCAAGCGATGCCACTTACTTGGTACGCTGGTTCTCGAAGCACTTGACTTACGCCGACGCAGCCGCCAGAAGGGCTTCATCATGCCTCACCGAGAATGGGCAATCTGTTGCAGAGTTACTATCTTTTCAGGCCTGTCAGAAACTGTCTGACAGCGTATATGCGGCTGCGGTGTTTCGACTCGACCACCACCAAGGCTCCCAACATATCACTAGGTTTGTCCATCAACGTACTTCGTCAGCTCTTGCTGCATCCAATATGGGCATATATACGCGCCGAGGAATGATGTACAGTACGCCCAGGCCTACCTCATTGAAGACTACATACACTGGATTTCGACTTATGTCGAGCGGCTTACTTTTTACTACTACTACCTGGGTAGTTGCTAGCTGCCCTGGCTTGCAGCCGCGCTAATCAAGGCAGATGCTCATCCCACACCACCACCAACCCATTGGACAACGGGAAGCCTTCCAAGAATTATATAATTGCCTACCCAGAGTTTTCGACGTTTGTTTTCGAAGATGAGCCATGATGTTAGAGATTACTGCCCCTCGTCATGGCGAAGACAGCCCGACTCACCCTTGCTCTACGATCTAGGAAGATGTCGAGGCTTGATAAAGTGTCAGCTGAGGCGAAGCCACATTTTCCACCTGTCCGGTAACTAGTTCTACATACGCTACCTATGGATACTAGTAGATGTATGCACTCCGTATACTCCGTACTGCTGGGTGTTAGTATTTGGGAACAACTGACTTGTCATATTTCACTCACGAACCGGAATCGTCGATACGTGCGTCACGCTAGTCATAGAAACTGGGCAACCTTCTATCATCACCATGGGCCTTCCATTCAATTATACGCTGAATCCCAGCATATCTCATCAGTTCACTCTGTATCCTGCCTCGGAGCAACGAGATACGCATGCGCGGGATGCGAGAATGCGCATGTAGGCCCAGAGCCATAGTCCTAGAGCTTCTTGGCCGAGTTATTGCTCAAAGTCTTTTGCTTCGTTCTTGCTAGGAGGGTACGCGGCCAACGCGCTCCGTCAACTGAACACTCCCCCAGATAAGTTTCCGGCTACATTTTTGACATCCCATGCCGCATATGCATGTCCCCGCCCTGGTGAGACATGAACTTCATACCACCTTCCATGCTACCGAGCTGACCTGATGGGTTGACTGCAGCAAGGCGTCCCCGTATCTGTCCTGTAGCTTTTCCCTCACCACCAACCGCCCGTCGCGGTCTAATTTCTTTTTTAAAAGCCACTGTGCGACATGACATGTATACCGACGGCATGTCAGGCACAGTTTTCAGCTTGCTGCAAGAGCCCATCTTTGGGCGAAACCGGACAGCATATCAATTGGATTGATTTTATTGGTATATTCGGTCTCCGGAACTGCGTGGGCAATAGCTTGCTACTCATTTAGCATTGCAAGTCACTCACTTCCTTCAGTCGATGGCGGTTTTTGTGCCAATACATGGATTTTGCGCCCAAAACCAGCAACAGCGGAACAAACTATTCGGTCAAGCCATCCGGACCTCAATCCTATTTTGAATCCTTTCTGAACGAGTCACGGCGAAAAATAACATGTGAAGCTTGTTGGACTTGCCAGAATCATTTGATGAAACAGAGAAGGCCTTCGTGACGTGTAATCCGTCCATACAAAGTACATCGATGCAGTGCTCCTCGGCCATGGTAACTCGTACGGAGACATCTGCACCTACATCCAGTTACTCAAGTACTCCGTACCTGCTGAGGGATCCATTGAAAAGACCACGTTATCGTCGTATAACCCGGAGCTGTGGTCCGATTCCACTTGTCGGCGTCTGGCGTCGCTCAAGACAGTGTGCATGCACTGCTGCACTCCTATCTTCGAGTCACGGTGACACAAGAACCGCAAGAATTTCCAGATACGACGAATCTCGAACCACTAAGCGTCACCAATTCAATTTGAAAACCTGAGAATGCAAACTTCCGCCACCTTATTGGATATTTCTATGCTTTCTGACTAACGTTATCTAAAAATCCTGTTGTCTTGTTGTCCCTTCCTTCAATCAATAGGAACAAAGAAAACAAAAAAACCTCATGCGGCTGTTTCTTGAAAGAGCCTCACAGCCACGGTCCCATTTCAAACACCGGATATAAATAACACGAAGCACCCTGGGACCCTCGTGCTATATTTCTCGCATCTCAGTGGTCCAGATTTCTCCGTCAGGTATGCAGGGTATCGAGGTTTTGCGGTGTGAAAGACTAGACGACTCCGGCTGCCTTGGTCTGTGACAAGCGGCATAAACCACATCCTGATAGCAAACGTGGAACTGTTATGAGCATTAGCCCAGGTAGCTTTTGCATCGCGGGGCACGTAGGAGAACTGTCAGAAAAATGACGCGCTGTATTCTAACTGGAGGAGATGATGCTTTGGCGATACCTACATTCGCCCTTTGTTAATTGTCATGAGAAGCAAAAGCCGGTGAGATTATGCCCGCCCCTGCAGTAGGACCACGTACAGCTGCTCAGTGTTACGATATCGCCAAGCCTGCATTCTTTGATTTGGCGACACACCCACAAGAGCTTATTTCTAGAAGAGCTTATTTCGCTAGCCATTACCGCGACGTTACGGAGTAGTGACGCCTGCTCTGCAATTCAGCTACCCGAAGCGGTGAACAGTTGGGCTGGGCAAGTAGCATCCCTTTGTTATCCTACTAATGCCGGGAGACACCATGGCTTATCAAAACTGCTCGCCACCATCGCACATTGCAACACTGCAGTGTCTTAGTAGAATGATGCCGAAAATTCCAAGTTGTTTCTTTGAAAGGTGCTCCAGTGTTGCACCTCCGGTCCAGACCTTCAGGACCAAGACCTCAGGCGTGATAATTCTGGTGCAATCGAATTGGGAAGTCGAAATTGCAAACTTGTCTCATATGCATGTTTCCTTGATGCCGAGACCGGCAGTGTTCAGATTTTTCGGAATCTATCCGAGCACGTCGCAAAATAACAGGCGAGACTGCTAAGACGATATGGAGTACACCAAGTGAACTGGGCCAGACCCTTTTACGTTTGGCGTTCTAGCCCAGGTTGCTCCATATCTTTCTCTGTCTCAGGGGTGGACAACGCAACTTTGTCGATAATTTCGGCCAATTTGGCCCTCGGCTCCGAAGGCAACCTATCCCTTAAGACATGGGTAGCTTTCTTTACCTCTGTTTTCGGACTGGGCGGTGATGGCACGGTCCCTCCTACCAGATTTTCTATTTTTTTGAAGTAGTCCGTTTCTTTGACGAGCTTGGTCAAGTACATGGTGGGTTTCTTGGACGGCCTGGCCTCCATTCCCCGTTTAATGGCCTCTTCGTAGGCACGGTCGTATACATCGAAATCAACCGCGGTCGGAGAGTCGGCCACTACATCTGGAGTAGCCTCGTCCCAGGCAAAAGCATCTCGTGCGCCAGTGCCGATGCCAAGAAGCAGAGGCTCTTGTTCGCCAATCTCTCGAGCGTGACCTTTATCTGCATCTTCAGCCTGCTGGCTGAGCAAATGCCGACGACGGGCCAAAAGAGCCTCAATTTCTTCTGCTTTGGCTCTCTCGTCGGCGGCATTGAATGACTCATCTTCTGACATAAGACGCTGAAGTGACGTAGAGGAGCCAACCACGCCAGTGTTGTTCCTGGCCCGAATTCTCGCCAGCAGAGTCCTAAATTTGTGGATTGCCTTCATCATGGATAGAAGATGGTTCATTTTCCTGGTGAAGGCTCGGTTCAGCTCAAGCTCATTGGGAGGCTCAATAATATGCTCGCAGTTATCTTCGGCAGACAAAAGAGGATCACACCCTCCTTTTGTCACCCATGGGTGTTCCTATGAAGGATAACTATGTTAGCGCGGAACCTGTCATATTTTCGCGTCCAGTTCTTACTCTCAATTGGGACATTGTTATCCGTTTTTCGGGGTCCTTCTCCAGGATAACCGTCATCAGGTCCACAAATGCGGGATCCTCGCCATCAGGAATACAGGTATCGTCTGATTTTATAGCCTCGTAGATTTCTAGGACTGTTGGGCGGTTGAACGGTATCTTGCCGTATTTAAGGCAATAGAGAGTAACACCCATAGACCAAATATCAGCTGCTTTACCAGAGACTTCCTGGTGTTTGCCACATAGCTCTGGTGGCATAAATGCGGGTGACCCTGCGGATTTGGATATTCTCATGTTTTCGGGCTTGTCAAACATTTCCGAAACACCAAAATCCACAATCTTTAGAACTTCATCATCCGAGAGCAACAAGTTATCAGGCTTGATGTCTCGATGAACGACCCCCTGAGCATGCACTACCCAAAATGTCAGCGCCCGTCAGTTTCGAATGCAACATAGTGGAGGAATAAGGTATTCAAAGCAACACTCATGAAGTAGAGGGAAGAAAACATACAGTATTCGATGCCCAAGAGCAGATCCCGGAACCAGTGGCGGCAAGACTCATCGTTGTATGGGTCAGCGTTCTCGTCCAAGCCTACTGTCATAATGACGCCCTTCTTGCACATTTCCATTACCATGTACAAGGAGTCTTCTTCGGGATCGTCCAAGACTTCAATCAATTGAACCAGGTTCGGATGGTTGAGCTTTTTCATGATGGCAATCTCCTCTCGAATCAGGAACAAAGCATCATTCTCCTCGCCGGCCCGCAATCCTGTCAGTTGTGGTGATAATGGCCCACAAGCTCTACGAGGACGTGGAAGATATTGACCAGGCGAGCTCTGCGGACCAAGACGAAGGATATGAGACTGTGCTCGTTTCCTCAGTCGACTTTTCGAGAATTCCTTGACAGCCTTGAGCGGAATAAATTAGAACTGCATCATTATGCTGTAGGGTGGATATGAATGGGAGAAGCCAAAAAGGAAAAAAAAGCCTTACAAACTCGGTGCCAAACTGATCGGTAGCACGGTGCACAGCGCCGTACGAACCCCTTCCAATTTCTTCCACGATAACATATTGGTTGATGCGGTGATATGTCCTTCCGTCAGCCTCATCACTGGTGAACTCAACACGAGCATCCAAAGTTTCCTATTTGAGCGACACAGGTTAGGCAGTGGTTTCATCACGGACACATAGACCAACGAGGCGAGCAGATTGCTGAGGCGACATGCTAGAACTGAGAGAACTGACCTTTATTTCCCTATGCGCGCTAGGGGTTCGTTTATGCTGTCTCATAGGACTAGAATAACCGTGTAAAGTAGGCGGTTCAGAACTGATGATCCAATCGTCAACCAAGATAAAATCAATATGGAAAAGGTCCTGTAGAGATGAATCGTCCAGTGACTTACAAGCTACTTGGCAGACTCGGGCGTGATCTGTCCATAGTGTCTTCGTTGTCGTCAACCCGGGCAACAATCAACCGGGGCGAACACAAGCCGGTAACCTGTTGCCCATGAGAGCTAGGAGCAGTATTGGTGGCCATGATAAGTAGCAAGCGTCGTTATCCTGGTGTTTTCAGACTGTTGCAGGAAGCAGGGCCGCTTCCTGGTGGAAAGTTGACTGAGCGTCTAAGTGAATCGGACTATACGAAAGATAAAAGCTCATGAGCAGGCCGCAGGGCCGCGAGCCTGGGAGCCGTTTATGCGAGGCTGCCACGAGGAGATCGGCGTCGATGCCCACTCGTTCACGCCCAATTACCGGAACTGGATTCGTGGTGGGTGTCGCGGCAGAGGCCCAGGTGGAAATGGGCAGATATAAACGGCACTACAGCCTCGTATCTGGAGTCAGCGGCACTGGGCTGGAGACAAAGAAACTTGACAACAAACAGTACTTGAAAGAAGCTGCTCTAGTGTAAGCGGCAACAGACAGACGCAACGGGAGGGGGCCGAGCCCATGTGTCCCATGTGTCCCATGTGCCCATGTCGGCGCAATGATTAAAAAGCCCAGTAAGTCACCCAGCTTCTTGACATGGATGGCTCTCGGCCCAGGTTCAGCTAGGACCCGTGGGGCGGGGTCTTTGGGGTGCTCCTGCCATCGTAGGTATGCTGCAGCTCTTGCCGTTAGGCGCATCCGCCGCTCACCGTGTACAGAGTACAAACTTCAACCACCAAGTCTTCAATGTTTGCACGACAGCAACACCCTCGTCTGCCAATTCAACCCTTCACTGCACTGAGAAATCGCCCACGGGGCCATTAATCGACCCCCCCGTATTCCCTCCATTCCATCGAAACCAGCTTCGACTGCAACGCTTATTTCACGGCGGCGGCCCTCCCTTCTGTTTCCCGACACCTTCCCCCGTCTCGCCAACCATCTCGACCATGCCCGTCTTCTCTTTCTACATATTCGATCGACACAGTACGTCCTCGACCATCCCCCGCGTAATGAAAGCACAGCCGAGCGTCGCTAACTGAATTCGTCAGCCGAGTGCATCTACAGCAAGTCATGGCTCCCTGCTCAACGACCCTCCTCGCGCATCACCACCAGTGCTTCCGACGACGCTAAGCTCATCTTTGGAACCGTCTTCTCCCTGCGCAACATGGTCCGCAAGCTGGGCGGCGACGATGACGCCTTCATCAGCTATCGCACCGGCCAGTATAAGCTGCACTACTACGAGACACCTGCGAACTTGCGGCTCGTCTTGCTGACGGATACGGCGTCGCCGAGTATGCGCAATGTGTTGCACCAGATATATATCAATCTCTGGGTTGAATATGGTGCGTATTCTGCGGCAAGCTTTGCATCTTTCATGGCCCTGGTCCCCATTCTTTCATTTTCTCTTCTTCTTACAAAATGCGCCTCTATAGTTGTCAAGAATCCTCTTGCCCCTGTTGAACACAAAGGCGGAGAGGGGGTCAAGAATGAACTGTTTGAGCTGGGCTTGGACCAGTTTATTCGTGGTTTGATGTGAGGACGTGACCAGGATGTGTTTCAAGAATATATCAATCCGGCCGAGTCCGGCACCAGGCAGGATTGTCATAGTTTTGACGACCTTCTCCTTGCCCATGTCAACCACGATAGGGCCGGCCGTATCTTGTATTAGAGAGAGGCATCTCGCCTGGCGTTCCAAATTTCCGGCAGGTGCGCCCAACGGCAGGTACGCTACATATTGCGCTGGACGTCGGCCCAGAAAGAAAAAAGAGAGCCAGAGCTTGAATGACCATCTCCAACTCGAAGGACGATGTACCTGCGTCAGGGATGATAGATGCCACGACTTCATGTCCTGTTTTTCTCATCTACAAAACGACATGTTCCATGCCGGAGCCATGAATGGAAGTCCAACCATGTTGTATATTCTACAGGTAGCCACAACCCATGCCATAAATTAATAAACCTACCCCAACACCAGTCGTACATGACGCCTTCATGCCTAAAGCCGCAAACCCGACCACATGGCTGTAATTTATTTCATTCAAATGCAAAGACAAAGACAAGATATACTGTGACCTCATCGTCATGATTTCTGCTGCACCGCCTTCTCCCATGCATCTTCAAATCCACCTGGTGAATCGACCATGACGATACTCTCCCCCACGCCAGTCTGCTGACTCTTCTCTAGGGTTTGGATCAGTTGTGATTCCACCTCACCCTTGCTAATATTTACCGCGCTATCCATGATGCCTTCGTCACGGATCTCGTTTTCCCAATTACTCGAGTAGACTACGGCGGCGAAAGCCTCTAATGCGCGCACCGTCTCCATCTCTTGGAGATATTCGTTAGGTACACCGTTGCCAATGACGTGGGCTTGGCGGGTCAAGACGGATAAGATCTTGGGAAGCAGAATGAGTTTGGAGTGACGGAGCTCCAATGACTCGGGAGCTGGAAATGGTGACTGGGAAGGAAGTTCGAAAGCTTCGGTAGCCAGCTTCTTGTCAACCAGTGCCTCGAAGGCAGCGTCCAAGATTAGAGTGAGAACGTGTGAGAAAGAAGGTGACTCGATCAAGTCGGCAGTCTCATCTAGCAGTCTTCGAAGGGCCGCGGGTGATTGCTCGGCAGCAGCGCCGCCCTGCATGGAGTTGTCTTCCAAGATGCCAGATTGGCGGATGACTTCTTCCTCCTCATTACGGGGAGGGAGTAAGAAGGCTAGCCAATCTGTTTGTCTTCGCTCATCAGCGGTGGACCCTTCGACCAACTTTCGGACTTCCATGGTGAGATCACTAAATCGATCAAAGCTGACCAGGTCACGGGGGCTGAGGCTCCCAAAGACAGTTCGTACTGCACTTTCAACACGGTTCATGACCTGAATCCAACCCCTGTTCAGGAGCCACCAACTAAATGTGAGGTACTTGCGGTTGGTGTCAAAGTCACTGCCGTAGGCCTGCTCTGGATTATCGTCGTCGTTGTTTTCAAGGCTAATGGTAGCCTGCTGGGAACCGGTGGCAAGAGCTACAACGCTGGACAGATAGCTTCGGCGACCAAGAAGATTTAACTGGACGCGGGTCAACATGGTGAGAAGGGCAAGCGTGTACACGAGAGTGAAAGCTCTAGTAACAGCTATGGCAAGGAACAAATGCCAGTTAGCAATCAATAATCTTAGTTTTAAATAAGGCACGACAGCAACTTACCACTGATGGTCAGGTCGTCCCAAAGCTGTCGCTTCGTTTTGCGAGACACCCTTGGCGCAGACGCACCATCCTGCTGGCCGTCTTGACCAGCGGCAGCAGAGAACGGCGTAGGGGAAGCAATCTGGCTTGCATGAATCCCACTTTCACTCTGTATACTGGCCGAGGTAGCCATGCTCTTGCCATCTTCTTCGGTCATGGTCGTATCGGCAATGCTGGGAGGACTTGTTGATTCGATGCCGCCGCTCTTCAGGCCCTTTGTCGAGCCTTTAATTTGCTGGATCTCGTATGTGATTTGCTCCGTGTTCATAGCAGCCAGGACATTGCTAGTAGCCGTGGGGAGAAGAGCGAGGACTGTGAATGTGCAGTCTTCCTGGTTCTGCTCGAACCGTCGTCGTAGGCTGTGATGTCACTAGCGTCAGCATATATGAGAAGCTTTCCCAACCTAGATTTATGGCATTGAAGACGGAAGGCATCAAAAAAAAGAGAGAAAAAGAAAGCACTTACTTTTCCTTTGCGATGCGGTCGCTGCTCATGCGCTCACGCGCATCATTGATCTTGTTCAAGACATATTGGGTGGCGACGTATCCGGCGCCAACGATGCCGACTCCGATGGCAATGGGCGTCCTATTGTTGCGCAGCCAGCGTCGTGCGGACGAGAACATGGCTGACGAGGAAGGGGAGATTAAAGAAAAGGGGTGACTTGGATCATGGAATAGGCGGGCAAGATATGCCCATCAAACACGATGTGGTGTACAATCAGGCGCGAGTAGCTCTCCTCGTGATGCCAATTTCGAAATAACGAGCCCAGGCAGCCAAAATGCGAGCAAGAGACGGGATAAAAAAAAAGAAGGAAAAATCAATCAATCAAACGATGCTGTGAACAAGAAGAGCACAGCGTAGCACGGGAAGGTGTCTGGTAGCAGACGTGAGGGTTGCGCGATGATTCCTGATGGTCAAGATGCAGCAACAGCTCTGGATTCAACTTTCCATATTGGAGTGGTGGCCGTTGAGACTGGGGAGTGGGAAGCCGAGGCCTCGGTTCCCGAGCGCCACACCACTGGCTTATTCTAGTTGGAACGGAGGCTCGGGGCAAAGGGTACCTGCCTGCCTAGGTCAGTGGCCAGGTACTTTGCAGCTGTTCTGTTGCTCTGTAATACGGAGAGCAAGGCTGTGGCGAGTGTGCGCGCGCGTGGCTGGTGCAAGGGCAGACCTGTCCTCGGTGGATGCAGGTGCTGGATGAGGCCCAAAGTACAGTGACTGTCTGTTGGGCCAGAAGCGGCATCCTCAACTGGGTCCAGGTGTCCCCCACACAAGTCGATGACATCTGGACATCTGGACATCCGGACCAGACGCCTTTCGCCTGCAGCGCGGTCAGCCCACCACCCGCGGCCAGTTGACGGCTCTTGATCACCAAAGCCCCAAAGCAGCCAGCAGCAGCCAGGCCCCCAGACCTTGCTTACTTACGGAGTGCAGGGCTCCGTCAAATGTGCAGATGCCAGATTCCGTGTCTAAATTTGACGTCCCAGGTGCCGTGGCCCAGCGGCGCCAGACATACACGCATCCAAACGTGCCCCTCGCCGCTCGTGCTCGTGCTCGTGCTCGTGCTCCATGGCTCCATGCTAGTATTACAAGGTACGGAGTACCAATGTAGATAAACCAACCCGCCCCGCTCCGCCCCTCCAAACTAAGCTCTGACGTCGCGGCTGATCAAGAATCGCTCAAACCACTCCTCCTTGTCCGTCGTCTTCCCTCCGTCTATTCTTCTCCTCACCTCGATGAGCTCTGTGCAGGACGCAAGCTCGCGCCTCTCTTGAGAACCAACCTGAAGCCAGGCCGCCTTAATCCTACATATCTAGCCACCCGCCATCGTTCTTTACAATGGACCGCCAGAAGGATCCGCCAGAGTTCATCCTCGACGTCTTTACCGATCCCCGCTCCGTCCGGGACGTCGTCAAAGGTCAGACAGCACACACATCGCCTAGGACGCTTCAATTCGCGCGACGACGCAATATAATCCGTCTCCTCCTTCACCATACTCCTCCTCAAACATCCAATCCTCGGGGGAGGGGAGCAAGAAAAAAAAAAAAAACTAACATATCTACAAAGGCATCCTCCACACCATCTTCTTCACACGCTTCTTCCCCTCCCTCACGCCCCGCACCCGCGACGTCCTAGACCTCACGCTCCCATACGTCGACGACGACGAGCTCGAAACCATGATTGACCAGCGCGCCTCGGCTCTCGAGCGCCAACTCGACGCCGAACGCTCCTCCGGCGTCGGCAACCACGCTGCCACCAACGGCGGCGGACGCGGCCAAGTCGCCATCCAGTTCTTCGAGAAGCGGCGCCGCAAGGCCTGGCTGTCCCGCGGCGACGAGGAGGTCTGCTGGGAGAGTTGGACGCTCAAAGTGACTGTCGCCGAGCCCAGAACTGAAAGTGGTATGTATGCCTTTGCCTCAACCCGGGGCCTGCAACGTTCCCTTTTGCTAATGTGCGCCTCGTAGAGAGAGCCAAAGTCCGGCGTGCCATGGAGCAGACCCTCCTCACTACCGTCATGAAAATCGTCACCTTTGCCAACGCCCATAAAGACCATATTCCCCCCATCACCACCCAGGGTGGCAATCCGTTCCCGTTCAAGATCAACATTGATCAAAAGGAAACCGGTTGGGCCTCCCGCATGAGGATCTACTAGCTTCTCTTCCCAGGGACCGCAAATAGGCATGGAGAAACAATTCGACATACACCACCATCTTGCTGAGCAAACAAACATCTGCTTCCTGATTACTTGACCTGCCAGGGCCGTCTGTACATATTATGCCATGCTTTTGGATCCAAATTTGGCGTTGCTGGATGAAATGGCGCATGTTGCTTGAAATAGATACCCCCATAGTTCACACGAAACCAATTACAATCATACCGCTCTGTCACTCCTGCGCATGTCGCTCATTCGCCGTTGCACCTCCTCTGTCGATGTAGCCGTTTTCCTGCATTACTTGTCACACTCACAAAGTGCTAACATCGGTTGGGTTTGGTAACGTAAATATATCATATAATTTCCTAACAATTCCGGAAGGTTTTGCAACGACAACACATTAATACCGATCCAAGCATACAACATTTCGTCCAAGCCGTACCCTTTCTACTTTGCTATTCCTGACTCCCATCATCCAAATATATGTAAAAGCAAGAAAGCCGCGCCATAAGGTGACAATCGCCAGCTACCAAACGACCAACCTGCCGAAACGACAATGTGAAAAAAAAAGCAAAAAGACCTGATGATAATCGTTGTGGCTAATCCAGTACCAAAAAAAAGAGGCAAACAAGAAAATAAAAAAAAAAAGAAACTCCCATTCCGGTCCTAACATGGGCATACCTTATGTGCATCATTACCGTGACAATTTAGCTGCGAAGCTCCTGCCGAGAATATGTTCCCGACCAACATCCACTGTTCTAATATTCATTTGTGTCTGAGACTTTTTGCCTTTTAGGTTTGCTCATAGCATCAGAACAGACCGTGACAGCTCAGAGTACAGCCACTTTCGTTTCATCAGTTCATTAATGTCATAAAAATGATCTTCGGACGTATATAGTGTTTTGCTCTTCAATGTCGACTTAGAAGGCGGTAGAGTAGCTTCGACTAAGGGATGGCTTACTGCCCTTTTGCTGTTGCTGTGGTCTTGAAGACTGTGATCCAGATCCAATCTTCTCAAACCCTTGCAAGATATCTAGGCCAGTGAAGTCTGTATTTCCGTTGTTGCTGTGAGAGCCGAAATCACTCGGGTCAATGCCCAGCGTCGGCCAATCATGGTCAACTGAAAGCTCTAACATTGCAGAGAACTTGCTTGGAGAAGCCAGCCGTGACGGCGACTGCTGGAAAAGTTTGGATGGGGAGCCCATGCCCTCAAAAGCTTTGCTGGGTGTCTCAAGGAAACGTGATGGGGAATGCTCAGAGACCTTGAGCAACGGGGCAGATGTGATCGATTTTCTCACAGCCGAGTTTGATATTTCACCTAATGCCGACGTGGAGACAGATCTGTCTAATCGAGCTCGCTTGGCTGAACGCTTGACGGGCGAACCAGCATCGACTGAGCCGATCCCGGGGAAGAGATGGTCATCCATAGATGTAAAGTCTTGGAAAATGTCGAATTCCGTTGATGGCAGGCCCATGTCATCAAAGGCATACACAGAGTCATCAAGGTTGAACGCGGGACTCCACGGAATGCTTTCCTCTCCAATACCAGTCACACGTCGTAGTGGTGATTGCAACATATGCCGGACCTTATCACGGTGAATGCGCAAGTTTGTGTTTGGTGAGGCTGATGGAGGTGGCCGGACAGGAGGTTTCATTGTCACGACGGGTGTCAATGGCGGTAGCGTCTGATGGTGTTCGTTTGACTGCCGCAAAGGTGAGGATGAAACGGGACCATAGAGAGACAGAGAGCGAGACTTGGTTGGGCTCAAAGGGGATGAGTTTCGAATGCGAGCAATTTCCTCCTCAGCACGACCACGCGTAAGGCGAGGTCGATCAGCCTCAGAAGTAAGGAGCAGGGCCTTTTGATTTGGCCGCATTACGGAGGATTCCAATGACGAGATGTAACCACTGTCGTCCATTGAAGCAAACTTCCGTTTATGAGATCGAGATATCGAGGACGCTGGGTTTCGAGACATGGGAGGCGGAGTACCGCTTCGTGCTTCGACGTGCCTTGACACCGGCGGAGAAGAGTGCATGTTGGCAGGCAATGGAGAATAGAGGGACGACTCAAGAGGCAGATCATTGTCGGCTGTCTTATCTCCAACATCTTCCGGACCAATGTTGTCTGAAATCGGGATCGTGGCATCGGACGAAAGCTCCTGCTGCATGGGCTGCGTAGCCTGCGAGGTTGGTAGGGGCGGCAGTGTCGAGTGTTGCATGGGAGCTGGCGGAGGAAGTGTCGGTTCTTGGAAGGGAGCTGTCGCTGGTCGTGACGGTTCGAGGCGTGTAGACATGACTGGGAGATTTTCTGCTGTAGGTGCCGACTTCCGGGTGGGCTTCTCTTTGAGGAACTGGAATTCAGTGCCAGGCTCGATGCCCCAGTAGTTTCCCTTGCCAGGATCATCCTTTGGTCGCTCTATCTTGATGAAGTTTTTGTGCAGACTCAGGTTGTGTCGGATACTGTTCTGCCATCCAGCATCGTTGGGGTTGTAGAAGGAATAATTATCGCTGATCCACTTGTAGATCTGTGCCAAAGTCAGGCGACGCATGGGGGATCGAAGAATTGCCATGCCAATGAGCTGAGCGTAACTGTGCTGTGGCTTTGTTCCGTCGTCGGTGATGGGAGGAAATGAGTCGTGGGGAGGAAGAGCTTCCTCCGTCTTGGTCTTCTTGGCCGGCCTCGAGTCTTTGATCTGAGGAGCATCCATCAATACTCGCTTGCCATGGGGCTTCTGGAAATAGTTTTCGACAGACAAGTTGATTGTCGGGGGAGCAGGGAAAATCTGCGGGTGGATGTTCTCCTTTCCGAAGCTAAGCATGTCGATGTGTGGTCGCTGGGGACCTGTCTTGAATTTAGACAAATGAGGCCTCTTCTGCAGTGAATCAGTCGTAGGCGCTCTGCCCATGGGAGGTGCCATTGACACCATGTGCAGCTTGTTGCCTTGTGACGAAGCCTTCAATGGCGATCGGGGTGACGAGGATCTCATCTTGTGCGGTGACAGGCTCATTCCGTTGGTTGTTGGAGGGTTGAGAACAATGTTGGAATTGGAACTGCTCAGGGGGCGGCGAGCAGGCTTGGTAACCGAAGGCATGGGTGCATGGCTCGTCATGGGAGCGCTTCGATCGAATACATCGTCTTGAAATATGTGCAGCGGCTCATTGGGGCCGGAGAACGGCGTAGCTCTGGCCATTGTGGCCGAACAGAGCTGCAAGAAGGAGCTTTGAACGCGTGTTTAGGAGCAAAATGTGCGAGTGAGAGATACAAGTCTGTGTCCAGGTCGTTAGTCAAGCCAGATCCAGGAGGCTAAATGGCTTCTTGGGTGCACGTTCACAGCTGACGCCGGGGCGGCTTATTGCGTTTGGTACCCGGCGGTCAGACGCTTGATAGAACACGGACGGCGAGTCAAAAAATAAAAAATAGGGATAGAAATGCAGATGAAAACAGATGCCACGTACCCGAATGAAGCTGTACTCTTAAATTGACTGTGGGTCGTGAATGCAGGGCGCGGGCGCTGGTCTTGAATATCGGTCTTTGGGTATGACTGCCGAGTGATGTATGGCGGGTGAGGCGAAATGGCGGTGGATTTTGACGCGTCGCAATTTGATATAGAAGCGCCCAGGACTCGAGACCGAACTCGTCTTCTTCTCTGGCCGGGGCAAGCAAAAGGGAGAAAAAGCAGCGAAAATAAAAAAAAGACAGAAACCGGTGTCTTTTTGCGTCGGGGGTGGTCAAAGGTGAAGCTGGAGAAAATGGGCGGCAAGAGGGGAGGAAGAAACGAAAGGATGAGACCGAAGGAAGGGAAGGGATGGGCAGGCCGTAAAGGGTAAAAATGGCCAAAGGCAATGGGTTTACAAGACAGCAGGAGTGGTAGGTAGGAGTGTGGGTGGTGGGAGTACATATGTAAAGTACCAAGTACCTGGGATAGAGCAAGACCAGCAACGGTACTTGTGCGCTAGGGCGGAGCACCTGGTACTAGCCTGCAAGTATGGATGCCTCAAGTGCTCATGGATGCGCCATGGATGTCAAGATTGAAGTGCATGGTCGTGCGGGAGGCTCAAGGCAGGCAGAGCCAGATTGATGATTTGCCTTGGCCCATGATCCATCCAAGGGCAGCCAAGTCAGCGGTCCTGAGCCTAGGGCGCTGGACCTTGGTGCTTGACATCGACCTTGGAGTAGGCCGAGTGCTGAGGTGGGGCGGCGACCAGGTCTGGCCAGGTTCGACCCGGGTGGGGTCCAGCATGGGGCGCTGTGGACGAGCCATTGGCTGAGATGCGCTTTGGGCTGACACGAAGATCAGGGGTATGCGTCTCGCCGAGCGTCGATGGAGTCGACTTTGAGGCTCACAATTCACCACTTTCGCCAGGCGCCGAACCAGAGACACACGTTTGGCGCTGCGAGGGCCAAGTTGTGCCCAAATGTCTCTAGTCGACCGGACGTGACACACACTTTCCTGCCGGGATATGAGTTCATGCTGGGCTGGTTCCACGTCCCAGGCGCGCGCACTCACGCTCTCAATCATCGTGGCTTGCTTGTTGGGGGGAGGAGGGGCCTCGAGCGGGGTTTCGGAATGAACGAGATGGGCCGATGATAGCGATGACGGGCCTATGGCGCAGCTCGAGTTTGTTACCACGACTATTGTGTTCATGCATCCATCCGCTACTCCAAAGTACATACGCACGACGACATCCTTTGGTATGGACGACGCGCATCGAGTGTGAGCATGATGGCGCGACGTCTCATCGAGTGGATGCTGGATGCTGGAAGCTCGATGCGATGCTACTCTACCGATGGACGTCCAACTCACCATTCTGACATGGCATGGCGTTGATGAAGGCTCGACATCCAGGACCGAACACAATCAACTTCCTACCAAGTACTCCGTACAAGTATAGAAAAGCAAAGGCAAGAAGGGCACACGAGAGGCACAGGCCTCACTTACATCACCAGCAGTTCGCTGCATATAGAGGTGGATATCGACTGTACCTACAATTACAATAGGACGGCGCTATCACACATCTGCCTCGGCCAGCCAAGGTCTTATTAGAGGCGTGTCCACACTCGCACTCCAAGAGTAGTAGTAAATGACGACGGGTGGCTTGAGAGAGGAAACCATTGCCCACATGTTTTTTGGCCAGGCCCCCCCCCGGTTCCTATTTCGATGATTTGCATCTTTCTACCGAGTACTCCGTAGATTCAAGACACTTGTCTAACATGGCATTCATTGCATTACAAATTTCATATTTCATATTCAAGTGGAGAAAAAAGTTGAGTAATTCTCAGTAATTCTCTATCATCATTTGTGAACTTGGCAGTTGTAACAATCGTCCCAAGGGAGAAGAAGACCTAGTTCAGCTTGGCACATGAGGGACCAAAAAGTAATTGAAAAGACTATGCATGTTCCGAGCCTCCGTGATGTTAGGGATGGGAGGGGTCGCCGACGACTTACTGGCTGGCAGTCGTCCGGATATACGCGGAAGGGAGGGGATGGCGCCGTTCACCAGCATTCAGGTCGCAGGCTGGTCGTGATGTTCAAACGTCGTCGTGGCCGCTCGCCTGAAGTCGGCCGCCGAAAAGGAGGGGAAGCTGGCCCGGCAAAGCGGACGCGTCTGGCGAGACGCGTCCTTTGTTTACATTTACGCGTGTAGTCAGCCAATCAGGTCCTTCCTCCGACCACATACATCCCCAACATTGCAGCTCCAACGACAACGACGATGACGATGACGATGTCATGACAACGAAGCATTCGACTTGTCCGCATCTGTTGCATCCCTCTGCCGAAAATTCGGCATCCGAATTACACTTTTATGACAGGTCTTCTCGCCTGCACCAGGACCAAAGAAAACCTACGTTCCAGGCAGCCCGGGAAGGAACACGATCGATTAGCTTCCCGCCTCGTATTTCCACTTTCCCAGAAGGCAGCAATCTTGACCCTCGCAATGGGGAGACAAAGGGCGCCGCCCAAGGCTCAAGTTTGGCGGCCTCGTGATGCGGCTTTGACCCAGCATCCCATTCCAGAGACCCGGGCCAAGTGGCTGGTCCAGAAGGTTGACAGGGGCCACATCACGACCAAAATGCCTTCATGTACGTACTAGTACATATGCAAAGGCGATTTTCCCGGGTGCCGAGATGATTCAAGAAGAAAAGTCGAGGAATGAAACAAGCGGCATGAATGCTCCTACCAGACGAGGATACAACCTTCGACGGCTTCCAGCCCTCATCCCAGTGAATCCGTCAAACACGGCCAAATTTTCTCTTGGCCCGCCGATCGCCCTCGTCGACCGCTAGGCCCTCATTCCAAAACGGCCTGCGCCTCCATCATGTGACATCATTCGTCCAGCAGCACAATCTGGAAAACAAATCTCGATTCTTCAGAAAAATTTCTCGTTTTCAGCCCTTCATGGCCCCGAAGCAGCCGTCGAAACGAGCCCACCACACCCAGCCGGAAAACCCCAGATCCCTGCCGCCCCGCCCAATAATAATAGCAGGACAACCTCAAAGGCCCTCTCTGCGCCATGCGAAAACACCATCTTCCCTTCCTTTTCCTGCCTGGTCTCTCTAGGGCTGGCAGAGATGGGCCATGCACCCCATATGGCCCAGGGAACATGTTTCCACTGCCATGCGAGCAAGGAGAAGCTTTTCCAAAAAGGCCCGTGGCAGGCCCCAATCTGCCAGGTTTGTGCATGAAAAAAGCCCGTTCATCCAATCTGCATAACAATATGCCCTTTTCGTAATTCTCATCAGCATACGAACTAAAAGCGCCGTCGTTCCATTGATGCCTGAAATTAATCCTCACCAGAACAGGGAACACAGACCGAGAACAATGTCTGTGGTCCTTTGTCTTGACTTTATTTTAATTTGATTTTGTTTTTTTTTTTCTTTAGCGTTTCTTGTTAAGGGCGCGTCCTTTTTTTTTTTTTTTTTTTTTTTTTGTACACGGCTTCTTTTTCTTCCAGTTCCCCACGTCAAACTCCACCGCTTATCTGCACCTGCATGTCCCCGGATCACTCCAAGATCCTTTCCCCTCCACTCACCTTACATCATTACCCAGCCAGACACGACCGGTTGCCGAATCCGGCATGCTCACGGCGAGGCAAGAGTATATTAGTGGATAGTGTTCTACTCACCCGTTGGTAATTGCTCCAAGCCATCGTGAACCATGCTGTCTCACACGGCGTCGTACTGTGCTCACTTAAGCGAGAGGCGCTCAATAGTGCCCATCCCTGTTCCATCTCACTTTACTCAAAACGTTTCTCAGTCGGCATGTAATCCGGACGGGCTACTCCACGCTTGTCTCACCTTTTTCGGAACAGTTAATCAGAGGGTCAACTGGCAACAAACATGCTTCGTAAATTTACATGCCACAGTTGGTGATTTGTGATCATTCATAAGTCCACCTGCCCCCAGGTTTGATCGGATCACTTGATTTAACATCAGAGGGATAGAGAGGGTATTCGGGACTTGTCACGGGGCAAAGAGCCGAGTTTATGTAGTACGTATTATGTTTGTCAAGGTCCAATCAGCGTGTCACCGGCACGTAGAGTAGAGACAGTATGAGAGAATGAGCAGTTTCCGAGAAATATATTCACAATTGTTGGTGGGAATCCTTCTGAAAGTACATGGCCGGTTGCTTCTTCAGCGGCTCTTTCTTACGAGTTACACTGAGCTGCCTGTCCACGGGTCTCCGCAGTCTGTAGACGACACTTCCGTCGACCGCCCATTGTCGTGTCGCATTTTCAAATTAATCCAGAACACGACCTGCTACTGCCGACGCACTCTTGTCATTAGTTTTGGTCTTCTTGAGTGATTTTCCCAGTTGGATTTCGCTCAGAAAACCGGCTGGACGGCCACCTGAAGGAGGGGCAGCTGGAGCATCACCAGGTGGCGGAGGCGGCGGAGGAGCTCCCGCACCGGGCATCGGGGGAGGTGGAGGCGCCGCTCCTGTTGGTGGCAAGGGCGGCGGCGGCGGCGGCGGCGCTGAGGGAGCGTCGGAACTGGGCATAGGTGGTGGTGGAGGAGGAGATGTAGGACCATTGCTCACCGGCACTGGAGGAGCCGGTGGAGGAGGAGGCGGCGGCGACGCAACAGGAGTGTCATTTGCAGGCGCCGGACTGGCTGGCGTAGAATCTCGTCCAGTAGCAGACAGCGGTCGTGGAGGGCCCATAGTGCCGAAGAGGATAGATGCCAGCTGAG